CAAAAAAAAAAAAATATATATATATATATATATATAAACAAAGATTGGTAAGACCATCCTCAATGGTAGGATTAAATGAGTGAATCTTAGAATTAATTTAATAATTAATATTAAAAGTGTAGAGTTTAAGATATGTATTTTTGTTTTTTGTTTTTATGTAGGATTATTGGTAGGTTTTTAAGTTTGGTATCTTAAACAAAAATATTAATTAAAAAAAATTAACAATTTTAATTTTTAAACACTTAATAATTATTATTTAATTTTAAAACATATATAAATTACAATTTATTGTATAAATAACATAAAACACAATTACTTTAAAGGTGATTTATTTCAACACCCACTTAGAAACTGCCATATCACAGCCTCTTAAACATTCTTTTGTACCTTATATAAGATACGGTATCTTATATTTTAATTAACATTTTGATTTAATTTAAATATCTAGTTTACCTAAGATATGCTTAAGATGCTAGCATTGATGATGCTCTAACAAATATTATCTTTATATGATTCCGTGTAATGTCACCTCATATGTAGCAAATCACAATAGATCATATCGTGATATATGTACACATACCATATATACTGTGTTGTTTGTTAATCTCTCGATTCTTTCTTCTTTTTTTGCAAAAAGATCTTGTATACGTTTGTGGTTGCAATGCTCTCCAAATTAAATGTGGTCGAAACCAGGCTGGAGTACTTTACTATATATTGTTGATCAGCAGCTTCTCTCTTTATGCATTTGGGGTTAATAAAGAGTATGTAGAACTGTAGACTTGTGCACAATCACCCACTATGCATGCATAGCCTTGTGATAGAGTTCAAAGTTATCTAGTTGTACAAGGACGGACAAATATTGAATTGAGTCAAAACTCTCTCTCTCTCTGATCTCAAACATGTTTATAGAGTTTACTCTAAGCTACCTCTTCCTAAACTACAGTTATTTATAATATTTTACATGTACGTAGAATTAGCTAGTGGTGTTGGTAAAGGTTGTAAACGCCAAACGGACTCTATTCCATTGCAAGTTCATCTTTTTTTTCCACACTTCCGACTCAGTCTTCTATGAGCTTGTTTGTCATATATATTAGACTCGTTTCAAGTCTCTTATATATTACCTTGTTCTGTTACAGCTGTAAAACAATAACTTTTTTTGTTTCAGGTACTTCTTCAATTCGTCCATAGGCTTTAGCTCCTTTGCATCATCTGCTACATGCCTTTAATCTAAATCATCATGTTGCACAACCTTTGTCTATCTATATACTCTGGGAGATTAACGATCGCTCATCCATTGTCTTCGAAATATATAGCTGGATTCAAGAGCATCCACTTTCAGCTTCATCTCCTCGATCGATGTCTTAAACCGGCTAAACTGAAATGTACATGATGATGAAAATAACTACACTCATTCCTGAGTACTGCGTGGAAAATACTAAAATCTCTTCTTGTATATTGCGCCGGAGCAAAGGGTCTATCTGACTCCTGTAATTTGAAGCACTCATGATTCCTTCCTGCTTCAGTGACGTCCCATTAATTGAAGATAGTTCAGCCGTTCACGTGAGTCACAGGACGCGCGACACAAGAGTGACTACTGTGAGTTTTGTTTTCCTCTTATGTGATTGCTAATTCCACTTTATGCATGCATATATGTCTCACTCGGCCCTTTTTGGTACGTCTAAACCAGAACGTAAACCGGGTCTTATAATTAACAAGCGCTTTCTGGTTTTACGCCCGCGATTCTTAGAGTCAAAAGCTTCATGGCTCATGCATTAACATTTGTGTAATTCTTTATCTTTATGGAGTACAGTTATTATTCATCAAAATATGTTAAAAAAATTACTTTATTTAGAAGGATATTGTAAAAGTAAATGAGCGAACACGTTGGTCTCGTTGACTTAGCTCAACCTTTCTTCTTTTATTCTTGATCACAAGTTTAATGGAAACAACTATTTTTATCATATGTGTTTTGTGTATATTTATTAGGAGGAATGTTAACAGATTAAACCAGAGAAAATATAGTTAAAACCAGAGTAAAGACAAACGCACAATATTGTCACGTAACTGAGAAAACCATTATAAGATCAGCATTTCAAGAATGATGATGAAACCTGCAATATCACTCATGGTTTCATGTGCTTTCATGTTTCTTGTTTTGAGCTATATTCAACAAGGTAACATATTATTACATATATATAGCCTCCATTTTTCTAAAATTTGATTCATCATTAATTTGCGCTGACTATATAGCAAAAATTATCAAAATGACCAATTAGAATCGTGTTGTTGTTGTTTGAAAAAAAAAAAAAAAAAAAAAGACGTGGAAGCAGCGAACAAGAAGAGGTGTCACATAAATCAAATGTACACAGGGGAATGCGGCAAGGATGGAAACAAGGCGTGCTTAGGCGATTTCAAAAACAAGAAGTTTAAATATGATCTTTGCCAATGTACTGACGCTTTCCGTTATTCACCTGAGTTACCTCCTCAGCGTCTTTGCAATTGCAGTCGTCCTTGCTAGATTTTTTTATGTTGTTATCTTATCCATAACCAACTTATTTTGTACTACACAATTAATATTATCAAATAATGAGAACCTTTTTTGGTAAGTAAACAGTAAGTCGTGTCAATCAATTTTGTATACCTTATATAAAAAAGTGGCCCAAAAGACTTGGCCAATCAAATTTGACCACGTCATATATTTATCTGGTTTATGAGTTGCTGATACGAATTTGAGTTAAGAAAATTAGTAAAAAGGCCAGATTATGAGTCAAAGTTTAGGAAAAGTCTATCTTCAATTATGGTGACGTGGCTTTATTAAAAATTAAAACAAAAGAGCCATCAGAGACTTGACACACCTACCCCAAAGCTTATGGACCTCGTGCGTGACTAAATATATTAGAAAGTAGAAACCCACCACACAAGTCAGCCAAGCAAGCGCAAACCAGAGCAAACCACGTTGAGAGATTCGAGAGAGAGAGAGATTTAAGAGAGGGAGCATTCACCATTTGATTAGCTCATCCAACTTATTCTTTTCCCAAGGGGTTCCCTGAGGTATGTATTCTCTAGATTCCTTCTTCTTTTTGTATTGTTTCTGGGTTTCCATCTCTTTCAAATCTTAGATCGATTCTTGTCTTATGAGCTCTTAATATAGATTTCGATTATTCGAATAGATCTTTGACGAAATGGTTCTTCGATTTACGATCGGTGGATCTATTGATTCCTTGCTTGTGTTGTTTTCTTTGGGTTTATCTATCACTCTCTTTTGAAGATGGTTTGACCTGCTCTTTTTATGTGTACACTAGTAGCTAGTAAGAGTTATCATATGGCTTTTAGATCGTGTTATATTTCCGTTATCGGGTTCTTAAGTCCAATCGATGAATCTTTTAGTGGGATTAAGATCTATTTATTTGGTGTGCTTTATAGCTTACACGTTTAGATGAGATTTGATGTGTTTTTTTCTGGGTTTTCCATATCTGTTGAGCAAACTTTAATGTATGTATTGTATAACCATTTGTTGTTTCCTGATTTTTACATGTTCGTGTATATGTTGACATGAGTAGTTTCTGTAAATTTTAAAGATCACAAGAGATACAACACTATGGCCAAAGGAGTTGCAGTTTTGAACAGCAGCGAGGGTGTTAAGGGGACTATCTTCTTCACCCAGGAAGGACAAGGTAGCTCTTTTTTAAGACCGCTTGCTTTATAAGTTTTTTTTTTTGTATCTTTATCTTTTTCCTTCTTCTCAAATGACTAAGTTCTTGTCTTGGTTTTTGTAGGTGTGACCACTGTCACTGGAACACTTTCTGGCCTTAAGCCTGGTCTCCATGGTTTCCATGTCCATGCTCTTGGTGATACCACTAACGGTTGCATGTCTACTGGTAACTCTTCTACCTCTGTGAACACCTTTCTGTAAATTTTCAATGGCTTATTAACTTTATGCGCTCTTTTTTTTCTCTTGTTTGAGGAGCTTATAACTATGTTTTGAATTAGCTACTCAAGTTCTCGTCAATGCAATTGAAATTGTTATAAACCTTTGTTCATTTTTGTATCTAGGTCCACATTTCAACCCTGATGGTAAAACACATGGTGCCCCAGAGGATGCTACTCGACATGCTGGCGACCTAGGAAACATCACTGTTGGAGACGATGGTATCCCTTCTCCACATTTGTATCCCTCATCTCAATCTTTTATAGACCTCGCATCTTTTCTACTCTTTTTCTCTCAATTGTGCTTTTGCAGTCTTAGTTCTTTAGTTACGTTTTTCTTCTATGACCAGCTTTATTGTTCATGGATTTACATAAAAATTTTGTTTTTCTTTTCCCAGGAACTGCCACCTTCACGATCACTGACTGCCAGGTTCTTAGCTGTGTACCTGTTTTGTATTCTTTTTTTTCTAATCCAGACTGATATAGTGAATAAATCTCATATGAGACAATTGTGTTCATTCCACAGATTCCTCTTACTGGACCAAACTCTATTGTTGGAAGGGCTGTTGTTGTCCATGCAGACCCTGATGACCTCGGAAAGGGTGATGACCTTTGACATTCGTTTTTTATTATGCAGTTTATCTAGTTTCCTTATTACGTTAAGTAAATTTAAAGGTTACCCTTTCCCTTTGAGTACATTTACTGTATCATGTGTATGATTCAGCATGCATCCTATGAACACTATATATAACCTGGACTTGTTTGGTTTTTACTGTTTCAGGAGGCCATGAACTCAGCTTGACTACCGGAAATGCAGGCGGCCGTATTGCTTGCGGTGAGTACATTTAATCCACATTTTACTCTCATCTCCTGTAGAAAATTAATCCATCATAAGCTGGATCATTACCAGCACTCCCATCTTGAACTCCATTGATTCTCCATATTATCTTGCATTTTGGGGTTCGGCCGAAAATGGATCACCTATTACATCATATATGTCTGAAAATGTAATATAGTTTTTATACGTTTGGGAAGTGACTAGAGATTGACTTTAGGCTCGTGCACTCCACAGAACTATATCTTCTGTTAAACAGATCAATCTGATAGACCATTAAACGATCAACTGACTGGCCTTACGTTTATCATATTGCAGGTATCATTGGTCTCCAGGGCTAAAGCTGTTACATTTCCAAAGAAGAGATTGCTGTAATAAGGAGGTCCAACGTTAGACCTGGGTTTGGTAATGTGTGTGTATCTTTCGGTGTGTGGCTATAACTTCTGAGCTTAGTTGCTCAAAGCATTTGTAGTTCAGACAGAAAACAGAGAAAATTCCGTACTTTTACCATTTTCTGAATAAAAAGAGAGTTGGTTTAACAGTGATAAGTTGCTTCTATGCTAAACATTAATAAACTATCGTGGCCTTCTATCTTCTTAGATCAGTTTGTCAGTCATAAGAAGATGATCTTCAAATTTCTTTTGTACAAACTCATCCTAACCTAATCCGAGCTTATTAATTTTGACACCACAAACTTCTTTGATTATTTCAGTCTATTTTCACAAGGTTAATATTTTGCTATTGAGGTAACCTTCAATTGAAACTTTCTTTTAACAAAATCAGACTCAGAAAGTAGATCGATTAAACACATTTATCATTCCTTTTGGACAAAAAGAGAGATACAAATTATACTGTGATACAAATTATACTGTGATATTTGAACGTTTCTTGATGAGTTGTTATGGCTTTAGATCCCCCGGCAAAAGAGTCAAGATACCTGACTGCTCCTTAACCTTGTTCAACAGAAGCATCAAAAGCGGAACTTTTGAAAGTGTTCTTTGTGATCCCACCATTATCAACTTTTTCTGTCGCAGCCAAACAACAATTTCAACCAATGATCATGGATAAACGACATTGTTCAACGCCATATCCATATGCTCTCTAAATCTCACCTTTGCACGTGTCAAAGCAACATTGATCCTATGCCAATCTCCGAGCAGTGAGGATGCAGAGCTCCTTGGTTTCTCCCGTGATCTCACAAAAGATACCAATATGCAGTCCTTATCTCTTCCCTAAACCATGTGAAGTCGTAAAGGTTGGTTATTACAGATTACCAAATTAAAATGCTCAAACAAATAAGGACGGTAGACCCAAGGGCCAAACCTGATACTTGTCTATAGTATGTATCTCCACAGAAGTCGTCGGAATGGCGTGTTGAATGAGGCTCACTTGTGAGTTATAAGGAGTAATGATTCCAATATCTTTACCATTTACTCCATTGTTAACTAGCTCCTCTACAATCTAAGAACTGTATTAGCTCCGTGTTCATTACTTTAAATGCATCATTCATACTAAACAATACCTCAGCTATTATGGAAGCTTCAACTGGATTGTTGATCGCATTCTGATCCCTAGCTTCAAAAGCACGCAGCATATCTAGAAGAAAAAAAATCATATTGTCTCGTGATAAATCCAGTCCATATGGCAAAGAATTCATGTGAAGAAATAGGAATTCGTAAGTAGCAAAAAACCTGTATTAACAAATACAACTGTTCTGGTTGGCTCCAGAACCTGTTGGAAACACAAAGGGGTTAAGGAATAATTAGATTATTTGTGGACAAAGCCTACGGAGAGTCAATGTGCAACACAACAAATAATGTAGAGCAATTAGGTGGAGCTAAGCTGAACTGATTGTCTGAGTTGCTCAAAAAATGCCTCTTTGACTTGTAAAGTTTTTTTAAGAACAATATTCTGACCTTTTTAAGCCATGATGAAGTCAAATTACAAGTAGGAAGCACAAGTGTGGCATTAGCTACTTCAGTAGAACCACAGCATAACCTGTCTCCATATATCAGAGCATTTGATAGTTCCATAATACCTTGACACATTCGGTACTGTACATAAAAGATGTCTTACTATAGCAGAATGTTATACCCAATAACAAAGTGTACTAACATAATTCTATCTTAGTAGATAAGGGGAACCTGGTTTTGTAACACTGAAATTGCCTGAGGATGAGCTTCTGATAACCTGCGAAACAAGCTTATTCCCATCCCATTCTCTCTAGCCTCGGTACTCTAATTACATAAACACAACAATGATACTGAAGTTACTGGAAAAAAAGTTTTATTTCAAAAAAGATGGTAAATGCTTACCTGCACTAGTGGCGGTAGTTGGTAGTGGTCACCAACAAGTACAAACGTAGAAGCGAACAGCAAGGGTCCTATCGAAACCTGATCGGTACAAGAAACCGTGGATTCATTAAATACTATTCCACTTCAAACTCTATTGTGTCAGACTCTAACTTTCAATTCTGGTACATAAATGAATTTTTTCAAGTAAGGGCCACTGGTTATTGTGTTCTATTAAGCAAAATTTAAAACACATGCCATCTAATTCCAAATCCCTCCAAAATTGATCGCAATTTCCAAGTTGCCTTCATGGAAGTTGCATTTCAACTCAACCAACTGACAAGGAATAAGAAATCATACAGGGAGTGCAATCTGGCCAGCTTCATCAATTATGCATACGTCAAACCGCCTATTCACAAGCAAGGGACTATTGATTCCCAAACAAGTAGAGGCCACAACTTTGACCTGGTCCAACTTTTTCTTGATGTCCTCGACACTGCACATATCCATAGCTGCCACAAAGATAAGTCTCAAATAAATTGAGAAGACTCCGAAGCTACACAAGTTGGAAGAATATATTGCAAACCTGAAAAGCAACTCTCTCTTACTTCTTCATGTACAGCCTCATCTCTACCAATACGTAGAAATTCAATTCCCTGCAGTATATTCAAAATTGTAAGTCATATGTATTAAAGAAGACAGTATTATAACAGACACTTGAAGGGGTATTTTCGATCATTATATGTATTCCCTTTGAACCCACAGATTTCCACGCATCATATGTTAAGGAGAAAGAAGAGAAATGTGATATTTCACTGAGAAAACCATATTGCAGAAGATGTAGAGATAGTTGACGCCAAAAAAAAAAAATGTGTGGACCCTAGCACCATTTCTTTTGTTGACTTTCCCAATCTTGTTCACTATAGTATAGTTGTACCTAGCTTTGGCTTTCCCTACTTATTAAAAGAGACTAACCATGAGTGGATGCAAACAACTCGCATGAGATACCATCTAAATGTGCAATCAAGTTACAGAGTAACTGTAATATTTTGGAGATAACATCGTAACTATAATATTTTAGAGATGAATGGAAGATTCATAATCCAGAAAATTGAAAAGGTTCGCCAGAGGGAAAAGACCTGCGCTTTTAATTTGATAAGTAGATTATCAACAGCAGAGTTGGTGTAAGATGCAAGCAGAATAGATGAACCTCTGATCAACAAAGCTTTCACAGCATGGACCATTGTGGAGGTTTTTCCAGTTCCAGGCATTCCCAATATCAACGCATAGTCCTTTGCAGTGAGTATCTGAAAATAAAGCAAAAAAACAAGTCCTTTATGAGCTCTGTGAAAGAAAAAGAGTCTTTCAGACATGCCTTGAGAATCGCACATTCAACACAAGACCAGAGAAACATAATCATGCAATAACCTTAAGTATGGCTTGGCGCTGATCATTATTTAAACTTTTTTCTGACCATACATATGAGATTGCAGGATCCTGGCTCAGTATAGATCCATTGTCAAATCTAGGAGGCTACAGAGACATGGAAAAAAGAGAAGAACAAACAAAGCATGTAAAGAAAGGTATAAGAAACAAATTGCATAATCTTGTATAAGGGATATCTGAGAAAAAGGTACTTTACCTCAAGATCCACAATCATATTCCTGATGCTATGTCCATTTTGTATGAAAAGCTGCATGAGATTGAACCTTGTACGATATGAAAACCAAGATTTAACATCGTAACAGCACATGCAGGGAATAATAATTGAATAAAAGACAAATTAAAAAATCACCTCATAACCAAAAAAGATGTCATGAATTCATCCTTGCAAATTCTCCATAACTCATGAGAGAGATTAGATGCCTCAGAAGAAGGTTCGCTCCATGGAAGACGTAATCGCTTGGATAAAGAAACCTAAGGGTTGACAAAGCAAAAGAAAAATATCGACCTCATTACACATGTCTGAGTACGAACATCAAGATAAATTGTACCAGACAAACTAAGCTAATTTACAGACTGTTAAAAGAAAACCCAGGGTGAATGAGCTTACTGATACATGATTGCGACTAATATCTGATATAATCCCATTTGCAACTGTCAGGTGGCTGACTTCTGTGCGAAGAATCTGATAATGAAATCTTATTACTAACAAATAGGCAAACAGCATAAACTAAAAGTGAAGTTGAAAAATTGTCGGAGAGAAAATATGGTAAATGACATGAATAATGTTTAGTAAGAAAAATGGTTACGAAAATTCAGAAGAACACTCTAAGGCACAGCTAACTATGTTCAAATTAATCATGACAAAAGAACAATCAAGCAATTAATAGTACCACACGATCTCCAGTTCTAAGTTTGCAATCCAGGTCATCAGTTGCGGGGGTTCCCGTCCTAATTGTATCTTCGATGGGTACTCTTTCTCTAGATTTTGATAAGTTTTGACGTACAAAACGATAGATGAATCTTGTTTCTTTATGAGAGTTATGTTGCGGAAAGTCGTTTGTCATGTCAAGAACCATAGAAGAAAGATAATTGGCTGAATGGCTGCCCTTTGAACCATGTGGATGCACAATGTCTTTCCGTAGAAGCTGATTAACAAACATAGATATTAGATCGCCAAAGAAAATAATTTTTTGACTTTGTACTCCAGTAAAAATAGCTGGTACTCAACTGACCTGCATCTCTCTAGCTTCCAAGTCAATCAGCCTGTCCCAGTGTTGAAGGAAATTGAAATGCAAATTTGAAAGATGAGAAACATGCGTGTCAAAGATATCACCAAGTCCGCTACTCTCTGCATTTCCACCATCTGCCTGGGCAAACAGACAAGATATTTTAGAAGCATTAGTCCGATAAGATATGATAACGTTTCAACACCATGAAGATGGACGTGTCATTCCTCCTCCAAGCATGCTTAAACATAACAAAATGGAAATTCAACTCAGGTCACTAGTATAAAGAATGCGACGTAAACCAACGTTTGATTACTATATCGTGAGATGAAATACATCCATTAAATCAGATTGTATTATGCAACTGCCTTCATGAAAAAAGAAATTAAAAAACCCTACATGCTTAAACATGTAGAAGTAGAGCCTTATAAATAAGAGTAACATCCTCAAATGTAAATATCAGACTTCAACATCACAAAAAGAAGAAAATACCTTGTGGTAAATCGTGCAAACATCCAGATGTCGACAGTTCCGGCACATGTTGGGATTCTAGAATCAAAATAATAAATCATACCAGTATCTAGTAGATATTCCATAGAAAAATTGTCATCACTGGACATCAGAGCATACCCGTAACATTGGCGGCAGTTTTTGGGTTGTTAACGCCACAAGGATATCATTTGCTAGTTCATTACGACGAATAATCAGACCCACCAAATCTGATCTTTGAACAGAAATTCCCTTAACAAGTGAGCACTGAAAACTTAGTCACTCGTATATCTTGAGACCAACGAAAGGCACACAACATTTTGACTTACCTGTGTCTGCTCTGACTGAAGATAGTACAGAAGGCCATTATCGATATGCTTCAGGTACCTGCAAGGTTAATGTGATATTTTATCAAAAGTGTAAACTGCTGTCCATTTTCCAGCAGTAAAAAGGGAAGAGAAACAGAACATAAGTACCTCTCAGACATCAGGAGCGTGTACAAGATCACCTGTGCGGAATGTTCCATTGATGACTGCATATCACGATAAAGATCAGGCGCTTAATCATTAATAAGCTTTTGGAATTTCCAAATTTCTAGTGAATATCTCAATAGATCTCCATACAGACCTGACCACTAGGAGCTTTTCCAGACTTAAACTCAAGGGGCATTATCTTCTCATTTACTGTGTTCATGTCGGATTCAACTATCACTCTAACTGAAGCATCAATCATCCCTTTCAGACCATACTTAGGGGCCCATGACATCTCCTCAATATCAATAACCTGAGGTAAGATTTTTTTTTTTTATACATAATAGAATTCTCATTGGGGGAGATTGCCTCAAATACACAGCGCTTATTATGCAATGATGTCAAATTATCAGTTTGGTTCAAATAGGATGCATCCGCGTGAAACGATTGGGTCAAAAACTTTCGGTCGAACTATCTGTTCCTGTTTTCCACCAGAAGAAAATAAATCCTAAGAAGATAGAAAAGGAGAAAGTGGGAAGAACTCTTACCTCTGATATATTAACTTGTTTCAGCCCAGTCGTAGAACCGAAATCAACTTTTTGTATCCCTGAGTCCTCTTTATAACGACCTGAGTCCTGTTTAAAGGAACCATGCCATGAGTTTAAGATGTTTCTGCCTATAGTCATACCAAAATGAACTTTAAAAGAGGAGGGAGGAATCACAGATAGAAGAAAAGCATGCAAAAACTGCCTCAAAGATTTTATTAGGTGACATTCACCCATTAAATTAAATATAAAAATGACCACCAATCATGGTTATGTTCTTTGTTACTGGATATCTGTAGGTGTAAGGAAATACAAGAGAAAACATGAAAATTATGTGATTGTTAAACAAGCTTATATAAGAGAAAACAAGTCCAACACACGTGAGAGCATAACGCAGTCTAATATGTATGCGGGACACTTTTGAAGAGACAGTCAAGCAGAAGAGTAGCCAGAAAAAAAGTTACGTCCATGTAAGGAAATAGTGATATAACAGCCATGAATAACTCAAGAAAGAATCATAAATCATAAATAGGAATATGCTGGTGCACCTTCGAATATCGGAAATGACGAATCCAATCCAACATTTTTGGGATTGCTCCAAATAAAGTTGCTTTCATATCTCTTTCATGTACTGATGGAACATATGATCAGATAAGAAAGTAATTAAGTCATTAGGTCAACTTTTAGCATTTCATATTAAAAACAGAACAAAAATTCTGAGCATTCATAGAAGCACAACGAACAAAGAGGTATCATAGGCATACAATTTAAAATTCTAGTAGATAAGCGGTATTCTATTCTATATATTAACTCAAAATTCTAATATAATTAAGGAGCATCCTAGCTATATAATAAGTGCATGAACCTTCAAATAATAGGAACACGTAATGTAGTAATCAACCTCCACATGCATATAAGCTCTCAATATTTTTCTTAATCACTATGCTCGCATATTCTTGCAAACCATCTACAGATGGAGTCTCTTGCGTGAGACCAGCCTGAAAAACAAAGGAAGTGGATAGTACAGATCAATACATTGCAAGAAATCAAATAAAACAAAATAAAACACTCATTATCCAATAGAATAGGCTTATCATAAATTCCATACTGCAGTAAACCTGAAAAATTTGGTGTAGCAAGGTTCCATTTAAGGCTACTGCTGCGTGTTCATTGGATCTGAGCCTCTCATCTAGCACGGTTCGCCTTGGGCAACCAAAACTTCCTGCAACCTGAAAGGTAGGACAGTTATTCAGGACCAAAAAACAGCAAAATTAAATTACATGCATAGAAGATTGGTATTCGTAATAAGAAACCCTAATAGATAAAGGAAAAGATACCCTAGTTCCAGCAATAAGGGTGTCAGGGTGAACAATTAAGAAATTATTTTGATGGTCCACGTCACACTTGCCATCCCCATCAAATTCTCCAATAACATTGATTGAATCTCCTGGTGAAAGAGTGCTGTAAGACCTGGTAACAATATTCAGGGAAGTACGTTTCAACCAACTGCGAAATGAATAGATGATATTTGGCTTCCCCATACTCTAAGAGAATAGAAACAACAAGAAAATGTGTAGTACACTATTATCCCACAGTTGGAAACTAAAAATGGTAAGAGCACACAAGGTGTAGAAAATTCATCAATCGTTGAACAGAGGAGCAAAGATAGCTTGCAATCTGAAAAGCAAAGATTTCCCTAAATTTCATCAAGAAAAATTACCATTCATCCCAGAGATACAAAGCACATTCTACTCCAGAGTTCTCGTCTAGCAGGCGAAGAACCTGAGAGAATATCAGTCAGCAAAATGAGCCTGTACTATATAGAAACCCCAAAATACATAACAAACCTTATAAGGACAATGAGCCCTGGTTGATCCCGCCAAACCAAGTTTTTCGGATACCTGTAAAATCTGGACAATGAGCAACTTTCACATGAAAACCACATTGCTTCCCTTAATAACGATAAATACTTTACCTCCAATACAAGGAAATAGCTATCTGGACTTATCGAAGAATGCTTTTTTGGTAGAGCCATCAGCCCTTCATTTACAGGGTAGTCAACGACAGAACAGATGCTATCATTTTCAACTCGAACTTGGGGTATCACAGTCCCCACATCATCAGCTGTTTTATCATCAACTGAGATGACATCCTCCACTTGATCTAACAGTTCAAGCAAGGCCTACAGAAAGGGCAATATGTAAGAGAAATAATGAATGTAATCTTGACCAACCATAGTTGACAATATGTATCAAAAAATTATGCTTTTTGTAAGCATCTACAGACTGCATCAAGTTTGAAATCAAACGATGTCGGTAAGCATCTAAAGACTGCATCAAGTTTCGAGTCATACCTTTTTATGTTGTCCAGCCCCCGTTAATCCACAAGCTACACTGCATGTTACAGTACAAGAAAGCTGAACATAAACAGAGCAAAGTTAGGATATACATAAAATGTGATCATTAATCTAGTTATTAGGAATGGAATATACCTTGTTGTGAGGACATGAAAGTGACGGTGGGGTCTGGAAAGGACTGTTTCCACTATTAGAAGTGTTTACAATTTCAAACTCCCCATCTGGGGAAGGTTTTACCCTTTCCATGACTCTATTTGCTGCAAAATCTGGTCTTTTGGAATTTTTTTTTGAGGGTGAAGATAACCACTGCTCGACCTTGGAAGTTATACCTGATGTAGGACATTGTGTCTGCACTAGCTGCTGTCAGTTTCTATGTGAAAAATGGAAATAAAACAGCTATGGAATCAACAATTGATAGAAAAATGAAAAAAAACCTGCCTTGTCGAGAGAGCAAGGACGAATGGTAGAAGCTTTCATCCCTAGTGAATTTTCTGTCAACTCCATCATCTTAGGAATTTGCTTGGCCGCTGCCCGAAGTCTTTCATTTACAGGAGAGAATTTCCAAGTTATCGGTTCGACACCATCATCTTGACTTGGCTTTATCAGCTATCAAGATAAAAGAAACATGTAAGCATTACACGACCACGGGACTCACTCAACCATGTAGGTAAATATTATAGGGTAAGTAGAATCTTGCAATTACATTAGCCAGCAATCAAGGAGGAAAAGATCACAATTCCAAACTGAAAAAACAGAATATAAAGGAATACAAGAAACAAAGCTACCATTCCAGGAGAGTATTTGAAGCGCTTAAAGGTCTTGGAGATCTCAGGAGATGCCTCTGTGATTCGCTGCTGGTCCATATCTTTGGACTCATCAGGTGTCTCATCCAAGGTGGCTAGAGGGTTTTGAGGCGTTAAAACTGCAGTGTCAGAGGCAAGACCATTCACATTCTGTTGATCAAGTGGGTCAGCAGTGGTGGTATGAGAGTTTGAAGTTGATTGGGAGTTCTGAATATGTCGAAGGAACAACTGCTGGATGCCCAAGTTGGGAGGTTGTGACGAATTTGCTGAAGACTGTTTGTTTAGTTTCGAAGCTGAAGACTTTGGCTTCTTTCTTGGTGGCATTTCCAATGGCCAACCCTGAAATTCTGATGGAACTGTTAAGACTTTAACTTGCCTAACACAACAAACTTCATATAATCTTCATCTAACGTCTTACGGATTCTTATATATCTTAATCTGAAACTCCAATCAACGAGGCGTAGAAGTAAATACCTTTACTCACGATCACGCTCAGCGAATCAAACAACAAATCCTGAAAGTGGTTGACGAAGCATCCCCGGTAATTCAGAAAGTCCAGTAAATTCTAGACTTAGTGGAGCTTCCACAAACTTAGACGCAGCAGAGAAGCTTCCCAGACCAAGTTGAGAATTCAGAACCCCAGAATCTATAATGAATACTGAGAAGTCAAAAACGATGGCGACGGGGCAAGCGACGGCGAGCGAAGCAGTGAGCGAGAGAGTCGGGAAGTGAAGAAGGAGGTTCGGTACCACTCAAAATCAAACCCCGCGGCTTTATTCAGTGTTAACCGTAAATCATCCGATTCAACCAGCTGACTCGGATCGGATTCCAGTTAATGAACTTAACCCGGTATAAACCATACAAATCCATTAAAACCGGTGGCCCTTTAAGTTAATTTTGGAAATAGTACTGGGGGTGTTATCCGTTAAATTAGATTTCTATGGGGAGAAATTAGAAAACAGGTAAATTTCCGAGGATGGAGGAGCCAAATATATAGAAAAGTCAGAAACTGAGATACAGTTTTTTGCTCTATTTTGCATATGTAGGGTTTTAGAAAAATCTGGACTTCACTGTTTTGGGCTCCGACGAACAAAACTTCCAACCTCCAGCAGCCATGGTGGAGCACCCAACCTATTTCGTTTACTGACGCTTACTTTATTTCGCCGGTGGCTTTGTGGGTGGGTTTACGGAACTGATTTTGTTGATTTAATTTGCCGTTTCTGAGTGTCTCCTCTCCAAAATCGACCCGTCGTTCTCTGTCCATCGATTTTCAGGTGCGTCATATCTTCTCCAGATACTGGGTAGTTCATGGGACTAGCCAATTTTAGATATCTTCTCCTGTAAAAGAAGTGAATTTGTTATGATCACATGGTGGGATTTGTTCTTCAAATGATTTATATCATGATTGTTTGAGTTCTGAATTCGATAATCTCCTCAATCCTTTGCATTTCCTTAGCTTACCAGCTGTCAATTTGAAATCATGTTATCAAATTAGTTTCTTGGCACTAACTATCAGCTGTTCTGTATCTTTTCTCCATTAGATGTTGTAACCTTTTATGTTTTATGTCTTTGGATTGTGTTGAGAGATGTTAAGGTGTTTTCCTTCTATAACTTATTCCAAATAGTTTCGTTTTGTGAGAAATGATAACTATGTTCATATGTCTTTGGATTGTGTTGCGAGAAAAGCTAGTTTCCTATGATTCAACAGTTTAAAGAATTTCTATAGGAGTACGCTTCTTTCTAGTTACTTCATTCAACTGAGGTGTTTTCTGTAGGTTGGTGCTGGTATAATGTTGAGGCAAGTGGTTGCCAAGTATTCAATAGGTAAAGCTGTGATTTATGGAAGTAACAGGGAAAAGCTTAGACCTTTCCTCTCCCAAACCAGTTGTGGGTTTCACAACGGACGGGTACTTCACCATCCTTTCCACTTTTGATAACTTGAGCTACTAGCTTGATTTTTGTTAGAGTTAGTAGATGAAGTGAATTTGTCGGAATCAATCAGGTGTGTACAATCTTGTCCAATTTCTTGTGACCCCCCTTTTTGATTGAAATCTCAATACTAGATCTGTTTGGAAACGATTTTATATGTGGTTTATCGGACGTTTGACCTTTTTCTTTAGCTTGAATGATGTTTGCTATATAAATTTTTGATGGATTTGTATGAAAAAGTCCCAAGCTAGTTGCAAGCTGAACTATAATGTTCATAAATGTAATTTTACTGGATTGTTCGACCTCTCTGTACCTTGTTGGTCTTTGATAATGCCATTACTTGTAGTCTGACCATTTAGCTGTGTCAACATCTACATTGATTTTGATGGGGTTTATTGAGTCTAAGATACAGTGAGTAAGTTTGGGCTTTGTTGAAGCAGTTTACTAAAATTTGATCTTGTTATCATTGTCTCTCATGGAATTAATTTACTGTTTATGGGTCTATTTGTATCTGTTTCTGATTTTACTCTTGGGGTATGCCATTCTCGACAGACAGTTTTTGCACCAAGAAGCTTCTTCGGTGTAGAAGATTATGTGGACGATGACACAAGCCGACCATACACATACCAGAAAGAGAAGAAGTCGAAGAATCCAGACAAACATGTGTCGTTCAAGCAACGCACAGTCGCATACATGGAGCCTTTCACCCTGGATGTCTTCATCTCAAAGCGGTTTGTCTCGGCGTCTCTCACGCACCGTGTAACATGTAGGCAAGTTGCTGTTGCGGGAACAAACTCGAAAGACGTGAAAGCTGTTCTGAGATCAAGATGTGATATCCCGGCATGTATGTCCATAGGGAGGATCTTGTCGGAACGTGCAAAAGAAGCTGATGTTTACACGGCTTCCTATACGCCGAGGGACCAAGACAAGTTTGAAGGGAAAATCAGAGCGGTTGTCCAGTCCCTTATCGATAACGGCATTGATGTGAAAATTTACCTCGACTAGATGTAACAAATGTTTTGTGCCCTTGCTAAAATTATGACAAAGTGTGTTTGTGAAACTGAAATCCTAATTAGCAAGTTATCGCTCACCATTCATGCATAAAGAGATCGAGAAAATGTCACTCGTAGTTGGGTTTCTAAGTTGGCGGTGAAAAGAAAAAGGCCGACCCTAAGTTCTCTTAACATATATATATATATTCAAAATTCAAAGTTGGGAGAAACCTGACTTAAAATCCGATTTAATTGCAGCAAGCCTAGGGATCGAGATCTCCTCTGCCAGTGGTCTGATAATCACTAATAAACAAGATACGTCTGATTGATTGAATTTTTAATTAAATAAAAAAGCTTAGAATATGGAAAGGATGATAAAATCTGAAACGGCTGTGTGGTGGTTTTAGGATGCTTATGACGCCGGTCCAAGGATAGACTCGGTGAAGATGAGTTTAGGCTACTCTAGTCCTCTCACCATCACTGCCATCGTCGACCTGGAATTCACTCCTGTTGAAGTCCTGGGAGCGCTTTCATACATCCCTTGGGGTGTGAGATCTTCCTCTTCTTCTTCTTTAATTTATCTCTTTCTTCTACGCCTATTATATAGGCTACAAATCAAAACTAACTAGGGCTTGATTAGTATATGGTTTTTATGAATCTATTTACAATTCATATAATCACAAATAGTGTTTAGAAGATTCATTCATTCATCTGCATGCATGCGTTCAAAATCTTATCATCTTCTTGGCTTGGCCTTAAACTCGTTTCCCTACAATTCATATACAACGTTGTTTGATTATTATTTTTATTTTTGTTGTCAAAGGTGCAGTGTAAATAACTTGGAATAAACATATGATCAAACACAAACACAAAATGAGAATAGAAGTGGAGGAGGAACGAACGAACGAACATTCGCGGAAAACAAGAGAGACTTTTTTTAAAGGTTTGAATTTTTATTTTTTTATATATATAAAAAAAGTGAGACAAAACAAAAGAAAAACGTTTACTTAAAAATAAAATAAAATAAATAAACCGCGTTTTTATCGAAGAAACAACTCAACAAATATTCTGTTTCAAGTCGTAAACTAATTTCCTGTAAATTTTATCTCCTTTGATTTTTTTAAAAATAAAAAAAAGGAAAATTAGAAAGCAAACCTTTGATTTTCCAATTCTTTGTTCTTAATTCTTACGCGTATATATCTGCAATATATAGAGAGGAGGTAGAGAGAGATATCAGAATCCCCCTGTGATTCATCTACATTGTGCAAATTTTGTGAATTTTCTAGGGCTAGACCTTCTGACTTAGAGAAACTTGGGGGTTTTTTTTAGGGTTTGAAAATCTAGAAAGAGAGGAGAGAATGGGGAATTGTTTATCAGGAGATGTGAAAGGAGGGAAACAAGCCATTGGAGGGGTCCAGCAGAGACCCACCTCAGCAACAACAGCCATCGCCAACAATGCTGCTCTCAACGATGCCGTCGATTTCTTCTTCAGATCTCGTGGTCAATATCCTCTCTTTTCCCAAATCGAGGTACCAACCAAAGCTTGCATCTTTTTTTTTTTTTTTTCTTTCTTTCTTGTGGACTCTCTTCTCTCTCTGTTGGTTTTTATACTATACTACTATCTTCCTTCACACTTCGATTTGTCAACCAAGTTAGTATCCAATTGTAAAATAGAATATTGCCAAAAACTCGAAAAAGACTGTTGCTTTAGCTAGGGATCCTCCTCCTTCTTCATTTTTTTAATCCATCATATTGGATAAGATATTCCACACACACATGTTTTCTACTTTTCGTATGGAGAATAACCATTGACTTAGTCTTCCTCAGTCTTCCTCAGTCTTTGTCCCATGTTTTCTCTCTCTCTCTCTCTCTCTCTCCCTTGCGTGGGGTTTTAGTTTATTGAATCTTCTTTTGTGGGGTAAAGTTTCTTGTTTTTGTTCTGAGAAAGCACCTATACAATGCATGTGCATTGAACTTTTGTGTTTTAACATTGTGTTTTGCAGTTAACTTTGTCCGCTTCAAATTTGCTTGACTGTGACATCACATCTAAGGTATGACCATACCATTTATTGATCAATCTATAAACTTCATATAGTACCCACCATTAACAAGTTGATGACTTCTTTTTTTTTTTGTAGAGTGATCCCATGGCTGTCATGTATCTGAGGAAAAAGGATGGGAAGCTTGAGGAAATTGGCCGTACTGAAGTCATACTTAATAGTTTGAATCCGAGTTGGATTGAGAAGATTACAGTCTCTTTTCAGTTTGAAGTTGTTCAGACATTAGTGTACGCCACCTTCAACTATTCTTTTCTGATGTGTTGCACATGTTTAACTACTAGAATACTGTCAACTTATATCACTTTTCTTTTTTTTTCAGTTTTCACGTGTATGATGTTGATACCAGATATCACAATGTGCCAGTGAAGGTAATATTTTCACTGATAATACAATCCGGTGGATAAGAAGTTTGCATTTTGATTATAAATGTTACACCTCAATAATGGTTTTAATATTCCTTTTTCAGACGTTAAAGCTGAAGGACCAGGATTTCTTGGGAGAGGCCACCTGTGTTCTGTCCGAGGTAAAATTTATTCGATGATAAGATACTGCTACTTGATGGCTTTATTTGGCCATTTGTTTCTGTTACTATTCTTTGTGTACAACATATCTTATAATTTCCATTTCCATTCCTCTTCCAATCACCAGATTATGACAAGACCTAACCGGACTGTGACATTGAGTCTTACTGGCAACGTTAGAGCTGGTGTGAATAGAAATTTGGGAACGCTCTCTGTCTTAGCTGAAGAAACAGTTGCTTCTAAAACTGTCGCTGAGATTAATTTTCGCTGTGTCAATTTGGATAACAAGGACTTGTTCTCTAAGAGTGTAAGTACAAACTTATGCATTCTTGTCCTCTTAGGTCACAATATTAAGATTTTTTGCAGAAACTTGAACATCTTGTTTTCTCTTTCTAGGATCCTTTCTTAAGAATTTCAAGAATTGTTGAGAGTACTGCTGCAGTCCCGATTTGTCGGACTGAGGTAGTGGACAACAACCTCAACCCCATGTGGAGGCCTGTGTGCTTGACTATGCAGCAATTTGGAACCAAAGTAAGCTAGTTATTTTACAGTAATTCAATGTATTTGAATTAATCATTATGTTAAACTGTTTATTTTGTCTATGCAGGACACCCCATTGGTTATCGAGTGCTTTGATTTCAATACCAGTGGGAATCATGAGCTTATTGGGTAACATGTTAACCTTTAACCTTCTACTAGGTCTCACCATATACTGATTTGTGTTACTAACAATTGTACTGAACTTCGCAGAAGGACAGAGAAATCTGTAGCGGAATTAGAGAGACTTTGTCTCCAGAAAGAGGCTGTGAACTTTGTGTATCCATCTCTTAGTCACGGTCGCAAAAAGGTGCCAACTAGTACCACTTGATTAAAATCTTATAACAGTTATTTGCATCTGTTTTTGTTAAGATTTTTTATTGGAATTTTGTAGATTCTGAAAGGCCAGCTCATCGTGGACCGTTTTGTGGAGAAAGTCCAGTACAGTTTTCTTGATTACATATCCAGTGGCTTCGAACTTAATTTCATGGTTGCAGTTGATTTCACTGGTAAATTACCTTCTTCTACTCATATAAACTTATATTCTTAGAAACCTTGAGTTTTAATCTTGATGGTCTGTCGTCCAGCTTCAAATGGTGATCCCCGAACTCCAAATTCTTTGCATTACATTGATCCATCAGGCAGATCAAACTCATATCAGCAGGTACCATTGTTACACATTCAATCTTTTTGTATGGAATCAGTTTTTTGTTTTTGTGATTTCTCTCAGTGTGAGGGTTCCCTTGACCTTCATCTTATATATTAACATAATTTGCTCTCTATATATTTCTCAGGCTATTATGGAAGTAGGAGAGGTCATCCAGTTTTATGACTCTGATAAGCGATTTCCTGCCTGGGGTTTTGGAGGAAGAACATCGGATGGTTCTGTGTCTCATGCCTTTAACTTGAATGGAGCATCATACGGCGATGAGGTAACTTACAAGACTAGAAAACTGTTTTGCTTTTTTTTTATTATTGGAACTAGTATATTGTGTGCATACTGGTGTATATTATTACAAATAGATTATACTGAACTTTTGTCTATTTTCTTATTTCAGAACCATGAACATTGCATTCTAGTATTTGCATGTTAAGTTCCACATAGCTTCATATTCTCTTTTCCTTTTCAGGTTGTTGGAGTTGAAGGAATCATGACAGCTTATGCGAGTGCTCTTCGCAATGTTGCTCTAGCGGGACCGACTCTTTTCAGCCATGTGGTTGACAGGGCTGCTCATACTGCTTCACAGTCACTCTCACAAAACAGTCCAAAGTACTATGTTCTGCTCATCATTACGGTAAGAAACTGAGAACTCAGATGCGTGCAATTCAGATCAAATGAGCATCTGTTAATATTGAATGTCAAAATGTTTGGATGTGTGAACAGGATGGAGTCCTTACAGACATGGCGGGTACAGTAGACGCATTGGTGAGAGCTTCTGATCTCCCGTTGTCAGTTCTTATAGTCGGTGTGGGAAACACAGACTTCAGACAAATGGAGGTAAAAGTTTTGTTTTTGTCTAGTAAATAAGTTATATATCTTATCTCGTATCGTCTCTGTCAAAAGCTTCAAGTTCTTGTCTAGTGTGACTTGACCTTGTAAATTATTTCAGATACTTGATGCTGATAATGGTCGCCGGTTAGAGAGTTCTACCGGTAGGATAGCTACACGGGACATCGTTCAATTCGTGCCTATGAAAGACATCCATAGTGAGTTTTAAATTTCTTCATTTACAAAAATTTCTATACATTTCAAAGGCATTGTTTGTGTTAAGTGTTTAGATGCGTTTTGGATGTGATAGTAAAAAATTTGAAATTTGGTTGCAGGTGGACAAGTGTCAGTGGTGCAGGCACTTCTAGAGGAACTTCCCGGTCAATTTCTGAGCTATGTCCGTACCAGAAATATCAATCCGGTCGGCGCTCCTGCGATTTGAGTTTACCGCATAGTCTATTTTCATTTTTTTTGCTTTGCATAGTTCATCATGTTCTTAATTTACTTAGGTTGGAAAAACAAATTAAGGAAACACATATAAAATTGCTAAAGCATGTATATAATTATTCATTTATAGCATTTATGTATCACAATAGTATCATTTCTCTTGTATATATGAATATTATATAACTTGTTGACAAAGATCAAAAAGAATATGATATAACTTGTTGACAAAGATAAAAAGAGTATGATATAATCACGCATCAAAATGTAAAATTGACTGGATACGATACGATGACAAGAGAAGAAATCGTAAATTCCTGATATACACGTTGTTGAGGTTTTCATAAACCATGGGAAAACAAAATAAGACATCTGTCAAAATTAGCTGAAGAATTTTACTTTTAACAAAATATTGGAGATGCGGGGGATCGAACCCCGTGCCTCTCGCATGCAAAGCGAGCGCTCTACCATTTGAGCTACATCCCCATGTTGTTGTATTCGAAGACAATAACAATCTTTATATTCTTTAAGCATTAGTACATAAACTAAACAATTGAATTTCCTCAAACATGCTCTAGAAGCCTTGATATCTAAATGAACAGAGAATAGGCCTGTGAGATTTAGCTAAGATGTGTATCATCTAAATGCTAATTAGAATATGAGATTTGAGCTTTTTGATCTAAGTTAATAATGAGACGATTTCGTCAGCTTATCAGCAAAATGAGTTTGGTCGATAAGCTTGTCCGAAGTAATACTAAACATGAAAGGCTGGTTTTTAAGTCTAAACTATCATATCATTCAACACTTAAAGCTTTTTAAACTGAATCTGATTCGCCAAAAATACAAACTTGAGGGTCTATTTTACAAGTTCTTCCAGAAAGAAAGAGGGAATCCAAACAACAGAGACTGAACTAAGAAAGTGACAAAAGAAGAAGAAAGAAAAAAAAACTCAGAACTCCTGAGAAGCAGATCCAATATCTCCTTTGTTCTTCCCAACCTTTGAAGGCAAAAGGTTCTGATGAATATTTGGCAAAACTCCACCATTCGCAATAGTCACGCTTCCCAAAAGCTTACTTAGCTCCTCATCGTTCCTCACCGCAAGCTGAATGTGTCTTGGTACAATACGTGTCTTCTTGTTATCCCTTGCTGCGTTCCCAGCTAGCTCCAACACCTACAACAAATCAACCAAAACAAATATCGAATCAGTACAAGAACCAATTCAGATGTGACCAGATTGGCAATTGCGAGAGACGGGGCTAAATGAAATACCTCAGCGGCGAGGTATTCGAGTACAGCGGAGAGATATACCGGAGCTCCGGCACCGACACGCTCGGCGTATTTCCCGGATTTGAGGAACCTGGCGATTCTTCCGACTGGGAATTGGAGACCGGCCTTAGATGAACGAGAGACGGATTTGGTGGCTTTTGGCTTGCCTCTCCCACCCTTGGTTGTTCCGCTTCCCGCGCCGGTGCTCATCGTCGTCTTCGAAATAAGAACGAATTTGAAGTGATTTTGTAGAAATCGAAAACTGGAAATGGAGAAGAAGTTGAGTGGACTTTAGGGTTTTGTTCTTCTTTATTTATAGGCTTGAAAGGTTTACTCTCATTGGTTGATCATGAAATCACGCGGATTGCCAGCATGGCACATCGGAAGCCTTTAAATTGTGTGAGTTTTGGTCCGTACATCTGTTTCTAAGAAAGCGATTTTAATTAAAACTCCCTCAACTATTAACCATTCACCATTTAAGTACCTTTATTATTTATTCTATATATTTAGACCCTGAATCGGGAAACCCATTTGATTACTAAGTTTAGGTAAATAGTATACACAGCGGTAATCAATTCGCTCGCTGTTAATTCTTAAATTTACCACCGTACTTCTCTTTTACACAAACACATTGTACGTTGGAATCGGAATTTTTACCCAAGATCAGATTCTCAAAGCAAAGGCGCTTCGTGTCTTGCACATCTTCTCATCGGATCAACAGACAAGTGCACTCATGAAACATCTTCTTCCTCTCGAGCTGGTTCTCCATTTCTAAAGGATTTGTTATGACAGACAGAATATACTTTTGTTTATTACTTGCATGATGTAACCAACCAAACTCTATTCATTATTCAATAGGATTTATATCTTTTATATAATATATGATATGGCCGACCAGAAAAGAAAAATCTAGATACACCATCTAGGCATCTAATATAAAAAAATAGTATTAGTTGAATCATAATATCTCCACTCCCGAAGAACGTATTATGCAACAGTTGTTCACATGGGAGAGACCAATGAGCCATTGCCAAATTAAAGATTGAAGACCATTAAAGTACAGAGTAACCGAAAAAAAAAAGAATAGAAAAGAAAAGAATAGGAAGGAGAAGGAGCAGAGAAGATGGAATCTGGAAGTATCAAAACCCCTCTGGTGGAAAAAGAAGAAGAAGAAGAAGAAGAAGAAAGAAACTCATCTTCCATCACTTCTGGTCTTCTTCTCAGTACCTCCGTCGCTGTCACTGGATCCTTCGTTTATGGCTGTGCTGTGGGTTTTCATTCTTTCTTTCTTTCTTTATTTTAAGTTTCCAGCTTATGTTCATTCATATTACTGTGTTTCTTATGGATCTCTCGATTAACCTATCTCAAGATCGGATTTTATGATTGAGGCCTAATTTTGTGTTTGACTCATAATTGGAAGATGTCATATTCGTCGCCTGCTCAATCCAGTATCATGGAAGAACTGGGACTTTCCATTGTAGATGTAAGCCCAACTTATTTGTCTTGTAGTAATTTATTACATGTCAATATTGTTTATTACTAATTGTGTTGTGTGTTTTTTTTTTTTTTTTGTCGACTTTGTGTTGTGTGTTTGGTGAACTTGAAGTATTCGTTTTTCACTTCGGTAATGACAATGGGAGGAATGATTACGGCCGCGTTTAGCGGAAAAATCGCTGCCCTTATTGGTCGTCGTCAGGTCAAAACTAAATCTCCCTTTCGTATTTTACTGTTGTACTACTTTATACTACTTTAGTAGTAAGTATGACGTAATATGCACGTTTGAATTGTTCATCTCTCTTTCATCTCAGACAATGTTGATCTCCGATGTTTTCTGCATCTTTGGTTGGCTCGCTGTAGCGTTTGCACAGGTTTTTTCTTCTCCAGAAAAAAAATACGATTGTCATGTTCACTATTATATGGACAGATTCTCTAAAGTTTTTATTTTTAACATTTGAGTTGTGTGTGTGATTATTTTCAAGGATAAAATGCTGCTTAATATTGGACGAGGTTTCTTGGGATTTGGTGTTGGTCTCATTAGTTATGTGGTAATTAACTTTTAATTATCCTCCTTTTTTTAACGACAAAAGTCTTTATTTATTTACTTATTTATACGAGCGTTGTTGGTTAATCTCGTTTTCTACACCATCTTGTTGTTTCGATTCATCAAAAATATACAGGTGCCTGTGTATATAGCAGAAATTACACCTAAAAAATTTCGTGGAGGATTCTCTTTTTCCAATCAAGTAAGGAAAAAAAAAACAAATCTCATCAAATTATGCAGCTTATAATTTCAAAAATCTCGATATTTTTAATTATAATTTTACTATCTTGGGTTTCACTTGTAGTTGCTACAAAGTTTTGGGATTTCACTCATGTTCCTCATCGGGAACTTTTTCCATTGGCGAACATTAGCTCTTTTAAGTAAACTATATATCTTAAATCATAACAATGTTTATATTTTAACACACATTACTAAACTTACTTATGATTCTTTTTACTCTTTGAGTAGGTGCAATCCCATGTGGTATCCAAATGATATGTTTATTTTTTATTCCTGAATCACCTAGATGGCTGGTAACTTCCAACCCCTTACCGTTTCTTTTAATTCCAATGTATTTATTGTTGAATACTGTATTTAAGTACGGATAAATAATGTTCATCTTAGGCGATGTATGGTCGAGATCGAGAGCTTGAATTTACGTTGAAGAGACTAAGGGGAGATAATAGTGATCTTCGCGAAGAAGCAGCTGAAATCAGAGTAATTGTTATTTTTTACGTACTATGCTTTGCTACATATACATATTTTGGTTTAAGTTCTAATTTTTTTTATGTGAAACAGGAAACAGTGGAAACCTTTAGAAGAGAATCTCAAAGTGGAGTAAGAGATTTGTTCAATATGAAAAACGCACATCCGTTGATTGTAAGTCTCATCTAATACCAATCATTTATTTATACAAATAATTTAGAAGAGACCGAGATATATTACCTAATTTTTGTGACCTATTGATGATCAAACTTATATAATAAAAATACAAATATGCATGTCACTATCCTTATGCCATAGAGTAAATTAAATCAACTTGAATGTTTGGGTTTATAATTTTTTGTTTGGAAATGGTTTAGATTGGAGTGGGACTAATGCTATTGCAACAATTTTGCGGGAGTTCCGCGATAAGTGCTTATGCTGCTCGTATTTTTGTCACAGCCGGTAAACCATAATTAACATTTTTTCCAGAGGGCACGTCACACACTTTGGTTTACTACTACTATTGTATCAAACAATCAATACCATCTCATGATTTTTAATCATATATACTATTTTTGTCTTGCGTTATTATTAGGTTTTCCAAGCAACATAGGAACATCCATCCTTGCCATTATTTTGGTAAAACAGAACATTGTTTAATGGTTTTATGTATTTTTAATTTTTGATTATATATTTCAACCTATTTAATTAAAATACAACTTATTCTTCTTCTTGTTTTGTAGGTACCGCAATCTTTAATGGTCATGTTCGCCGTCGACCGATGTGGACGCCGACCACTTCTGATTGTAATAGTTTCATTATGTTCGATACAGTTCCATTATTGTTTTCTTAATTTAGATTAAAAAAAATTATTTTTTGTGATTTTTGATATATATTTATATTTGTGTGTGTGTGTGTGTGCAGAGCTCATCTATCGGACTGTGCATATCTTCATTCTTTATTGGCCTTTCTTACTATCTTCAGGTTTAGTCTTCTTAACCATTTAGATCTTTCTACCTTCTATGGATTTTTAGTTTTCTACAGACTAAAATTAGTGTCATGTTTTCAACCACCTCGCAGAAGCACGGTGATTTTCAGGAGTTTTGTTCTCCTATTTTAATGGTCGGTTTAGTGGTACGTAAATGACAATAGGCCAACCGGTTTAAATTTAATTGATTTGGTATTTTAATTATCTACTACTACTTGGTTTGAAACCACAAGAATGATTAACAAAAGTCTTATATATATGTATGTAACAGGGTTATGTGTTATCCTTTGGGATTGGTCTAGGTGGACTACCATGGGTTATAATGTCTGAGGTATCAATTTATTTACTTTTTTTTTAAACTAAAAAAAAAAATTTACTTTTATAGTATGAAAATTACATAATTGATTCGTTAATATGATTGGCAGGTGTTTCCGATGAACGTGAAAGTCACCGCCGGTAGCCTCGTAACAGTGTCAAACTGGTTTTTCAGCTGGATTGTCATTTTTAGTTTCAATTTCATGATGCAATGGAGTGCTTTCGGTAAAATCCTACCCCATCAATTTGACGTTAATTTTTTTTTATTATTCTTCAAAAAAATACTACAGAACCTAACAGAAATAATTATAATAATATACTTTCAGGAACATATTTTATATTTTCTGGAGTTTCTCTAGTATCAGTGGTATTTGTATGGACATTGGTGCCTGAGACCAAAGGCCGAACACTTGAAGAGATTCAAACATCACTAGGCCAACAACTTTCTTAATTCTAAGGCTTCAATGTTTGTTTGATCCTTGTTTCGCTATGGCTGCGACGTGAGACTTCATAACCTCTCATCTTTCTTTTTCTTTTTTCTTTCAATCTATTTTCCGGTCATTTTGGATTTTCCAGTTTTACGAGCCAGTTCAAATTATATATTCTTGCTTTGGTAATTGTACAATATTTTTTTTTTCTTTCTTAAAATACAAGTTGGAATATACGTGATTCTGTGTGTAAATAACCGTTATTAATTTTGCCTAATTTTGTGCATGCATTATTTTATCAACTAATCGAAAAATCATGGAAGAAGTGGGGAGTGGGGACTTTATGACACTTGGATGTAACTCACATCAATTGCCACTTTTTATATTTAGAGAAACAAAAAAAAATCAAACCGGTTAAAAAAACCAAACCAGCATTCCCGGTTTGAATGGTCTATTTTCTATCTTGGTGACTATTCGTTTTCTAGTAACTTAGGTAAATGATACGCGTTTAGGAAAAATCTCTGCACTCGTTGACAGGTCTAATATTTAAAACTGTGATTAGTGAGCTCTATCTACAAATCTTAATTAGATTAACACATTCATTAGGAAACGTTAATAAAGGAAGGTAAATAGACCGTCGTCAACCTTAACTGTAGATTAACGTTAGGTTTGCAAAATTTATGATTTATGTAAATATATCATATTTGACTAGGACTAGGAGTTAACGAGAAAGACTATGGCTAGTAAAACTAGTAGGGTAACTTAGTAATAACTAGAAGAAGTACGAGGACCGTGCTGTAAAATTAAATAACACTGAGGAGTAAACTGCTAAGTATAAATTGCAGTAAGCTACTACTCCTGGCGGCCCGTGTTATGTCGGTTTAGAGTCACTTTTAACTCACCGGAGACTTCTCGGAGAAGAGAATCCCCAGAGATTAAAATGGTGATTCCGGCGAATTCTAGGTATTCTTCTTCTTCTCATTTCTTGTATACTAATTTGTCTCTCTCTATCATTTGACTTTTGATTTTTCTTGGTTTACTTTATTGTTTATCCAAATGATAATGATTGTTAAATAGTTTCTATATAAATAAAGAAAGAGTGATTTTAATAACAATCAATCTTTCTAATTACCGTCTCCTTTAGGTTTGGGTTTCGTGCTGAACTCAGCACCAAGGACTTTCAAGCTTTCTGCATCTCTCTCGCTAAGTACTTAACCGCTGCTACTCATCTTTCGTTTACCCTAAATTCTGCATTTCTGGGTTTCCAATTTCACTGAGAATTTATCTTCTTGGGGGGTGAAATGCAGTGAAATCGATGCAGCTATTGGGAAAGATGAAGTTCCAGGGAATGTTCAAGACCTGGCTTTAGTCCTCCTCAACAATGTTTGTGTTTTCTTTGAATATTCCCAAGGTGCTTCTCTTCCTTTTGGGTTTTGTATGCTACTCGCTCATATTGCTGTTTTTCTTGTGTTATGTGGTGCAGGTTTTCCACCGTATGAATGATGATTATCAAACGAGGGCTGTGATAATGTTGCTGATGATCTCAGCCAAGGTAATACAGAGTTTTAAGAGTATAGTAACATTAGCTAAAGTCATTGAGGCAGAATTTCATACAAGTTTTATTTATTTATTTGGATATTGGTTACTTAGTTGAGGTGTATATGGAATAATACTGTGTCTATGTTTTTCTATCAGAGTGCTTGTCAGCTTGGGTGGTTCCCGCAGAAAGAGACTCAACAACTGTTGGCTATCATAGACTTGGTATGTTTCCTTCCAGCCGAATTTCTGAATCAGGATTCTGTGTTACTAATGATGTTTTTCTTCTTGTTCAGCTGTCTAATAGTTTCAGCAGTCCTGAAAATGTCACTCCTTGTGTAGATAGTCCTGTCACTCTAATTTCGCAGGTCATAGAGAGGTAGACTTCGATTTTCTTATGATATTTTTAGCTTATGAGGATTGAGTATTTGACGGCTCCTCATGTGTGTTCATTCAGTTATTTCAAATTACTAAGCGTACCAGTCTGTTATTGTAAAGAAGACTTGGTCACTAAAATCAAAATCTTTTTTTTTTTCTTTTCTGGGCTCTGCTTCTTTCTGTCTGTAGGTTCTATCCATGTGTGAAGCTGGGGCATATTCTTGTTTCTTTTGAGCCCAAGGTGACTTTATTTTTTTATTTAGTTTCTAGCACCTTTTTTTTTATGTGTGCTTTAGTTAGATTTGTTTCTTGTGGCAGCCAGAATCAAAGATATTGATGAAGGACTTCTATATTTCAAAGAAGATCCCCTATTCTGGTAAACAGAAGGTGGTATGTATTGCAATTTGAGTTATGAGTGCATTTAATTACTGTGCTAGCCTTGGTACCAGATTTTGCGTGGCATGTAAATATGCTTGATGCTCATATAATATTATGCATGTGTGGTTTCTCCTGCTGCAATTAGGTAAGAAGATGCATGAATGTACTTTCAAAGCTTACCGTTGAGCTTTGCTCGTCGCGTCACTTCAGCATTTTATAGTTTTAAATCTTTGTTTATGTACTGCTAATTATGCTCAAAGGTTTATAACGGAATCTTGCTTGCTCTGTAGGGATTATTTGTTGTCCGCACAGAGGACATAAGCAAGTCTAATTGTATTGTGCATCCGCAAAAAGTCAGGTGTGGTTGGATTGCTTTCCTTTTTCTGCTGGATGTTTGTGAGCAGTTTATGTATTTTAACCATGTTGGTCTATATATTACAGCTTTTTGTTGAATGGAAAGGGCGTTGACAAGAGAGTTAACATGTCAATGGTTTGTGCTTTTCGGTTGTTTCTCGAATATTATTTGGAAGTACTTACTATGATGCAAGTAATTGGTTATTGTAACTTCTTTTCAGGATTCAGGGCCGCAGCTTCCAACGGATGTTACTCCCCTACTCAACGTTGGGGCGAATCTTCTACAAGCAATAGGCTGTTTTGGAGGTTTGTTCAATGAAGTTTTCTTGATCATCTTTAGTTCCTCTCCTCATTTTCAGTGATAATGGACTGTTACCCATTTGTTATAGGTAGTTACTTAATTGCTATTGCTTTGATGGATGTCATACCGCTGCCCGACAAACTGTTGCTGAAAGATTATGTTCACCCCGAAGCCATTGAATCAAACTCAGGTATATCCAAAAGTATTTAGTCACTAGGAGTAGAAACTATCCGCTTACTGTTCCACATATGAAGTCATCAAATCATTTAGTTGTATGCATTCATATAATTGTATTCCAAGACCACTTACAGATCAACCATTGTTTGTCTTTTCCAATTTTGCTGTAGATTGTGACATAATTGAGGGGCCATCAAGGATATCTCTCAGTTGTCCTATCAGGTATCCCGGGATGTTTTTCCGATGTAGCTTTATATCTTAAGAAGTTGCTTTCACAGTTACCTCAACCTTATAAGATTTAATCATCACTACTATAACAGCCGAACGCGTATCAAACTTCCTGTGAAGGGTCATGTCTGTAAACATCTTCAGGTGATGCATTTTCTGTTAAGCATAAGTAATAATAGGATCCTTTTTGTTTTTCCATTCTTTAGATCATCGTGAGAAGAATTATTTAATTAAATTCGTTATAAATGTGTGTGACCTCCTTAATTTTGAATAAAATTAGAAAAAGGGCTTGGGTTTAGCAAAATTAGAATCTATAGAGATATTTTACTTATCTCTGTTTTGACATGTTATTTTCTGCTGTAGTGTTTTGATTTCTCGAATTATGTCAACATGAATGTGAGAAGACCATCATGGCGCTGCCCGCATTGCAATCAGTCTGTTTGCTACACTGATATCTGTGTAGATCAAAAACTGAAAAAGGCAGGTAGCTTATTGTTGTTGCTTAGTGATAAATCTTTGTACATCCTACATTGAATATATAATCTTGTCCAATATCCACAGATTCTAGAAGAGGTGGGATGTAACGCTGCTGATGTGGTTATCTCTGCTGATGGATCATGGACGGTTGCAACAGAAAACGACGAGGACGTGGAACTTGTGCCGGAAACCACTCATGACCATGGAGATCCAAATAGTTTCATAAACTTGGGGCCTACGGTTTTGGATCTTCCTAGAGATGAGAATGAAACGGAAACATTCAGTGGCATTCAAGTCCATGAACAGAATCCTTGTATATATGAGATTCAGGGTCAGTCAGTTAACTCGCATAAGCCTGCTACAGATTATACTATGCTTAACCAGTCTTCTGCTTCAATCAACACACTGCCACAGTTGACACAAACTTTGAATGCCTTTGATGGGCAACAATTCATGAACTTACCACAAGTAGTAAACACCCAAGATTCAGCAGCAAGACAAGCCTTGCCCATGACATTCGCACCAACCTCATCTCCACAAGATAGATATGCTGCAAGCTTTGGCACATCAATGCCTGTTGCTCAGTCTTCTCAGTTTCAAGGCTCACATGTTATGCCCCTTAGAAATTGTGTAGGAAGAACCTCTGATTTGATGGAGAGATGGAACCACATCCATGGACGTGGCATCAATCAGTCTCAATTTCCATCCGCGCCTCTGTCTCAACATCATTATACGATGCAGGTATGTTATATATTATCCTACCGATGTTCTTTGTTTGCTCGCTTAACTATCTTGTGAAGCTGCATTACAATGATATTTTATCGTGCTGTACATTTCAACTAGCGCAATCCAATACAACTTATAACAGAAATTATGGGCAATTCAAATAGAACGGTTTGGACATGTTACTGCTTCAGATTTACTTTGGTCTAGGAAAGTTAGAACATATACCTGATCTTAACCTCCATTTGGGACTTGAAGGATTCTGATCTCTAATCTCTCCTATTCATGAATTCCTTGCTTCTTTGAACTAATTCTGAAGATTTGTTATTCTTATCTGTTTGCATAATCAGAGCCAGTCCCCCCCTGCACAGGAAAGACGAATGCCATCTTACAATGCACATCCTCAAACTTTACCTGTCAACTACGGAGGGAACACTGACCTAAGACCGATGCCAACTTCCATTACACATCACCAAACTGTACTTAACTACGGAGGGAATGCCCACAGAAGACTAATGCCATCTTCCAATACATATCTCCAAACTTTACCTGTCAGCTATGGAGGGAACGCCCACCAAATACCTATATCGTCTTCCGTTACACATCTCCAAACTTTACCTGTCACCCACGGAGGGATCGCCGATCAAAGACCGATTCCATCTTCCATGTCACATCTCCAAACTTCACCTGTCAACTACGGTGGGACCCACGAGCAAATACCCATGCCAAGACCAATGCCATCTTCCATTACACATCGCCAAACTTCATCTGTCAACTACGGAGGGGCCAACGGCCAAAGACATAATCCTGGTGGTGCAATGGGACAGTTCTCATCACAAGAGTTCATAAATTTGACTCCTGGTAACACTGCAAATTGGCGCCCACCGAGCCGGATGCGAGGCAGCCTAGCACCTGGTACGGGATATGACCATATGATCATTCGACCTACACAGCCGGTTCAATCACAAGCGCAAAGGCTTCATCCACCTCAGCCAACAGCTCATAATGTAGCTGATGAGATTCAAGAATTTCTGTTGCATCCAAGTTATCCCGTTGGTACTAACGAAACACAAGCTGGGACCAGTTCAATCCCCGTGGCTGAGGATCTTGGGTTGTCAGGGTCGTTTTGGTCAATGCCTCCCGAGACATGGTGATATCAGATGACTTAGAGAATGTAACACGCGGTTCATAGCAATAGGATGCATCACTAACACAATCAGTCAGTAGTCACAGTATATAAGCCCTTTGTTTCCTTTTTTGGTACTAACCGCTTTAGGCTTACGGTGCATATAAGGGGCTCTAGTTCTCGATGTTGCGTATTCTTGAAATTCACTTAATATGACAGATTAGGGTATGGTTTGACCGATCGACCGAGAAACCTAAGCTCACATAACCATGTTTGTTATGTGGTCCCTAGATCTCAACATACATGAGCTCTGGCCATTCCTATCCTATCATGTCCTGACTTGTTATCACGAGTATTATTATTCTCATGATACATGTCCCCCTTGATTCCCTACTACATAATATAATCATGAGCGCTCGAGAAATTTGTTTTTCTTTTCAAAACTAGTTATCATTGGTTAATGTTGCTTGTTTAGCGATCAATCTACCAGTTTACTCTTCAATTCAATATAGGTGACGTGAAATTTAATTAAACTTTTTGCCGTAAAAAAATAGATACATTCAAATAAATGATATATTAACAACCAAAATAATTCGCACTAGTCTTCCTCGTTTTAAGGTTGCGTTTTATAATAGTGTAAAATACTTGCGCACTAATATGTCATCTGAGTTTGAATACCTTCGCAGGTTATAGAGTTATTTATTTCACTAGATAAGTTCATGTGCTTTATGTGTGTGTTTCAGTCGAACATGACTTCAAATTTTATCAAATCTTGATTTTGAATTGAAAGTATGTATCCGATCAATATTGAAAGTCTAACCTAACTTAAATAAATAGATCGTGGATCGTAGTCGTGCATTGGTAGGTACGCTGTTCTTCATACTAAAAACGTGAACTATTGATAGAAAAAATAATAAAATTTCATTCAAATATTCTTTCAAATAACACCAGAGCTCATTTTATTAATTATTCTGTCTTTTAAAATATTACAAGTAGAGTAAATAAGATAACTGAAGGAATGTTCAATACACGAAAGACGACAAGAGAACATGATCATATAACATATATGAATTAATGTAAAATAGAGACAAGATGGTCGTCGGTATATCATCTAAATTATATAATCCCACATGAAACCATACCAAAAAAAAACGCTAATGCAAGAATCCAAACGCACAAATCTAAATGAGAAGATCATCATCCATCATCTTCTGGTTCGATCGATTCTCCTACTAATGATCAATCTATGCATCAGCTAGAGTAACTTGGTCTTCTACATGTGAGATGAGGCACCACGAGAAAGAAAGAAAGCTAGAATACTATGCCCATATCGGTGGTCCTAGCTGGTCCCTATCGTGACAATTATTAAAGATACAGTTCCTATCCTGTTATATGTCCTCGCGCAAAGTTTTATAATGAATTTGAAACATTTTTTTGCTATTCCCTATACTACGGCATATATATTTCTGCAATAGCAAAATTTCTTAGTATCGTAGTTACAATTCATCACTAACCAAATTAAAATCTGAACCTATGTCAAATTTAGAGATTGAAGTCGTGCTTCATTATATTAGTAGGTACGCTAATCAACATACCAAAAACGTGAACTATTATTAACAAGTAAAACTCATTTATTATTCTCTGTATTTTTTATTTTTTTTTTACAAACAGCAAAGCTCTTTTATTATTCTATCTTATGATGAGAGAAGACGATATGACGTATGTATAGCCAATCTCGTGGAATATGTTGTTAATTTGTATATCTACCCGCATAATATTGTGCATCTGAAGTAGAGAGACAGAGAGAGAACGGATCCAATGTACCAAGCTATTCTTTATTCCAATTAGACAAAGGTGTACATGTAATCGAGTACTCACCTTTTTATCTATAACAAAGATTATGTTTTCTATCTCAAGCTCCACTTGTTGGTAACACTCTCTTTATGTCACTTCCCAAGTTCCCATGCTTGTACAGTTTTTTCTTTTATATATTTTAAAAGTAATTCACATATAAACGAAGTAACGAACCCTAGTTGCACCAAAATCGCAGATAATAATCAGTTTAACTCCTTTAACCTTTGTTATGTTTTTCTTTGGAGAACAAAACTCCCAAGTTATTTATATATGACTGTAAAAAGACTCATGTAATATGGTACAAGATTGATTCTCTCGCGATCCTTATGAGAATCACTCGATTCTCCTTTAAAAAGCCTTCACATATAAACATCATATTTACGTAGCAGATTTTGATAGTTTTCGAGTTTATCATACGCACTGTTGCTTTATGCATGGTTTTTCAAAAATTGTTATCTCTAGTGATTATAAGAGCCGTTATAGATTGATGAAATCTCTCATCAATACTATAGTTTAATTTGGGTTAGACAGGTCGGGCTACTATCGAGTTCAGTAAATAGTATTTGTTTTGCTGGATTTATCATATCTATCTCGGTTCAAACGAACAAACCAAATCTCTTCCCATTCTTGGCGTTATTCATTCCAACTTTGAACATCATAGAATCTTGAATATCACATAATCCAAATCAATTGATTAATTTATTACTTAGTACTATTGATTAATATTCACTTTAATTTGGGGTGTTGCGTCGGTTTCAACAATCAAAATTTATTTACCATCCCTTGATTAAAAAACATGTAAAATTTAAAGACGTCCATTTTGTAGCCAGTATTAATTGATTTTGACTCGCTTGTTGTTCTACTAGTTGAATTTAACGAGTCGGAGTTGAATGAGTTACGTTGTTTGTTCTCCAAATACCATGTTTGTTGAGATTGTAAATTTCCAGATCCACACGACTTTGAAGTCATATCTAAAAATATTTCAGTGACCAAACATATGCGTGAGAAAAATATTTTTAATTAAGGCGAGTAAATACGAAGGCAAATTAGTTTATACATACTCGTAGGAGACAAGATAGACCAATTCACTCTGAAAAGGAAAAAAAAAAAAAATAGACCAAAATAATAATTGATTCAAATCTTGGCACCTTATTGGGATTATTCTTTTAGGTCACAATTACATATCTTAATTGGGAGAACAAACTTTATTCGTCACATGGAATGGAACTAACGGACTAAAAAAACTTGCAGATCTTAAATGAGTCATTGAAAGGAGGCCAAACATTAAAGAATCCCAAACTTTTATGATACTTAAAAAAAGATGTATATGAGTCACACTAACTTTTTTTGTCCTAATATCACTGAAGAATAATCACTTATTCTCGTCGTTGCTACTGGCTACTGCCTTTTTCTCTTTATTTTCTGAAGACCAAAGAAAAGGAAAAAGATACTACTAGTCAATCAATACATCTCAAAATATAAAGACCATTTAAAAGTGTTTCTTCTTTGCCATTACGTGCATCTCTACCACCAATCTTTCAACCACTTCCTTTGTCATGGCTGCTAGCTATGTAGAAGAAGAAGAAGATCAATAGAGAGAGGCTAATAAAAAATGACCATGTTTGTTATCGGCTGGCTGACGTATCCTAACGTTATTGTTACACCGATCATGCATGTGAAGCAAAAAAAACACGAAGTTCCAGGATCAACGGCTCCACCACACGTACGTAAGCGCCTCTCAAAGTTAATAGCAGGATTATGAATACACTTTCCCGCCATCTAAAACCAAGGGTCTTATGGTCATATCCAATCTTTCCTAACAACAACAAAATAAAATAAAATAAAAGGAAACATAAACATCGGCAGCCCCCAGCATTGAGATGCAATAGTGCACACAAATACCATTACCTATACCAACCATTTTTATAGCGTGCGTTCAACCTGTTACCTCTACATGCGGCAACGTAAACATGTGATAGTACTGATGATCATGAATAAACGTTCATCATTACTTACTTTAATTTGTATTTTACTATTTATTGATTTTGGTGAGCCTCATTCTCATATATAATTGACACATTTGTAAGGCTACATAATGAACATCGATCGCTCTCTCTCTCTCTATTCTCTTTAGCCATTCCTCTAAACCGTATGTGTTTATATTTTATTTCGATAAAACACCTAAAATGCCCCTTTTAATTTTCCCTTTTGATTAAATAGACTGAGAAAATATAGGACAATAAATACCTTTTTCCTCGGAGGAAATTCAAAGGTTGTTGATGATTTCCACAATTAGAAACAAAATATGTCTGTATGCAGTCAGTATCAAAATTAGGTATTGACAGAAAACAAAAAAAAAAGTCATAAGAAGATATGAAGTGTGAGGATCGGAGAAACCGTTTTGAACGTACGTAAGACATTTGAAATGTATATAGTAGCTAGTAGTAATCTAGATTTGCTTACAAGGAATGTTGAGTTGTGTCATTGGCTACTCTAACGCAATAGCTAACGTGCACGGCTTGCTTCTTCTTTTTTTCTTTTTTTTCCTTTATATGTAAACTTAGAACCTCCACCAACGCGTTTACTATATTTATTGCATGAAACTATACCAAGTGTGACAACTCATGTGACTTTTTTTTTGTGATGAACAGATTAACCACGTATGAAGTATATATCTAGATTGATCATTCACGTAAGATATATTATATTTTTATTCTTATCTAGAATATTCAAGTCTCTCCATCATACTATATATATATTAATATATAAATATATCTGCGTTTCAACTTTTAATTCAAATTTTGACAATTTGAACTAGACTTTATAAACAAATTTTACTAAAAATAAATAAGTGGTAATTGCAGTTCTGTTAATGTGGACTATATATGGGTAAAATCAGATGATATTTTCTTAGACAATTTCGAATCAGAAAAATACTTCTAAAACGATACAAAATTGAAACAGACGATGGATTTGTTGCATACTTTGTCCGGATTGTATAATCTGAATAATTAAAAATATGGATATGTGTAGAAGTGTCGTATCGGATTCTAAATCAAACATGACTAAACGAATGGTCAAAAGAGAAAAAAAGATCGCAAACTATTTATTAATTTGGCTAATTAAAACCCAACGGATAGGATAAAAAATACATATCCCTGATTTTGTAGATAAAAATTGGATAACGGTAGAAAGTGACATGAACTTTTTTTGCATTTTTCTTTCTTTAGTAGACCAAAAGACAAACCGAAACCTTTGGATGCAAACCAGAAAGAAAAAAAAACTTAAACCGGTTTTTCAATATAGGTTCGATTCATTTATGCGAAGAATTATAAAATAATATATAATATATTTCAATTATAATTATTTAAATATTTCGGAGTATGTGGTATTTAAAAATCTCTTATCTGGTTGGCTAGGCTCTACGGTACAAATCAATTAGATAAAGAGTAGAACATGTGTCATGTATTCGTTTCAGTCTGGGAAGAAAAATAGTTACATAGTTTTCTTTAATTTATATATATACAAAATTACAAACAGACCAAAAGACAAACCCCAATAAGCAGGCTGAATTAAAAATACCGGAGAACACACTCAAAACGGATTCACAAGTGTACCTAGACTATTACATGTATCTTATTCATCACACACAAAATTTACGGCTTTTGATTCATTTTACGGACCACCACCACCTTCAAAGTTACCTAAAGTGGAATAAAGAAGAAACTAAGCATTAAGCATCCCACTATGTCAAAAGAACAGAAAACAATTTGATAAAGATGATGTTGATGAATCACATATATACAACTTTTATAATTAAACTGATTTCATACACTTAGTCGGCCAATAATATAAAACAAAGTACAATTACAATAGAATTGTTATATGCAAATAAAAAACAACACGTACCCTGTTTTTTTTTATATAAAGAAAAACAAAGAGAAACGTGACACAAAAGAAAAGAAGGGAAGGTGGCCTCTGGCTTTCCTCCTCCATTAATCAAGGAATATAAATAAAATGAGAGAGCTTTTCACTCAGTCCTCTATAATGGAAATACAAATACCCCAATAAAAAGCATATCCTTTTCATACTCCCCAATAAAAGCATATACAAAACTATCTCTGTTTTTCCCCCCGAGGAGGAGAAAATAAGTTAAAAGATGACGATGTCGGACAACTCTAGAAATTTGGAAGCTGGTTTGTTACTTAGGAAGAACCAAAACGACATCAACGAGTGTCGTATCACTGCTGTTGTGCTCTTCAGCACCTTCGTTTCTGTTTGTGGTTCTTTCTGCTTCGGCTGTGCCGTGAGTCACATCATCTTCTTTCTCAATCTTTCTATTCTGTACGGTGAATATACTAAGAACATTTGTGGTGGGTTTGGTATCTTACAGGCAGGTTTTTCATCAGTTGCTCAAGCTGGGATCGTAAATGATTTAGGCCTCTCTGTTGCACAAGTAAGAAAGCAACCATTTTTATATGATTCTTCTTCCTTTCAATTCAACCTCCAAAAGTCTTTGCTCTAAATTGCTCTGTTTTCTATACTACTTTCAGTACTCTGTCTTTGGTTCTATCATGACTTTCGGAGGAATGATTGGTGCCGTCTTCAGCGGGAAGGTTGCAGATCTCATGGGTCGCAAAGGGGTATATATTTTAACCTGAAACTCCTCCACTTATGTCTGAATTAGATCATGGTACTGATGATTTTTTTCTCTTTGTTTTGGTTCTTCTTGGACAGACAATGTGGTTTGCTCAAGTGTTCTTCATCTTCGGTTGGACTGCAGTAGCATTCGCGCAGAGCTCGATGTTGCTTGATGTTGGAAGACTATCCACAGGATTTGCTGTTGGTTTATTAAGCTACGTGGTAATAAATCTTTTCTTCTAAACTCTCTTTTTACATCAAATTTCTCCTGTTTTTTACTGACTCTATGTTAACTCTGTTGCATTCCAGATACCTGTTTATATCGCAGAGATTACACCAAAACATGTCCGAGGAGCGTTTGTATTTGCTAATCAGGTAAATTAAAGAATATATAATATGGAAATAATAGTTTAGAAAAAGATACAAAATACTAGTAATATACTAAAAAAATTGTTCAAATGTCGTTACAGCTGATGCAGAGTTGTGGGTTGTCTTTATACTACGTCATTGGAACTTTTATTCATTGGCGTAAACTGGCGCTAATCGGTAAGCTTCATGTTTCTTTTAGCAAGTGATCTCATGTAATTCTTCAAGCCAGAGTGTGATTTAAGTTTTACTATTTGTTTCCTGTCTCTCAGGTCTCATTCCATGTGCTTTGCAAGTTGTGACTTTGTTCTTCATTCCAGAGTCCCCTAGACTACTCGTATGTTTCTGCTTAAACAAATGGTCCATTTTGATATTCTTATATATAAAAAAAACTGTGTATAATGATTCAGTATGGGTTTATATTGGTATGCAGGGCAAATGGGGACGTGAAAAAGAATGTAAAGCTTCATTACAACTTCTCCGTGGAGATGATGCAGATATCTCTGAAGAAGCCAACACTATCAAAGTACTGCAACTTTTCACACATCTCCTCTGTTTTTTTTTTCTTCCAAATTTTGATGTTTTAAACAAAACGTGACTAATGAGTCATTGGGAATTTAGGAAACCATGATGTTGTTCGATGAAGGACCAAAATCGCGGGTTATGGATTTGTTTCAGAGAAGATATGCTCCATCTGTTGTTGTAAGTTTATTACAAAACGTCTTTGTCTTAAAAATTGGTTTTGGTTTTTCTTGTATCGTTGCTTACTTTTTTATTTGACATTTTGTGTAGATTGGTGTGGGGCTAATGCTTCTCCAACAACTCTCTGGAAGCTCCGGACTTATGTATTATGTCGGTAGCGTGTTTGACAAAGGAGGTGAGATAGAAAAACAATACTCTGTTTCATATGCTACGAGATATGTATGGTAATTGACTGTCTTCATTTGGAGTAACATATAGTAATTGTTTTTTTACTGATGGCAGGATTTTCAAGCAGCATTGGCTCAATGATTCTTGCAGTCATCATGGTATGTGACTATCTGCTCCGCATGCGCATAGTTTCTATGTATTTACTTAGGGTAGTAAACTTATGATCATGTGTTCTGGTTTTGTAGATCCCAAAAGCTCTATTGGGTTTGATTTTGGTTGAGAAAATGGGACGCAGGCCGCTTTTATTGGTAAACATTTTGCTATCTCTTTTGGATCAAATATCAAAAATGAAGCAAATAAAAATTTAGCATCTCCTTTTAACATATGAATGATCTTTACAATTTCAGGCTTCCAATGGTGGGATGTGCTTGTTCTGCTTGCTCCTCAGTTTCACCTTCTGTTTTCGGGTAATTAATTGGTTTATAATTACCAAAGAGATATACACATAACTTTGGTTACTGTTACCAGAATTTATTCGTTAATACTTATTTTTGTTTTTTTTTCTATTTTTCCGTTTATTGGACAGTCATATGGCATACTTGATGAGCTTACTCCGATTTTCACATGCATCGGTGTAGTGGTATGTATAAAATCATTTTTGGAGATATAGGACATAATCAAGAAACTACAAGCAGTTAATGCTCTTGTATATACATATATTGATCTGGCTTTTACATCATATATTATACAGGGTTTCATCTCTGCATTTGCCGTAGGCATGGGAGGCTTACCATGGATCATCATGTCTGAGGTAAACAAAACATTATTATTTAACTCCACAAAAACGTGACATGTATAACTTTTCTATTTTTCATAACTAAATAAGTGTTACGTTAATTTTTATATTTTTACAGATATTCCCAATGAATGTTAAAGTTTCTGCTGGGACTCTGGTTACTTTGGCCAACTGGTCCTTTGGTTGGGTTGTAGCTTTCGCCTACAACTTCATGCTAGAATGGAACGCATCAGGTAACATATATGGTCATTAAAACATCTCGAATTATATTAGATCCATTATCTGATATTTGAAGTATATATATAATCTTTAATTATTTCTGCAGGAACGTTCTTGATCTTCTTTGCTGTATGTGGTGCGGGTGTAGCCTTTATTTACGCTATGGTACCCGAAACTAAAGGAAGAACATTGGAAGATATACAAGCTTCTCTCACAGATTTTCTACAATGAGATTTGAGTTTTATTATATAGTTGTTCATAGTTATTCTTTTTTTTTTTTTCTTGTTTTGGTTGCAATATTAGAGAAAATTAAGGGGAGGCCTTGAACATAAGGTTTAGATATCTCTCTTGATAGTATATAGATATATAGTCCTCATTGATTTTACACAGAAAACAAAACAAAGAAATTATAAAATTTATTTATAAGTTACTTTCCTTTTGCTTCACTTGTATTTTTCACACAGTTTCAGTAGAGTTTTACTTCTTAAGTAGGACCAAAAACAAAGAAAACCAAAGAGTTTGAGTCGTACACTTCTACTAGTACATGAGTACTTATCTGAAACCTGTCTGCTTCTCGAAAATTCTGTTGGATTCATTTGTTGTTTTGTATATGTTCCATATTTCTGGCCTCATTCATATGTACTTTGGATTTGTGAGTATTTCCCTTTTACAATTAGAATTCATTATTAGTTTCATCTTCTCGAATAAATACAGATAGTGACTAAAACATGTTATTTCCTTTTAAGGTTTTGAAAATTAGATATACAGCAAGCAACATCGAAATTTTTGCTATCAGTGTGAGTATGCGCCAACCATATTTTTTATGGTAGGTTAAGTGCATCGCATTTGCATAATAAGTCATAAAGATCAGTCCTTTTAATGATTAACCACTTTTTTGACATATTCTATAAATTATCTCTCTCTTTTCTTTTTTTTTTCTGTACCAACGCCATCAAGATGTTATTTAATCTTACTAGATATGTATATTAAATTATCGTAGTTGACAACTTGGGCGTAAACGGAACACTTTAGAAAGTTATATATTTTTATTAATCAAAAAGGAATAAAGAGAACATGTGGGAATGATCGCATGAATTACCTTTTTTTTTTTTTTTTTCCCCCGTGATCGATCTCTCGTCGATTTTATTTGTTATAAAGCTGAAAAGTTGTTCTAGATCAAATCGATGATATCAACTGCAAGTTAATATATATCTAGTTAGTTACTAATTGTTTTAACTTTTAACTAGTCATCCTTGTGTTTCTTATTGTAAATATTTCAGTAGATGATCAATTGAGTAAAAAGCCCTTAATCTATTCCATTCCATTAAGTTATTCCCATTTTTTAAGGAACAAAACTAGTTAATGGAGAGAGATAAACGATGATGAAAAACCATACCAAGAAAAAAGCAAAACAGAAACTAAGATTTAAGCACTATATATACACGATTGTATAGTGTGAAATGAGTTTTGTTTTGTCAATAATATGCACCATATGCATATATGGGATTGCGACTCTAACACACAAATCACTACACGTTTATATGGTGAGTAGTGTGAAATCAAATTAGTAATGATTAAAAGGTTTTGGTTAACTGACAGAGTGACTTGAAAAACTCAATTGGGTCTCTAAATGTTTGGGCTTGGAAGTCCAATTCATTTAGAAGATACAGTATTTTTGGTAAGAAAATGGGGGAAACATAAAGTTTATATGATAGAAAGGTCCAAATACTGTTTGTGTCAAATGATCTTTGGGATATATTGGGCCGGAAAGGGACTGCATGAGAACGAAATTTTCTCTTTTATGATGAGAAAGAGATGAGAAGGACCATGTAGGCAACGACTTCTTCACTCTACAAAAGCCAACAAACCCATAGAACAATTATGCAATATAAAAGTTTTAGTTAGATATGTCTATATTTGTACAGTCAAATTTTGCGAGATTTTGATCACTCACTTTTAGAAATTCATTCGAACGGATCAATTTCATATATAACTATCGTACCAAAAAAAATAAAAAAATTCATATATAACTATATATTATGTGGATGGGATCCTTTGGTTGTACATGCATGGAGATTAATACTTAATTGATGGTTGTTTGAATGCGATTCATGCAGGGATAAAATTTAGGACGGGAAACAAATAAAATTTGTACATTCACATTTAGAAAAAAGAAAATATATGGTTGAAGACTTTGTAGTTGTTGCAAATAACACAACCTACTAATTACCAACCAAATAGTGAAAGACAGCATGATTTTAATTTAGCCTAAGGCCTAAAATCCTTCACAAAATTGCGTAATGGGAAACAGAGTGGGATCAAAACACAAAAAGTTAGTATTTTTTTTTCTTGAGAACGTGGTCTCATATGGTGGGCTATAAATTTGTAACAATACATACATATTTATATACAATAACCATCTCTCCTCCATAAATTCCCATTTAATCTAAACGACGACCAAAAAGAGAGAAAGATAGGGAAAAAAATGGTGAAGGAGAAGAAGAAGAAGATGCCTCCAAAACGTATCATACTGATGCGTCACGGTGAGTCCGCAGGGAACATAGACGCAGGTGCATACGCGACCACACCGGATCACAAGATCCCTCTGACGGAAGAAGGAAGAGCGCAGGCGCGTGAGGCCGGGAAGAAAATGAGAGCCCTCATATCAACAAAAAGCGGCGGAGAGAACTGGCGCGTGTACTTCTACGTGTCCCCGTACGAGAGAACAAGGACGACTTTGAGGGAAGTAGGGAAAGGGTTCTCGAAGAAACGCGTGATAGGAGTGAGGGAAGAGTGTCGCATCAGAGAACAAGATTTTGGTAATTTTCAGGTCGAAGAGAGGATGAGAGTTGTCAAGGAGACCAGGGAACGTTTCGGTCGTTTCTTCTATCGTTTCCCCGAAGGCGAATCTGCCGCCGACGTCTACGATCGTGTTTCCAGTAAGTTTTTTTTTTTTTTTTTTTTTAATTAATGGATATGAATACAATATCGAATAGAATTAAATTACTATTTTGGATCTAATAAAATATCACGGAAACGAGTCTTTGGTCAAGTCTACGTTTAGGACTTTTGACATGAGCAAAGAAGACGTAGTTTGATTGGTTTGGTTATCGTCTTTGTCGAGTTTGTTGACATTTTTGGGAAACGTCTTCGTGTTTCTTGCGTAGTATAATGTATGCGATATACTCTAATAAGAAAATTTATTTTTAATCTAAGGAACCAAAAACAAAACTTAGGAAAGTTGCAACTGTAGATTAAGTTGTGTATAAATTAGAATAAGAATCAAGTTTCGTAATTAATGAAAAATTATCGCAATATAAAATTTCAATCTCAATGGTTTTTTTCACATAATTTGGAAGGTTTTCTGGAGTCTATGTGGAGAGATGTGGACATGAACAGGCATCAAGTGGATCCAACAAGTGAACTAAACCTAGTGATCGTGTCCCACGGACTGACCTCTCGGGTGTTTCTAACGAAATGGTTCAAGTGGACGGTGGAAGAGTTCGAGCGGTTGAACAATTTCGGGAACTGCGAGTTCAGGGTAATGGAGTTAGGTGCGAGCGGAGAGTACACTTTCGCTATACACCACACTGAAGAAGAGATGTTGTCTTGGGGGATGTCCAAAGATATGATTGATGATCAGATGGATCGTGTTGATGGTTGTCGTGCTACATCAAACGATCATTGTTCGTTGCATCTTCATGAGTACTTTGATTTGTTAGATGTGACCGATGATGAAGAATGATCATTATTTATATATATTGTACCTATGCATGGAAATTAAATATTTATCTCATTGTATTTGTTTCTTGGTTTTGTTAAACATCGAGTTTGTAATCAATTTGGTCCAAGATCCAGTGAACAGTCACATTTTGATCATTTCCATAGAACAACATGCTTACAAGTCCTTGTTGGATTAGGTACGAGTTTTATGTAAAGGTGGGTGAAAGAAAAAGTAGACAACAACAGGGCGTTTGGTCTAGTGGTATGATTCTCGCTTAGGGTGCGAGAGGTCCCGAGTTCAATTCTCGGAACGCCCCTTTTTGCTACAGGTGTTTTCGGAATTGACTATTTTTTGTGAAATCAGTGGGGTAATTTGACTTATGTTTTGTTCACATGAAGGGAAATAAAGAAGAAACTTATTAATTTGTTTACATGGAATGGAACAATCAGATCTCAGCGAAACTCGAATCAGATGCAAAATCCAATCTTTCGATTACAAAACTTGGTAGTGTGGCTCTCTCTCTTGTTTGATTTTTCATAAGTTGAATGGCATGGAACTGATTCCTTCTTCCACCATTGGAAACTCTGCTCTGTGTTTCACCTTAATCTCCGTTCTCATCTTCTTCTTCTTCCTCACTACACCCACCATTCCCACTTTCCCGGATCATCATCATCATCATCCTCTTCGTTCTCTTCTCGACGATTCCACTACTACGAACAGTAATAGCTCAATCGCTAACCCCGATTCCTCTTGTTTCTCCTCGAGATCCCACGATAATGGCGGCGTCATCAACTACTTCTCCCTCCATTACTGCATCTTCGACCAAAACCTATTCTTCTCGATCCCAATCTTATCTCTCCTCATTCTTCTACAGTTCTACATGCTCATCAAGACTGCTCAGACTCACTTCTCCACCGTCACTACTAAGCTCGCCGATCGCCTCAATCTCTCTCCCAGTATGGCCGCTGTGACTCTCTTAGCTCTAGGTAACGGCGCACCTGACGTGTTTGCCTCTGTTGCTGCCTTGCGTGGTGGTCAGTATCGGACCGGATTCGGAGCTATCTTATCTGCTGGAACTTTCGTCTCCGCCTTTGTAGTTGGGTTTGTAGCCATCTACGCTGCGCCCTTTCCTGTGGACGCTGCTTCTTTCGTTAGGGATGTCCTTTTTTACTTGATTGCTGCTTCCTTCTTGTTCTATGTCTACTTGAGTGGCGAGATATTTGTTTGGCAAGCTGTAGGGTTCGTTGGGTTTTACGTTTTCTTCGTTGGCTTTGTCTTCTGGATGGATTTTGGTACAAATGTCGAAAAAGGGAGAGTTATCAGTGAGGAAGAGAAGGATTTGTTGAGAGTTACGGATTGTGAGATTGCTGCAGGTCCTTTTGAGAGTTATAAAGCTGAGAAAGAACATCACTTTTCAGGAATTTTTCGGCTTTATGGAAGGGTAATTGAAGTCTTCTTCACTCACCTCTGAGCTTTATAACTCTTATACTGCTGAGTTTAGATTATGTGGATAAAGCTTTTGATTCGCATAAGAACTTTTAAAATTATGATAAGTTTTTGTCTTAGTCTAGTTACTGAGCATTTTCACTTGCTTAGGCGATTTTAACTGGGTGACAGCTCAGGAACAACTGTTATATCGGTTAGCTAGAGAAGTAACATTTTTAGAAAGAAGTTAGGCAAAGTGAGTTTGAGGTATTCTGGATTTTTGTAGAGTTTAGGATTCAGAACTGGTCAAAAGTCGTTAATCGAGTCTATCTATGATGTCTATCCCTTTTGGAAATTCGACTAAAGAAGTTTGCTGGTTTGGATTCTATCAGGTCACTGTAATTTACCTTTTATTTTTGTCAGACAGCATATATATATAAGTTTGAGCAACTTTAAAAGATCATCAGGTTGTCTAATAGTGCTTTTGCTGCTGTGCCTAATTGCAGATATCAAGGATCTGGGAAATTCCTGTATCAGTTCTTTTGAACCTTACTATCCCAAAACCTTCTCCTTCTGAATGGTCTAGGTATTATCGTTCTGCCAACATTGTTTTCTGCCCTCTTGCCCTTTTATATTCTTGCAACTCTTTTGTACCACTAAACCACCCAATTTCATTCCTCTTTCCAAACACCCATCTCCCACTTTGGCTTGTTGTCCTCTTGATGACGTCTTCCCTAGCGTTCCTGCACTTCACAGTCGAAAAACAACCACCAAAAACCGAGCAACTGCCGGTGATTGTTATAGCTTTCATAATGAGTGTTTTCTGGATATCAACGATTGCTGGTGAGCTCCTTAATTGCCTGGCTGCACTTGGAACCCTCCTTGAGCTGCCTCCGGCACTCCTCGGCCTAACTGTTCTTGCCTGGGGAAACTCGGTTGGTGACCTTGTTGCTGATGTAGCAGTTGCAAAGGCTGGTAGGCCGGCAATGGCTATGGCTGGTTGCTTTGCTGGTCCAATGTTTAACATGCTTGTTGGACTTGGATCAGCCTTGGTGATGCAAACAGCTAATGTGTATCCAAACGCTTACGAACTTGGATTCCATGTAGGTATTGTGATCGCTTTTGTTTTCTTGTTGCTTAGTTTAATGGGATCTCTGTTGGTTATAACCTGGTCTAGATTCCGAGTTCCGAGATTCTGGGGGATCTGTCTTGTTGGACTGTATGTTGTTTTCACGTTAGTTAGTTTAATCATCGCCAGCTTCTCAACCTGATCAGATGCGTAAAGTCTGCGGAGTGAATAATCTTGGGTCAACCAGAGTTTCAGTGTTGAGGAATATTTGTTGTTTCGAAGATAATTAATTGGCAAAATTTTGAGTTGAGCCAATGGGGAGGGAAACCGGTAATCTCCGAATTTCACAACACTTGTGATAAAGCTGTCAGATTAGGAGAGTTTGATAGATAGGTAATCAATGGTGAATACATGTGAAGAGCAAAGGATATGCTGAACTTTTTTGGGAGAAGATTTTGAATATCCCCATTTCAGGTTTTTAATGCCAAACTTATCATACTACATACATTCGGTTAAAGAACCGGTTTACCTTTCTATTGATTGTACTGGTCTTGTTTATCTGGGTCTGGTAAATGTATAAAATACAACTTTATCTGGGTCTGGTAAATGTATAAACCACACTTTTGTATTGTTTTTGAAATTAAAGAGAAATACTTGTCTTCCTCCGAAACTGTGGCATTGGAGGAGAACAAATTCGTTGATTCTGGTTCGTTTGGATTCTTTGTACTAGTCACGGTCACCTATACTATGTTGTGGTACAGAACTACTCGTCTACTCCTACCTTGTGACATGACACTTTGGAAAAAATTCAGATTGCATATGCTAATGTTTTCCAACTTCAAATCAGCAATAATTCAAAGGGCTGCCAAATTATATCCCAAGAAATAATAATTAATGATATAGTAAAAGATAAAACAAATCATCATCTGACAACAGCAGAAGAATCTTGACATAAGCCCAATGGTTGACACGACACCAGCTTTAAAAGCTTCCACTTACTTCCCCTTGTCTTTCTAAATTCCTCATTGTTAAAGTCGGAAAAAGGGTCAAGCGCAGCAAAACCCTAATAAAATTCACAACAAATTTATAGATCTTATAACTCAAGAGTGGATCATCAACCTGTATCTCCCCCTTCTGATTCTTTTCCGGCATCAACTTCAGATTCTTCCTTCCACAGGTCACTCTCGTTTTTTTGACCTGCTCTTACTTATATGTATATATATTGGGAAGTCACATGATAAAATAATAGGCTTGGTGTTTTAGGAACAATTCTATCTGTTATGGGTTAGCAGATTCTTTGTTTTTCTGTGATTAAAGGAAATTAAAGACAATCCCTTTCGATAGTTTTCTAGTTTTGCCTTACCAGATTAGTAGTTTCTTGTTTTTGTGTTAGGGAAACCTTATCTTCTCTATATTTCTAAATTCTGGTCAGATGATTCTTAGAACTAATCCCAAGTTTTATCTTTTATTCTAGTAGAGAATGGATCAACAAGAACATGGACAATCCGGAGCTATGAACTACGGAACAAACCCATACCAATCTAATCCGATGAGTACCACTGCTGCTACTGTAGCCGGAGGTGCAGCACAACAAGGCCAGCTGGCGTTCCACCAGATCCATCAGCAGCAGCAACAGCAACAGCTGGCACAGCAGCTTCAAGCATTCTGGGAAAACCAGTTCAAAGAGATTGAGAAGACCACCGATTTCAAGAACCACAGCCTTCCGCTCGCCAGAATCAAGAAAATCATGAAAGCTGACGAAGATGTCCGTATGATCTCTGCTGAGGCGCCTGTCGTGTTTGCAAGGGCATGTGAAATGTTCATCTTGGAGCTGACACTCAGGTCGTGGAACCACACCGAGGAGAATAAGAGGCGGACGCTGCAGAAGAACGATATTGCCGCTGCTGTAACTAGAACAGATATCTTTGACTTTCTTGTGGATATTGTTCCCCGGGAGGATCTTCGAGATGAGGTCTTGGGAAGTATTCCGAGGGGCACTGTCCCAGATGCCGCTGCTGCTGGCTATCCGTATGGATACTTGCCTGCAGGGACAGCTCCAATAGGGAACCCGGGAATGGTTATGGGTAACCCCGGTGGCGCATACCCACCTAATCCGTATATGGGTCAACCAATGTGGCAACAACAGGGACCTGACCAACCTGACGCGGAAAATTAGCAAGAAACTGTGAGTGTTCCAGCTTCTTTTAGGCCTACCTTGTAATGTAAGGGTTTGGTTTTTCGGTTTTCGAACAATGGTAACCGTTGTATAACCTATAACCTATTTCAGTATCGTATCAGGTTGTACGGTGCTGATTTTTGGTATTCGTCTTTAATTAAAGTAAAATGTGATAGTTTATGCTTTTTTTTTTCCTGCAGAGTTTCTAGTCTCGTCCGGGTGGAACATTGAAAGGAGGAGACTTTAGACAAGAAAATGAAAAGAACATATCAGAATTGTCAAATTGGTGTTGTAGAAGAATCTAAGTGATTGTGTCAATCTATCCTTTCTCAGGGAGAAAAATTTAGGGATAAACCAAAAAAAGAATGTAAGATTGTAAACCAAGTGTGCTTGACAAAGTTTTTTTTTATTTCAATGTTTATTTGTCTACTCTTTTATCACATTTTCATAATATGAATAGAGTATATATATTTCATTGAAGCCGTTGGATACTTAAAAAACAAAAGGACAATAAACAGAAGGAAAAAGACATAATAGAAAATGACCTGGCCACTCTATCCTTGTTGATAATTGTGATATAGCCTTTTATCTACAACAAGCTTTACTTGGTTATCATCTAACCTCGTTAGAACGGGAACTGCATCAATGGCGACTGATAATGATTTTGGAGCTTTCATTGAGAAATTAACAATATCTCCAACTCCTCCTGCCTCGTTTCCTCCTTCTCTACAGGGTCTTACTTTTGCCATTAAAGATATGTAAGATATCCATATGAATATAGTGTTTCCTCTGTCCTCCATTTTCCTTTCTTGTCAATTCATTTTCGAGCTTCTTGTTTGGTTTAATCAGTTTTGATGTGGAAGGACGAGTAACGGGTTTTGGTAATCCCGATTGGTTAAGGACACATCCGGCAGCTACTTCCACAGCTCCTGCAGTTTCATCTCTCTTAGAAGCTGGTGCCACCGCTTTGGGTATTACCATCATGGATGAAATGGCTTACAGGTTCAATTCCACGTTTTTTCTAGTTTCTAGAGACTTGAGAATAGCTAGAACTGAAAGATTAGACTAGGTTTGTTTTATGCATGATGTTACTTAATTTGCAGTATAAACGGAGAAAATGCACACTATGGGACTCCGAGAAACCCGATTGCTTTTGACAGAGTGCCTGGCGGATCGTCGAGTGGGTCAGCTGTAGCTGTAGCTGCTCGTCTTGTGGATTTTTCTATTGGTGAGTTGAGCCAAAAAAAAAATTCAAATAAGTTGAAACATACTAATCAATCAAAATGTAAATTTCGTTTTTGTTATTTCAGTCTAATTTGTTTCTAGATGTTCTGTTTTTGATCATGTAGGAACTGATACCGGAGGAAGTGTACGAGTTCCAGCATCTTACTGTGGAATATTTGGTTTCCGGCCATCACACAATGCTGTTTTCACTGCAGGAGTAACTCCAATGGCTCAAAGCTTCGACACAGTTGGTAACGACAGCTAAAAACAGAGATGTTAATGGTTAAAAACCGAATCTAAATATTGATGGTTTCAACGTTGTACGTAGGATGGTTTGCTCGGGACACAGCCACTTTGAAACGTGTAGGCTGTGTTCTTCTGGAACAGCCTCACTTGAACTGCATCGAACCAGATCAACTGATTATCGCGGATGACTGCTTCAAGCTGAGTAGTGTACCACGTGATATGTTGGTGCAGCCTCTGGTTGGATCAGTGGAAAAATCATTTGGAGGTAATAACTAATAATCATCAAAACAATTTGTAGTCTTTTGTTGAAAGAGATGTCAGAGTTTTCATACCTTGATGATTTTGCTCTGTATCAAGACAACACTGCAGTAAATAAGGTGAATCTTGGAGATTACATTGAAAAGAATGTTCCCAGCCTTAAACATTTCATGACAAGTGACAATGTCACGACACAACAAGATTTCTGCATTCCATCTCTCATGGCTCTATCGAGTTCAATGAGATTGTTACAGAGGTAAGAAAGAACATCTTTTGCAGATACATTCTATCGATTTCTAATCGTACATAGGCATAACGATAAGTTTAGGTACGAATTTAAGATAAACCATGGTGCATGGGTCTCGTCGGTGAAGCCTGAGTTTGGTCCTGGAATATCAGCACGGATTGAGGAAGCTATCAACATGTCGGACGAGAAGATCGACCTTTGCCGGTCCGTGAAATCCGAACTTAAATCGGCTCTATCAACGTTGCTTGGGGTACAAACTTGTTCCTGTTTCTCTCCTAATTAGAAAACTTGTAACAAATTTAGGTATGTCCATCATTGCAATAGGAAAGTGTCCAATCTGGTTTTTGGTTTTGTAGGAGAAGGGTGTGTTGGTGATTCCAACGGTACCAGGTCCTCCACCGCATCTCCAAGCTGATGTGGCTTCACTTGAATCTTTCCGCAGCAGAGCCTTCAGCTTGTTGTCCATCGCAGGCGTTTCTGGATTCTGTCAGGTAATATATAATAAGATCCAATATGCATGCCTGCTTGTAGTCTTGTGGTCTTGTTAATAAGAACCATTCTGATCTTCCGGTGTTTTAATTTCTATCTGATAGGTGAGTATACCACTAGGGCTACACGAAGATCTTCCGGTCTCGATTTCATTGGTAGCTAAGTATGGCTCAGACGGTTTCCTTCTGAGTCTCGTGGATTCACTTGCAAGACTTATTTGATTGACATGTTTGAGAATATATAATGTCATCGTATCATTGGTTGATAGATATAAATGGTTTCTTGTTAATTGTTAGTAATAGTGATTTCGAAATTCAAAAATATGAATGTCAAAAATCATTGGAGTTATTGTGAAAATTAAAGAAATATTAGGTGTCAAATATATAGAATGGACGATAATCGTTATTGTATAGGAGGCGGGTGGGAAAATCTGAGAGAGGCGAGAGGTCTTAAAGTTGGAAATGCTATCAATTTATATTGGCAAGACACCAAATTTATTTTTACAATGTAATAATGGTTTTTAGAAAGAAAAAAATATTTTTGTCATCTGTTATTCATTTCAATAATAAATAAATTTAACCGATCATTACTTTTGTTAAATAATGAGATTTTAAATGTGTAACATGTGTTTATGTCTTTCATACCAAACTAACTACTACTTACTCTTTTATTTATCGCTATTTAAATAACAACAATCATAATTAAGCTTGGTCACCAATTTATGCTACGGGAAAAGAAAAAACCTGACCCTTGTATCCTTGTTGATTGATAATTGCGATTATCCTTTATCCATAAACAAGCTTTACTTTTTATAACAAAGAAAACCCAAAAACGAAATAAGCTACCATCTACACCTCGTCAGATCGGGAACTGCAGCAATGGCGACTGATGATGATTTTGGAGCTTTCATTGAGAAATTAACAATATCTCCAACTCCTCCTGCCTCGTTTCCTCCTCCTCTACAGGGTCTTACTTTTGCCATTAAAGATATGTACGAACGAGCTAATATCCCTATGAATGAATACAATGTTTACTCTGTTACTTTCTTGTCAATTCATTTTTTGAGCTTCTTGTTTGGTTTTATCAGTTTCGATGTGGAAGGACGCGTAACCGGTTTTGGTAACCCGGATTGGTTAAGGACACATTCGGCAGCTACTTCCACAGCTCCTGCAGTTTCAACTCTCTTAGAAGCTGGTGCTACGGCTTTGGGTATTACCATCCTGGATGAAATGGCTTGCAGGTTCAGTTCCACCTCTTTTTTTTTTTTTTTTTTTTTTCTGGTTTGTAGAGACAATGAGAATGTTCAAAACAGGACAGCTAAACAAACAGTCCTCAATAATGGCTAGAACTGAAATATTGACTAGTTTTGTTACGTTTTGGGGCCTTATGTTGCTTAATTTGCAGTATAAATGGAGACAATGTGCATTATGGGACTCCCAGAAACCCGATTGCCTTCGATAGACTGCCTGGCGGATCATCGAGTGGCTCAGCCGTAGCTGTAGCTGCTCGTCTGGTGGATTTTTCTCTTGGTGAGTTGAACAAAAAAAATTCAAATAAGTTCTAAGCATACTAATCATTATTCATTAAAATGTAAATTTTGTTGTCGTTGTTGTTCTGTCTCATTTGTTTCGAGAGATGTTCTGTTTTTGGTCAAACAGGAACTGATACCGGAGGGAGTGTACGAGTTCCAGCATCTTACTGTGGAATTTTTGGTTTTCGGCCATCTCACGGTGCAGTTTCCACTGCCGGAGTTACTCCACTGGCACAGAGCTTGGATACAGTTGGTAAAGACAACTAAAAACCGAGATGTTTGTTGGTGAAAAGCCGAATCTTGATATTGATGGTTTCAACATTGTATGTAGGATGGTTTGCTCGAGACACAGCCACTTTGAAACGTGTAGGCTGTGTTCTTCTGGAGCAGCCTCACTTGAACTGCATCGAACCAGATCAACTGATTATCGCGGATGACTGCTTCAAGCTGTGTAGTGTACCACGTGATTTTTTTGTGCATCCTCTGGTTGGAGCCGTGGAAAAAACGTTTGGAGGTAATAACCATTAAAATAATTGTAGTCTTTTGTTGAAAGAGAAGTCAGAGTTTATTCCTTGATGTTTTTGTTTTGTATCAAGGCAACACTGTAGTAAAGAAGGTGAATCTTGGAGAGTACATTGAAGAGAATGTTCCTAGCCTTAAACATTTCATGACAAGTGACGATGACACGACACAACAAGAGTTCAGCATTCCGTCTCTCATGGCTCTATCGAATTCAATGATATTGTTACTAATGTAAGAACATCTATCTCATTTACCTTCTAACGATTGATTCGGTTTCTAATAGTTACATAGTCATAACCAAACTTCAGGCATGAACTGAAGATAAACCACAGTGCATGGGTCTCGTCAGTGAAGCCAGAGTTTGGTCCTGGAATTTCAGAAGGGATAGAGGAAGCTATCAGGACGTCCGATGAGAAGATCGACCTTTGCCGGTCCGTGAAATCCGAGCTTAAAACAGCTCTTTCGACGTTGCTCGGGGTAACGTACAAGCTGGTTCCTATTAGTCCCAGAATTAGAAACTTTAAACAAATTAGCTAGGCAAGTTTTACTCATGTGAGTATATCTAAAAGTAAAATATATGCTTTTGTAGGAGAAAGGTGTGTTGGTGATTCCAACGGTACCAGGTCCTCCACCGCATCTCAAAGGTGATGTGGCTGCACTTGAATCTTTCCGCAGCAGAGCTTTCAACTTGTTGTCTATCGCTGGCGTTTCCGGATTCTGTCAGGTATTATTATTACAAGATCCAATATGCCTTCTTGTGGAAACGGTAGATAATTAAAGAACCATTCTGATCTTCCGGTGTTTTTTTTATTGCCCATCTCTGATAGGTGAGCATACCATTAGGGCTACATGACAATCTTCCCGTATCGGTATCCTTGGTAGGTAAGTATGGCTCAGACGGTTTTGTTCTCAGTCTTGTGGATTCCCTTGCGGGATTTATATGATTGACAATGAAAAGAAAGAAAGAGTTCTCTCCCAATCGTATAGCTTTTTTTCTTTATGTGGGATCCGACAATGTGATGATGGTTGGGGGTACGACCAATCAGACCGCTCTACCACTGAGGACAACGGGAGATTACATCCCATAGAGTTTAATTCATGTCCTCAACCCATGACATGTTTGAGCATATCTGTTTTTTTATCCAAAACTCAACAATGTATTAAATAAATTGATGTAGATTGGACACTTTGTATTTGTGTGTTTAGCAAAAACAGTAATGGCAAATTATTTTAAAAGCTGTTTTTGGTGATAAAAAGAAAAGAGGTGATCATTTAGGTGAATGACCCATATTTGCTTAAAAATTAAACACATAGAAATCAAAATTAAGAAAGTAACACTAAAGGTAAAGGAAAATACATTATTGGTCTTTAGAAAATGACATGGGATGATGGATAAGGGGGAGATCTGAATTAGACAGAGATCAGAGAAGGAGAACTGCGGCATAACGCATAATTCTGGTGATGGAGATTCGGGGCAAGAGAAGAGGAGTGAGATGCAAACGGTTCAGAATGGAATGGAAATATCTCAGAGATGCAAGAAATCTTAAATGAGGTGATGTCGTCATATTATATTGGCAAGATACCAAATTTATTTTTACTATGTAATTTTTTTTTCATATTATTTATTCATCATTTTCTTAATAAGTCTATTTAATTAATGTAATTTTTGAATAATCTTTTGGATGGGTTTATTATATCAGTATCTATTTAATTAGTTAAATACATTAATCTTCAAATTTTTTTGGTGGGGGACGGGACATTAATCTTCAAATTTAGTCAGTTGAATGGGTATATCAGTGGTAGCGGACTACAGGTATATTCAATTTACATCTAATAATCAGTTTATAGCGATTTACATTAGATTAATCAACCGACTAACGATAAATCATTGAAAATGCGATTTGAATGATTATGTCCCCGACGACAAAATTCACGTATTCAACAAAATATGTTCTTCTCAAAGCATAAAATATACAAGGACTTAATAAAAGATGCCAGAAAGAAATCTCTATGTGGCAAACTAACTACTACATGTTTTGTTTATTGTTTGATCGCTGATTAAATAACACAACAATCATAAGTTTGGTCACCAAATTGATATATCCGATATATGTATCTGTTAAATTATAATTTATATATACATATATATATATATATATATAATAGAGCATAGCAACAAGCAAGGAACTTGCGCATGTAAGTTTATTACACAATTATTAGTATAGACTCACCTAACGAATTGACTTGTACGCCAACGTGCATCCATGCATCTCAAGACCCTTCTTTCTTCTGCTCCCAGTCATACACCCACGAATCCGCACATATACGTGCATGTATACATCTATGAGATTATGAAATACACAGACACGTCAATTACATGTAAAACAGATTCAGATATCGCTAAGAGCATAGAAAGAGAGAGTTGTGGGGGAAAAAAATGGTGGTGAAAAACCAAAGTTCGAGCAGGAGATTTTTTATGGTTTATCTTATACTAGTATCATTGTCGTTTTTGGGTTTGCTCTTGAACTTTAAACCTCTGTTTCTGCTCAATCCCATGATCAGTTCTCCTTCTTTGGTAGAGATTCGTTATTCTTTGCCACAGCCGGTTAACCGGAACCCGATATGGCTCCGTCTCATCAGAAATTATCTTCCCGATCAGAAAAAGATCCGAGTGGGTCTTCTCAACTTCGACGAGAACGAGCGTGAGAGCTACGAGGCAAAGGGGACGTCGATCTTGGACAATATCCACGTGTCGCTCGGTCCTCTTCCCAAGAATCTGACGTGGAAGACTTTATTCCCGGTTTGGATCGACGAGGATCACACGTGGCACACGCCTACTTGTCCAGAAGTCCCTCTCCCCAAGATGGAAGGTCCTGACGCTGACGTGGACGTCGTCGTTGTCAAAGTGCCGTGCGACGGTTTCTCGGAGAAGAGAGGGTTGAGAGACGTTTTCAGGCTACAGGTGAATCTGGCGGCAGCGAATCTTGCGGTGGAGAGTGATTCGAGGGATGTTGATCGGACGGTGTACGTTGTCTTCGTCGGGTCGTGTGGACCTATGCATGAGATCTTCAGGTGTGACGAGCGCGTGAGGCGCGTGGCTGATTATTGGGTGTATAGGCCTGATCTGAGAAGGTTGAAGCAAAAGCTTCTCATGCCTCCTGGTTCATGTCAAATTGCTCCGCCGCTTCCTCTACCAGGTAATTTAATCTTATAGTAATATAGTACTATTCATACTTGTTTAAATCCACACGCTTCTTATATTTATTTATTGTCAGATGACATAATGCATAGTTTTATTGTAAAACAAAAACAAAAAAAACAACTTATCTTTTATTTTTATAGATTAAAACCAGTAATATTATTATAGAAATTCGGATAGACACCTAGACCAGTAAACATTCTTTGTCCTATACAACATTCCCAAAAAAACCATTACAAACTTTATCTTTAAACGGGTAGAGAGACTAGAAAAACGTAGACTTCCAAATTCGTATGATTATAGCTATATTAATACATCTTTAATTTGATGGCTGAAGTGCAAGAAAGCTATCTTCAACAACAAATATTTATTACCATTAGCTCTCATCTAAATTCAGATATGAACATGATTCTTAACACAAACCTCCTACTATAAATCACCAAATCTTCCTCTTTTCTTTTTAACTGTCTTTGCTTTGCTACTAACTACAATAGTTTTTTCTCCTTCGTTGTTTAAGGTCAAGAAGCATGGATGCGAGACAAGAACAAAAGCCTCACATCCAAAACTACATTATCAACATTTAGAGCCCAACGTGTGGCTTACGTGACGTTACTACACTCATCGGAGGTCTACGTTTGCGGGGCAATAGCTTTAGCACAAAGCATAAGGCAATCTGGATCAACCAAGGACATGATACTCCTCCACGACGACTCTATAACCAACAGTTCTCTCACTGGCCTAAGCCTTGCCGGCTGGAAACTACGGCGCGTAGAGAGAATTCGTAGTCCGTTTTCCAAGAAGCGTTCTTACAATGAGTGGAACTACAGTAAGCTACGTGTGTGGCAAGTAACAGATTACGATAAGCTAGTGTTCATAGATGCAGACTTCATCATCGTCAAGAATATCGATTACCTTTTCTTCTATCCTCAACTTTCGGCTGCTGGCAACAACAAATTCTTGTTCAACTCAGGAGTCATGGTAATGCATCGCTAAGTAACAGTTTCATATAATTAGGCCACCACTAAGCTATGTTTAGATTTAGCTCAATCTATGACTTAGTAAATAGAATCAATGTCTTTTTTTTTTTGTGGACTGATTAATCTGTTGTGTAATTTCATATTTATTTGCCATATCTATATTTATCTAAGGAAACTCTTGTTTAATTTTCAGGTTCTTGAGCCATCAGCTTGTCTGTTCGAGGATTTGATGCAAAAAGCATTCAAGATCGAGTCTTACAACGGGGGAGACCAAGGATTCCTGAACGAATATTTCGTGTGGTGGCATCGGCTATCAAAACGTTTGAACACGATGAAGTACTTCGGTGATGAAAGCAGGAACGATAAAGCACGAAATCTTCCAGAAAATCTAGAAGGCATACACTACTTGGGACTAAAACCGTGGATATGTTACAGAGACTACGATTGTAACTGGGACTTAAAAACACGGCGTGTGTATGCAAGCGAGTCGGTGCATGAGAGATGGTGGAAAGTGTACGACAAGATGCCAAAGAAGTTGAAAGGTTACTGTGGTTTGAATCCTAAGATGGAGAAGAACATTGAGAGGTGGAGGAAAATGGCTAAGCTCAATGGCTTTCCCGAAAGGCATTGGAAAATTAGGGTAAAAGATCCTAGGAAGAAGAACCTTCTAAGGCAATGACAAGAGCAAGTGAACAGAGACTTTAGATTTTGAAGGGGAATATCCCTAACATGCAAATGTGAATTATGTAGGGAAAATCTTAGTATAGTAATGGTAACGCAACCTTAAACTTTATTTTTACATCGTGAGCGAATTTATAAGCAAAGGTTCCTTTTTTTTCAAAAGAACAAAAAAAATGGAAATTTTCTGGTTTGTTGTTTCCTTTTTTTTTTTTTCGACGAAGTTTGGTTTTTTTCCTTTTTATATATTCCCGAGAAATAAAATATGAAAGTCATATTCTTTCAATTCAAAAAATAAAAAATCGATGCCTTTTTCCCTCTCACTCGTTAATATATCTATTTTGCCGACCGATGAAAAGAACAACAGAGTCTCACACACACCCATCTTCGCCAGATGCACGATTTCTTCGGCTCCGTTCGTCGATCTCTTGTTCTCCGTCCTACCGCCGACGACGATAACCAGGAGAACCAGCCTCCATCTCCCGGTCTTCTCGCCGATAAGATCACTTCCTGCATCCGCAAATCGAAGCTTCTTACCAAACCCTTCTCCTCCTCCTCGCCTCCTCCTACTGCTACCGCCGTAGATATGGCGCCTCCGATTTTATGGAGGAAAGGTCAGTTAATTGGCCGCGGCGCGTTTGGCACGGTGTACATGGGTATGAATCTTGACTCCGGTGAGCTTATCGCCGTTAAACAGGTAATTTTTAGGGTTTACTATGGATTTTAAACTAATTTGGTACTTAAGTTTCAATCTCAGATCCGAGATCAAACGATTCTGATGTGCTTAATGAAATATTCGCACTAATTTGCATCTGTTCAAAATCGATACTGATAACTTCAATTTTCTTTTTGTTCTACTCAGGTTCTAATTGCAGCCAATTGCGCTTCCAAGGATAAAACTCAGGTTCGTAAAACAATCAAATCCACTCTAGTTATGATTTTATACCCATGTTCATAGGTTATTCATGAATTTGTTTCCTGTGTCGGTGCTAAGTAGGCTCATATTCAGGAGCTTGAAGAAGAAGTTAAGCTTCTCAAAAATCTCTCCCATCCTAATATAGTTGTAAGTATCCCTGGCTACCGTCTTTGTTTCAGTACATATGGATTCACCAGTTCCTTGTGTAATCTAAACTTTTTGAGTTTTTCATCACTTGGCATTAGAGATATTTGGGTACAGTGAGGGAAGATGACACCCTGAATATCCTTCTCGAGTTTGTTCCTGGTGGATCTATTTCATCGCTCTTGGAGAAATTTGGACCTTTTCCTGAATCAGTAAGTCATGCTTAGATTTTTGTTTTTCTTTTCGATCTCTTAGTATGTTTGCGGTGCTTAAATGGCGAGAAGGATTGAATTAGGTTGTCCGTACATACACGAGGCAGCTGCTTTTAGGGTTGGAGTACCTGCACAATCATTCCATTATGCACAGAGACATTAAGGTAGCATTTTCTTCCCTATATTTTGAAAGTGCTTTACCATATCGAGTCCTTAACCATGAGATTCTATGTTCCTCTGTTCTCAGGGGGCTAATATCCTTGTGGATAACAAAGGATGCATTAAACTTGCTGATTTTGGTGCATCCAAACAAGTAGCTGAGTTGGTAAGTTAAATAATTTGCATTCTACAATTTAAATTGCAGGAAGCGTTCTCTTCTGTATATACTCTTATTTCTCAGTTGATCTCGTTTAGCATTTTCTTCATAAATATTCAATGCGATTGACATAGTTTTATCTCTAGGCTACGATTACTGGTGCAAAATCTATGAAAGGGACACCATATTGGATGGCTCCGGAAGTTATTCTTCAAACTGGACATAGCTTGTAAGCACCCAAGCCTGCTCATAAATACAAATGTCTTGTTACTAATATCTCAAACACCTGTGACTAGTACTGATAGTTCTGGTGAGTCACCAGTGGTGACGTATGATATGTCTCATAATTTTGGTTTCTCACAAACCTGTGGCTATTATTTTCAGCTCTGCTGATATATGGAGCGTAGGCTGTACAGTTATTGAAATGGTGACTGGCTCCTTGGAGTCAGCAGTATAAAGAGGTAGTTTTTCGTATTCCTGGTGACAATTTTTGTGGAGTATTTTGCTTCTTAATTACAGGTGGACTTACTTTCTTTTCAGGTTGCTGCTATCTTCTTTATTGGAACAACAAAATCACATCCTCCAATACCTGATACCCTCTCCTCTGATGCAAAAGATTTCCTGCTCAAGTGTCTGCAGGAGTAAGCTACTTTTCTTTAGAAACATTAGTTTGGAACTTTAATAGTAACTTCCTCACTACTATTGTGTCTTGTCTTTGGAATTGCTGAATCATTGATCCGTCTTGACAGGAAACCAAATCTGCGGCCAACCGCATCTGAGCTACTTAAGGTAAGGTGAACTATAAACCGTTTAAGCGATTCCTACAATATTAAAATGGGGAAGTTTTGAGCAAAATTCCTGACTTTGTTCTATTCTCAGCATCCTTTTGTTATCGGAAAACACAAGGAGTCTGCTTCTACTGATCTTGGTTCCATCATGGTGGGTGCATGTTGACCATCTTATCAGTGTCATATAAATTTTTCTTGAAGCCATCTAGAATGATTATTATATATTTTTTTTTTTTGCCAGAACAATGCTAGTACTCCCCTACCGTTAAAGATAAATAACACTCGGAGCTCGTAAGTTCTGAAAATCTGGCTAAACCCAAAAGTATTAAGATGAACTCGTGGGTATTATAAAATAATTAGACTGATTAATATCTGCTTTCTTTGTTTCAGTCCAGGTTCTACATGCGACGATGTAGGTGACATGTGTAACTTGGGCAGTTTGAATTGTTCACTTCTATATCCTGTGAAATCAATCCAAAACAGTAATTTATGGCAACTGCATGATAATGGAGGTGATGAAGACGATATGTGTTTGATTGATAATGAGGATTTCTTGACATTTAATGGGAAAGCAACGCCTATCCTTGAAAACAGTAGTGATCTGAAGAAGGTATGCATACATATGATTTCTCATTTAAATTTCCAATGACCGATTCAAGTCTCAACTCTTGTATGGATCATGTTTCAATTTGTTTTGTAAGCATCACTTATAAAGATTATGTGGGCAGAGCTGTGATGCCATAAGTGATATGTCCATTGCTTTGAAGTCCAAATATGATGAAAGTCCTGGTAATGGAGAGAAAGAGACTATAACGAGCATGGAATGTGACCAACCTTCATACTCAGAGGATGATGATGAGCTGACCGAGTCAAAAATTAAAGCTTTCTTAGATGAGAAGGTGCTTTGCACATTATATTACATTTTCATTGTGCTCACTGCATTTGTAAGTAAATTACTTACATGGCTGTGAATATATATTTATTTCCCTCAGGCTGCAGATCTAAAGAAGTTACAGACGCCTCTTTATGAAGAATACTACAATAGTTTGATCACATGCTCTCCCGGCAGTATGGAGAGTAATTTAAGTAACAGTAAAAGAGAGGACGCTGCTCAAGGTTTCCTGAAACTGCCTCCAAAAAGCAGGTCACCGAGTCGGGGTCCTCTTGGTGGTTCCCCTTCGAGAACAATAGATACAACTAGTTGTTCCAAGAGCCCAGGAAGTGGTGGTAGTCGTGAATTGAATATTAACAATGGAGATGATGAAGCTTCACAGGATGGTTTATCCGCTCGGGTCACTAATTGGAGGGCTCTCGTTGTTGATACTGAACAAGAATCAAGCCAGAGGTTAGTTGCTCAAAAGTGAATTCGGTCTGGGATTTAAGTATTAAGAATTTAGACATTTACTTCAGTCCTTTTAGGCACTCGCTATGAATCAAGAAGCCAGAAAAAGTCCCAGTTCATGCGTGTCTTAAGCTATGATCTCCTCTCCATGTCGAAAAATTGTTGCACTTTGGGTTTTCAAACAAATGCTGACATTATTTCAGGCCATATGAGAAAAGTAATCACAAATGCGTCCAAACATGTAGAGTTTAGGGATTCCAAAGCTACAATCGTTTCAAATTTATCCCTAGTCTAGGCTTCTTGTTTTATTCCTTTATCTGCTTAAATTGGTTGGTTTTTGCTTTGCAGTGCTGCTCTTTCAGAGATAGAGAAGAAGTGGAAAGAAGAACTTGATCAAGAACTGGAAAGAAAGCGACAAGGTAGGTCCCTTTTATGACATTCATGATTGTACACTGCAGACTGCACTTCTCCTCTGGCCTTGATGATTGTAGACCAATAAATAAGACTATTTGATGATAATCATGGTAGCTTCCTTCACTCTTATTAATCTTATCTGTTGGACGTAAGATGCAGTTTGTTAACTAAACTTTGCCAGACATCATCCATTACATTTTAGAATGGCTTAACACTAATAACATGCCATGATGTAATGTTCAAAAACATGACATAGCATATTAACTTTGTGTAAGCTTGGTAAATCAAATCGTTGACTTATAGTATCTGTTGTTGCAGAGATCATGCGCCAAGCGGGGTTGGGATCATCCCCGAGAGGAAGAGGCTTGAGCCGACAGAGAGAGAAGTCGAGGTTTGCATCTCCAGGAAAGTGACATGTGCAAAAATCTCTCTGTCTCTGATGCTAGACTTGCCAGAAACGGGTAGAGATGTCGTCGTAATCTTCGGCTATTGATTTTTGATTGCTCGACTAGTATATATGTACATATGGAATTCTTATTTTGCTGTGATGATGAAAAGTAGAAACGAGGTTTGGTCTGAATATATGATTCTGAGCTGGTTGTTGAAGGTATTAGATGTGTGTAATATGAGTGTAGGGTGTATATTCAAGTTCGCTACAAATAGCAAAAAAAACTGTGCAAGTATCATTTATTCAAAGGTTTGAGATTACGGGTAGTTAAGTTCAAACACGAAACATAACTTGCCTCAGCCAAAAACACTAAACCCATCAGGGTAGTTCCAGCCTTGAAGCATAACACGAGGAGACTTCTTTATGCCTGTAGGAGCTGCAAATGAGATCTTAAAAGACATTGATTCACCTGGAACGAGTGAGAAGTAGTTGTCTGAGTAATGTACTGGCAGAATTCTTGTGTCTTGTGTCTCTGATTCTGCATTGTGGACAGAGAAACGAAGGAAAAAAGCAACCCCTGAATCAGATCCCTCCATTTCCACCACTTTAAAAGCACGGTTGCTATCTGCAGAAACAATACATCTACTAAATAGCTTCTGGAGCAACCCCATATTGCGTTTTCCGTCTTCTTGAATAACGTTTTTGGCCAAGTCAGCTCTAGATGTGTTATGGACACTGATCTCCAGCTCATACTTTGGACCAACCATAACTGTATTGCAAGTGATCTTGAGAGGTATTTGCTTCTTCCTGTACGGCTCTAAGAGTGTGTAATCTTGCCCAGGCAGATGAAGCCAGTAGAAGTTCCGAGATATAACCATTTTGTCTGAGACATTGTACATTTTGAGAAGAAGAAAATACACCTGCTTTGGGTTTTCAGCTTTTGGGTACTTGAATTCCGAAACTTGCACAACTTTCTTTGGCGGTGCAGAATCTATTTTTAACACTTCCGAGTATGGGCAGTTCCCATCTAGGTCCCATACCGATGCCTCTATTGCCACATCTGACAGCTCTTTAGAAGTCGTGTTTACAACCTGTCGGGGTTCATTTCATTTACAGACAAAATGTACATCATTTCATGTATATTTACTTAATTTACATTTCTTTAAATCAAGTTCTAGGGAATTTATACTGACCTCAACAAAGTAACTTGCCAGGTTTAACTGGACATGGACTGGCTCTGCAGCAGAACGGCAGCCATAGAAACTGGCTGTTTGATCGAGAAGATGATCATAGAACTGACCTCTGAGACCAGTCCATGGATTTTGGTTCTTCCAGATCAAGACACCCGTGTACTTTGTCCACATTCGTGAACTCCAGCCCTCGAATAAAGCTCTGTACTGAATGTAGTTTACCAATTGAGCCTAATACAGACAAAAATAACAAGTCCTAATATGTTACTAATGATCTCATTAAGGGGAAACATTTATGCACCAGCGCAAACCAACACCCGTAAAAGCTATAATGGTTAAGATCCCAAATTTACCTTCAAACAGAAGTCATCAAGATTCTCCGGAACACCATACATCAGAATCTGGTCATGAACTTTTCCAGGCTTAGAATATGGAATGTACTTGTGGTAATCCCACATTCTGTTTGGTACTTCTTCAACAAACCCGTCCAAACCCTTTTTAAACAGAGGAATCTCCCAACCTTCTGGAGGCATTGTCGCTCTTATTGTAGCTGCAACAGGCATTCCAACTGAACCGATCTCCGGATTGAAACCATAGTTGTAATATGTGTCTTTAAAAAAATCTTCAGGGTATTGAATCTCATAAGGGCCGTCAGTGAAATTTCCTTTTCCATCTGCAAATCCGTCCCACATAGATCCTTGAATATAAACTCTAGAACCGTCAAGATAAACACTAGGATCTGAATCCGCGTCTGATAACATTTGTGTTTTGAAATAAGGGTGAAGCTTAAGGTCTTGCTTTAGAGCCTCATTTATGTCTTTTGGCGGAACTTGTTCATTTCCACCCACCCAAAGAGCTAGGCTAGGATGGTTTCTCAAAAGTTTGACGGTATCACGAGCACAAAACAGGAATAAGTCATGGTCTAGTGGTCCGTTCGGATTTGATACTGGAACACCCCTACCATCAACATCTCCCGTTATCCAAAACTCTTGCCAGACCTGAGAATTGGGTAAATTTAGGAATAGTGATGAATTTTAAAGTAGAATGATAGCAAACAAAACTTCCTAACACATACCAACAATCCGTAGATATCACAAAAGTGATAAAAATCTGGCCTTTCAGCCAACCCACCGCCCCAGCAACGGATCATGTTCATGTTCATATCTGCATGGAACTTTATGTCTGTTCTATAACGCTCTTTAGAGAGCCGTAAAAGCCCATCTGATAGTATCCAATTGCCACCACGGATGAAGATTGGCTCCCCGTTAATCTTGAATAGCCTTGAAAATTTTGAAAAGAAGATGCAGAGCTTCTACAAAACCATTCTACCCATAGCAAACTGAAACTGAAATATATAGAGCTTACCTTCCACCAGTGGCACTATCAATAACACTCTCAATCTTACGGAATCCAAATGGCTGCATCCATGAATCAGATTCCCCAAATTCTTTCACAGAAACAGTGATCAAGATGTCATAAAGGTTTTGCTTTCCCATCCCGTTGGGCCACCATAATTCAGGTTTATAGAGAAAGAGCTGTTAATTCAATATCTTATTAGTTTATAAGATAAATAATACTAAATCGTAGATCTGTAGTGGTCAGACCAGATCCCTGAAAAGAGCAAGTTATCTAAGTCGTATACAAGTATTATACGATAACAATACCACTCACTGGTTTAAAAGTGTGCTGAATATGTCCTTGAGCTGGTATCAAAACATTCTCTGTCTTAAGATGCTCTACTAAACAAACACCGTTTTCGAGTTCAGCTGTTATTTGAATAGTTACAGAACACTCAGCATTCCATGTGCTTTTGTTTTCCAGTTCAGCAGTCACATGCAAGTAAGCTCTCTTGTAATTGTCAAAGAAGCTTGAGACCAAATGGGGATCAATTATTCTTACAGGCTGCAATCAAAACAATCAGTTACATTCAATAAAGAACATGATTATAAACGATCCAAAGTTTGCTCCATGGAGAAACACAATAGATATCATCTCTGGAAAGCAATGTAAATTAACTAAAACTAACCCCGGTAACAGATATTGACACTTCATCCCATATGCCAGTATTCCGGTCCCTAGAAGACATTAATGATATCAGTGAGAATACCTTTGACCATCCGATAAGCTCAATCTTCTAACAAAAACCACGTGAAAACATTACCTTATTGGACAAATCCAGTCCCAACCTTCCACATACTGTGCAGCTACATCTTTTCCAATCTGTCATGGATATTCCAGTCACATTAGTTATAGTGTTTGCAATTAGCTTGAATTGAAAAAAGCAAAGAACGAACAATGACATGACCTTCTCACAGAGAGAGAGAGAGAGAGAGAGAGAGAGGTGTACCTCGTGATCACCACCTTGCCCTCCCGTGGGAGGGATAGTCCCAGGATGATCTGGGGGATGAACAATAACAGCAAGGAAATTGTTATCAGAATGCAGAATATCAGTAATGTCAAGTGTATGTCTGCGAAACATCCCTTTGGGAAGCAGTGTCTTGTGGCCATTTACATACACTTCCGCAGAGTAGTTGATGGCACGAAAATTCAGATGCACATATTGATTCAACAACTGCAAAAACATCAAACCAAATGATCAGACCGCAAAAAGCAGGAATAAATCAATAACACCATGAAAAACATTTAGGATAACAGAATGAAAAATATTGGGGTTCGTAGTTAAGTGGTATTAGCTAAAAAAAAAGAAATAAAGTGAAATAGGAAATTGTCAAATCGAGTAGGCTCACCCTTTTACATTGGAATTTAGTGAAGAACCAGAATGTGTAATAGTCCCTTCCGGAATCGGCTATATCCGTGATAGCTTCATTTTCAAGTCCATAGAATGGGTCTGGAACAGCTTTGTTCTTCACCAATGTACCCAAAACACTGTCCAAGAGAGAAACACAAAGAAACTGTATTATATATCAGCAAAATCTCGTCAATGCATGAAACAAGAAGAAGCAATTCCGTCGGAAACTGCTATAGTTTCTTTGTTATCACATTGCACAAACAAAAGCTCATCCATGAAGCAAAAACAACAGTTTGGTGACAAAATCCAAAATAGTTTCAGGATTGGCGTACAGATGCATTAGAACAAGATCAGTCTACTTACTTTAATAGTTTGAAATTAACAAAACGATTACTTTGTTTAATAGCTTTAATAAAAGAAAATGAGAAGATTATTACGTTCCGGGTACGACGGCCTCCATCCACCGAGAATCGGAACCGAGGGCCGGAGGATTGGTGGTAGTGAGCTGGACGCCGTCGACATTGACCTCCGTTGATCTCGCCGCTAGCCAGCCGGAATCTAGCACCGTCTTCCCGATCTCCGCCATTTAAGTTTCTGAAATTGCTATGTTTTCAAGACAATTTCAGAATAAAAAAAGACACGTTGAGAGAATTGGAAACTTGTTTGGACTGACGACTAAAAAGCAGCACTCGCTTCGAAGTCAATTTTGGGAAAGAGCCTAAAAAGCAAACGTAACTTTGCTGGATAAACCTAACCTCTAGGCTCTAGTGTCAAAAATAAATTTCTGTCGTTTAAAAGAATTTAACAAAATATTGATGGAAAAATCTTTAAGTTATATTTAGGGGTTGGTATTGGTTTGTGACTTATATAGAGTTTTATGATTTTAAATGTAATGTAGAATCTATAGTTATTCAGTTAAGATTTTATTAAAATCTTTTTAAATTTGGTGTTATTATTTAATAATTTATAAAAAGTCATTTAAAATCTTCATAAATATAAAATTATTATTGTTATAAAGTCATTAAAAGTTTTGTGTTATTCAAATAAAACAAAAAATAAAATCTCTAATTGTTGATGAATTAAATTATTAGGTCATTAATTACTTTATCATGATTTTAAAAAATCTTGTAAAGTCATTCCAACAAATTCTCTATTTTGATGATACTTTTCATGAAGGTTCACTTAACAACCAACTCTGTTGTAACCATTCTAATCATCATTTGTAAGCTTCAATCATAGGCTTATTCTCTGGTGCAATTTGATCACTGTCAACTTATACATTGTCCTACGAGATTCTCATTCTCATTCTCATTCTCATGCTGTTGCTTTTTCTGAGTAGATGAAGCGAAAATTCAACATAAAGGGTAAACAAAACTAAGAAAAAGTAAAGGGGGGGGGGGAAGACAAAGCTGAGGAAAGCTACTAGTAAAGATTCCGGTAGCCAATATCTTCACAAGAATGGAAACCCGTTCAACTAAAACAACAAAAATAAGAAGAAGAAAACAATGATGAAGAGGTTCGTAGCAAATTTACAAATTCCTTGCAAGAAGAAGAAAAAAAAAATTAAAATAAAAAGATGCAAATTGTTGGGTAGTTTGATCTGATGAAATGAGGAAAAACAAAAAAAAGAGAGTTTGAGGAGGTTGTTTTGCTGTGGGAGTCAAAGACCGAGCAGGAATTGGAAAACATCACTCAATGATATGATACCTTCAACACGTTTGCTCCCTGCTTCCACTATCACCAGCCTCCTTACACCTGTTTGTTTATTATATACACCACAAACCAAACCCCAATACATCTTTATCTGATGTTCATGTGCCAAATTACGACATACAATGCTGAAGATGATATGAGTGATTGTACCTGGATTTGCCAGCCGCTCCATCACCTTCACAAGAGAATCTGAGCGCAAGCACATGTGACATCTCTGCCCGTTGAAGATTCCATAAGGCGGACTCGCATCTTGCCCCAACTGCAGCGCCTGAAACCACAAAACACATTCTCCACTTTATTCTAACCTTCTATCTATTTTCCATTATTCTAATTATGTATAAATCAATTACAAAGGAGACAATTTCCAACGATATAGGCAGATAAGACTTAAGTAAACTCGTAAAAGAAGAGTTTGATGAGACACGGTATGAATCTTGGTTTCTGATTAGAGGTTTACCTGGTGGACCGTCATGTCATCAAGATGAATCTGTGCGTATGCCTTATCTTTAGCCAGAGCAGTTATATCACTAAACCATTACAAATAACATCAGACAGAGGACGTAAAAATGGAATGCACAAGGCATATCATGTCGATTGGGTAAATAGAGATTTACCTTCGAGAGTATATGTCAATAAGTGAGTCATTGTCATCCACTACCGGAATTGAACTAACTTCAGCTGTAATAACCACAAAACCAGAGACATAAATGAAGCACAATTTTTTCATTCATTTCCATACGAGGAAACAGAGAGGTTACCGAATGCAATGCCCTACGAGAAATTCTGGATGTATGCTTTTCTTTAAGATTCACAGTATTGTTTCCATGTTCTTAAATCTCACGTTAGTTTACTCATGTTGCAACATTTACATCTGTACAACAGTTATAAAAGTGGTAACATCTAAAGTTGGTTATTTGTTCTGTATTGATTTGTATCAATATGATGCTCTGTGCAGCTATTTAGTTGTAATTACCATCTATGATGAAATTTCTCAAAACTGAATTCTGATTGAAATGTAGAGGTTAGTCTGAAGTTGCAGAAGAGATGAGCTTCAAACAAGATATTAATGAAAACTGAGCAAAATGCATTACCTTGAACTAATAATGAGAGCGCAGAACCCAAAGAGGCATGTGGTTTCAATGTAGCGAGAGGTTTGCTACTTGATTCTCCAATTCTAGGGACCCAAGTACCCAGGGGGATTGAACAAATAGGTTGCTGAAGGATTGGCAAAGAGCTAGACGAATGTCTAAAGTATCTGCATATACCTGGAAGATTATGCTTAATTTAGAGACAAAGTGGAGTTTGGAACAGTCAGTTGCAACTATAGCTTTAATTCCCCTCCCTACTTCACAGAATTTGGAGAAAAGAAGTGGGAAAATTTTGGAAATGGGAGAATCATATGCACGTCAAGAGTTAAAAAGTCTTTATGGCCAATGGGAGTATTTTATTCACAATGAAGCCACCTTACATTTTAATATGCCTGATAGCGAAGCAAGATGCAGTAACTGTGGATATGAACCATCCTGCAAGGACGAAAATATAACCGGAACGGCTGCAACCTTGTTTTGCAAAATTTTCAGGGCAACGTCTTTCAGATTATCATAGGGTCCAACCTGATAGCCATTTATTAAAGTAACATTAACAATAGCAAGAGAGAAAAACTACTAGTGTTTTGACTGTAACATGTAATAGAAATTTCTAAGAAAGTCTATGTTCAGAAAATACACAAACAGAAGCGAAACTGAACGAAAGTCAGTAGTAAGCGGTAGAATGCAATTGTGAAAATCGCACCTGAACAAGTGGCCTAGGATACGGTCTCCCACTTCCATCATATTGTCGGCTAATATGAGCCTTCCCCTCTTTCCAGGCTGCTATTGTGTGTGTCTCAAGCTCTTCCTCTGTCAGGTTTGATCCATGAGTTCCAAGCTGCAATTTCACAAGTTTGCTATTACCACGCAAGAGTGAAATTTCATACTGAGAAATCTAGTAAAACATCTGCAGATATCTCACACCAGGTAATATACTAATAAGCTAAGTAAATCTATAATAATCCCCACACTGGTATAATTATACCCACAGGTCCTACACAGTAGATAAATTTTTCTTACTACAGAGGCCTCTGGTAGCCAAAATGAGGATTTATAAGATATCCAGACTTCCCTCTTGGCAATTCTAAAAGTATGCAGTAGTAACACGGAGGAATGCTGTCGAAAAGAATAGTTTGTAGAGAAGCTAACCTCTCTCAGTATTAGAATGAAGTCTAGTGGACCAAGAACTCCAACAAATTGGCCTTTACCAAAGTCCCAGAGAGGAGCCAAAGGGATTCCCTGAAAACATCTGGAATTAGCAAAAACAGAAAGCCAGAATATCTATAGTTCATTTATTTTCAGTTCCTTCCTTTTTCGGGTCTCGATACAACAATATTCGAATGTTTACAGTGAATGTGAGAGACAGAGAGATGAACATCCCAAAGAGAACAGAAGCTGACACAAGAGTAACTGGAAAATAGAGCAGACCTGCTCATAGAGTATATGGAATGCTTGCTTCACTGGTAAATTAACATCCAATGCAATAACCTGTAAAATTTCTGATCACCTTAGACAATTTCCGAGTAAAAATTTAGAAGTCATATTGATATTCTATAGGACATGAAGAAACAAAATCATCAATCATGGTTAGGGAAAAAAAAAACCAGACCTTGCCCGATTCAGGGAGCAGCTCATATGCAGTACGAGTTGACAATAAAACAGATATACGGTGACGAGACATCTCCAAATCAACCCCTGACAACCTAGGGATAGTTTCCTGGGATGGATCAGCCTATAATATAATCAGCAAGTAAAAACAGTCAGAAACTCAATTTGAATGTAGTCTCAGAAACAAATTAATGGAACTTAATGGATCCTGCTTTATACATCATGAAAAATGGTCTAACATAAATAATACTTAGACTAATGACATCAACGATAATTAAAAAAAAGCCAAACTGGAAGCAACTCACGAAACCTAAACAATAAATCCACAAGAATAAACACTGCAATATAGAAAAGAAGGTCAGATTCCTTACTGGTCGCACGAAGACATCATCCACATCCATATTCGACCGGCCGAGTGTCTCTGGGCTAAAACCAGCAGGAACCATATCTGGTCCAGTTATAAATATTGTATTCACTACTCCACCATTTCCGCTTACAAATGGTTGGTGCTCATCGTGCCGCCATTCCCCATCAACAAAAAACTTATACTGCATAGGAGTAAAATAACTGAATGTAACATTAGTGGCTTCTTAAGCATCTCAAGTTGTAATAATTAAAATCATGTCAAATATAATATATCCAATTGCAAAAGTATATAAATTTCTATACGCTCTGTAGCTTTTATTAAAAGAAGTGATTTAGCTATCACAACAACATGATAAACCCAAAATATAAGTTTGCTAGAATTTTGAGTTATGTCGATGGTAATGTAAAAAGCCAAAATTTGATCAACTAGCCAAGGAATTCGAAATTTTCTTAGCCAAAATTGTACAGCTGTGACAGAGGTATATTAGATTCTCATACATATTGGATGGGTTAAGCATCCAGATACTGAATAGAGTAGCACCATGGACATTGCAAAATCACATTAAGGACATAAATGCTCATGCGGGAATTAAATTCACAAGGAATTTGTCATGAAAAAGGTCCAGTACAAGATTATTAACCTGATGATATCCAGGCGTCAAGTTGCAAATGACTTGAAAAACAGTAGGGCAGCCCTCAAGCGGGGACAATGGCACATGTTCTGTCCACCTGTTTACATGCCCAATTCAGAAATCAGTCCATGGACTTCAAAACCCCCAATGGATAGTATAGGCAGCACATAATGTATCGGATAAACAACAAGCAACCTCAAATGTCTTTTCTGTAATATAAAATCCTAGTTGTAGCTCAGCCATCTCACCTGGTGAAAGATCCGCTAAGGAAGACCCTTCTACCTCCATAAGGCCAGACGAAGCGGGTGGGAGTAAGAAGCTGCCCTGAGGCAGCGCTGTTTCCACGGCTGCTATCCAATGTAGAACCAAACATCCCCTCCCAGTATTTATATAGTTACAATCCACAGAAACTAATTCCTAAAAACTTCTTCAATCGATTCTCAGTGAGTAAAAATGATATTGACTCTTCAGCAGAAGACACGCTTTTGAGGAAAACTTCCGACTTCAACGCTTACACATGCAGAGAGTCCGAATTCGATAGCGCAACCATAAATCCCAGCCACCAGTAACCGAAACCCTAAAAGCCCAAATCACGATCTACAACGAAATTACTGAACTCTCCTCAACCTAGATAGGAAATTTCACCAACACGAAAACCTTGTAGACGAGCCCTAAACTCAACCACGGAACGATCTGGCTGTGAAAGCAAAGGTCAACTGATGAAAATACACCACCTGGAAACCCTAGCTGAAAAATTCCCCAGGAATTCGCGGCGGGTCTGATCTTTTCTAATTCGGGGAAGGAGGAAGAAGAGTAGAGAGAGAGAGAGAGGAGCTCGATGATCGCAAAAGAGACAATTGAAGGCAGGAAGAATTAGGGATTTGAAAAGTAGGAGAGAACCCTAATTAGAGAGAGTGGAGATGGCATTGTTTGGATCTGGGAATGATGGTTATGGTCTCTCAAGGTGAAGAATCTGAGGGCGAAGAAGCGCTGCGTAATGAAAATGTTGTTTTTAATCCATGGAGATATGATTTCCTTTTTTTTTTCTTTTTTTTTTCTTTTTTTATTACTTACTGGAGTATATATATATATACACAAATTTTTCTAGTTTTCCGAATAACATTTTTTGACATTTATTAACTGAATATGCTTCTCCTTTTGCCATTATTAAAAACATATATCTCATTCAGCAAATTTATTTTTTCCAGACAACACAAAATAGTATATGTTTTATATTTACTTCTTTTGCGTAAATTAGCATCTAATATTTATTTTTAGTCAACCAACTAATAATTCATATCCAACATCCTATCATATATAACACTAGATGAGGATCTATTTTACTAACAATTTATATTTAGTTATTTATAATGGAAATGACTATAATCTCTCATTTAACTGTGAATATTTGACATTTAGAAGAGCTAAATAGTATTTTCTAATTTTCAACAAATATATAAACAAGACATATTGACTATCAAAACGTTTAGAATTGATTGATGACAGATCGCACATATGTTTCCGAGGATAAACAATTAGTTTCTTCAACAACAAAAAAGAGAATAAAAATTATACACGACTTTTCTAATTCTAATTAATCAATATCATTCATATATATGAATAAACAAAGGAAAAAAAATTTGCCAAATGTTTTTATTTATTAATCTTCAGTGTTACTTCTTTTTCAATTCGTAGTGTATCATTTACACATACACGGTAAATATATACAAACTTGTACAGGCCGGAGAAATCGTGTGTCATGTATTCCAGGATGGCCTGATTGTGAGCAGCTTATCCATATAAATTCATTGTCTCGTAGGTTTGTTTAGTCTCTGTAAAGTAGTGCCAAACCCCCCCCCCCCAAATACTCGGCCCATACACATATCCTTAAAGAAAAAACGGTTCGAGTCTAATAGTACAATGTTTTTTTAAAAAAGTACAAGTGTAAAGTGACTTTATATTTTGAAGACGATAGATTTGCAATCATTCTTTTTTATAAGAACATGAATTGCAACGTTGGAATATAATCTCAGATACAACTTTATATATTGTGAGTTAACGAAGAAACTCTTTGTGGTTATTTATGTTTTATTTACTTCTGTGCTTATTATTTAGACAAACCTACGACGTACGGTAAGTAAGGCTTGGACTGCATCTCTTTTTAACGCAAGAATATATACTATAAACTCAATCAGTGATAGCAATCGCCTCGACAGAGTTTTGAGTTCAAGATCCATAGGTCACACCACTCACCATCATCATCTATATATCCATCTTTTCTAATCTCATTGTCCATATATGTTAGCTTCCTAGCTATTTTATACATATAATATCCGTGCTATTGAATGCAAACTACGTACCCTATAAAAATATAACAAGATGTCAAATGAAAAGGTTGAACTGTTGAAGTGATGGCTTCTCAACGTACGAGCTAAAAACAGAAGGAAAAATTCTGCTATAATATATATATATATATATATATATATATATATATATATATTAAGATTTGAAATATGTCCGAATTTAAAAAGATATATAGAACAATGAAACTATGAGCTGTTTTGACTTTGAAGTTAACAGTTCTAAAGAATTTGAGTTCAATAAAAAATAAAATAAAAAGATGTATTTTGACTGAGCTAGGGTTTTCGAGGTTCGGTTGTCTGTCTTTAGAAGAAAAATTCAAATTTAGAGCCAATGAAATAACAATCTGAAAAGTGCACATATATATATATATATGTCTACAACATCTTCGTACAATAGCCAAAGCTGCTAACTGATTCTTCCAAGTAATAGAATAGAGGTGGTGGATCAAACACTACTTAATTCACGCATTGGCAGAATTATATATTTGCATTAAGTTTGGTTCTATCAGATTCGTTTTAAGAAGTGATGCCATCGAAAACCTAAATATCTGACGACTTATGTTTTTTCAAACTCTGTAAAATTTTGAAGATTCTTTACGAATGAGTTGTTCTCCATTAGGCTAGTATACTACAAATAGAAAATTAAATAACCCTGGAAAAAAAAAGATGGTATCAAACAGCTCTTTTCCTTTTACTTGAAGAACTTTTGACATGGGTGCATCTCATTCTCATGGGATTCTCATAGGAATCAAGTTCAACAACTTGAGTAAAATAAACGGCTGTAGGGTAAATTCATCATAACAGTAAGCGCTAATATATATATAAATATCTTTTGTCCATGCACAACCACAATGCTTGTATGTAAAATCATCATAATGGATATTATATCTCACATGGACCTGTTCCTCTTCATTTCTCTCTTTGTCCTTCACAATGGGTACATCAGATGTGGTTTGTACTTGTTGTTACCTTAAAATATTCGCGCTCCTGGTTCCCGAGGCATCGCTGCCTGCCTGTGCAGGAGCTCAATGCCGCGATTCCATGGTTTGAGCCAATGGAAACAAACATATATATCCCTGTAACCACTCAGTACATAGATGTCAGATATAAACATTGTTAAGGTTAATAGTAGTAGTACATAACAAAACATATTGAGTGTTACCACATTGGTATACTAATAGTTTAAAATGTACTGTTGGAATGTTACAATTACTATCTTGGTATAGTTATTGATAAATAAAGATCTTGATGTTTGCGATTTCAGCTTTTGTCTCTTTGAACTAATCTCTTATATATATGTAACTTGGTCAATTAATCCTAGTTGATTCGAACAAGAAGAACATAAGATAGTTGAGAAGTGGTCCCAAGAAGGCTCTACATAAACTATAGGCTGCATCTTTCTTTGATGAATGATTTCTTACTTTCTTTTTAATTTGATGATTTAAAATCACCCATTTGCAGATAACCATAAAGCGAGCATGTCGTAAGATATACAAATCTTCGAAATTCATATATAATTTTGGGTTTAGTGTACCCATAAGGTTGTGGTCCTCAGATTCTTAGGGTTATTTTTGGTATTCTGAACCTATAACGTACCCTCTTCATTCAAACCCTAGACCCTTTTGACTCTTTAGTTTTACGATAAACAAAAGAAGAGCTCATCGCCTTATTGGTTCTTCTTAATTTCTATGGGCTGTTTTTGAGAAGAAATAAAGTGTATTGACTTTAACTTAATTGTAACTTTCTTATATATCTTCTGCCTGACTTGTCTTGAGATCAATCTGCTTACATGTGAACAAAGAACTGGCAAGTGTCAACTGTCTCAGCTTCTTTCCATTAATATGAACTAATCACGTTCTTTAGAATTTCATCAAGAGAATCGTATTCCTATTAAAAAGAATTTCATTCATTTAAATGGTCAAGTACTCAAGTCCTAATGCTAGCTCCTTTATGTTGGTTAACAGTACTAGATCAGGCTTCTTTATTAACCAAAAAAAAACAAAACACTAGCTCAGGCTCCATAATTAAGGGGATGAAAAGACATCACAGATCAAGCCACTGAAACAGATCCATGGATAAATCAATACGGTAAGATACAAATATATAAAACTCTTATTTTTTAGCCTAATTATGTTTATGGATGTAGCCTTCGATCAATCTATGCAGTGATGATATATAATATACGCATAAACTTCTTATATTCTTACATATCAACGAGAAGAAAAGAAAAAAAAAACGAAGTCATCTTGTTAATTAATTAGTACCTAGTTTCTGCTATCTTCTTCACTTCCATATCCATGGGATCCTCCACTGTTTCAAACCGACCAACTCTAAGTCTGAATTACACCTTATTAATTGCTTGCAACAAGAAATCTCATATCTTTATATATATGTAGAAAATATGAAATTATAAAGCAATTACAGACATATACATTTGTATATATTAAAGATTCAACATTAACATTTTTGAATCCTTTTCGTTTCTCTACAGATCTTTCTTTGGTTTCATCAATATATCTAGTTCAAACGAGGCGTGGAGCTGCTTCCCTTCTCAACAACTCTAACAAATTTTGTCGACTGGTTCTGTAGATCACTTCTAGTGTTGGGTTCTTTCTCATTCCCACTATCAGTATTGCTACCTTTGTTGTGCTCAGCTCTTTCTCGCTCGGCTTCGCGGTACTTGTGAAGATGCCTACCCACGGCGTCAGCATAGTTATCAAGGCCGAGAGTGCTGAGAGCCCACCAGATGTCGTCACCATTCACCGTCTTTCGATTCTCCCTGTGGCACTTGTCCGAGGCTTCGCATGTAACAAAGCTTATGAACTCTGTTGCACATTCTTGAACTGTTTGTTTTGCTTCTTTTGAGATCTTTGCATTTGATGGTAAGATTTGCTTCATAAGTCTCCCTACATTGGCTATTGGTAACAATCTATCTTCATCTGTCATTTTTTTTCTCTCTTCTTGTTTTAATGAATCTATTACCTCTATCGGCTCTCTTTATACCATTTTTTATATACGAGTAATCCAATATATGAGTCTCTCACTCTATTTATAGATGCATAGGTATATGAGTAGATGTGCTATCATGTCCTTGCACTGAACCTACCTCTTAATTTATTACATACTATATGTCTATATCTAAGATTCTGTCTCTCTGTATATATGGATGTGTGTATGTGAAGCCTATATATGCATTATATATAGTATATGAATATATATCACTCCTTTTTTTTACTTCTACAGTATTACTATTATTTTGCAACCAAGTGATTCAAAAAATAACTCTTATCTGTATATCTCTATGTAGTCATCATATTGATTCCAAAATGATGATGAGAATGCTATTTTTGTAAGATCATCGATATCAACGAAATAATATTTCCATTATAATTAGACTAACAAATTATCATATCGTTTTGATTTATAAAGCAATTAGCGCATAACTTATGTTTTATTCTTAGAGAGAAATGTCGAAAATATAACTATATTTAGTGGTACAATCTAATACAAATTGAATCATAATTGATGCAAATTAGTTAATTATTAACTGATGTTAAATTATATATATTTGCTTCACTTATTAATAAGTAATTTAAAATAGCATCACTTTAATTTGTGATACAATATATGTGATACAACCCACTCACTTTTTTTTTTTTGTATATCTGTGTATGTAAGTAAACTCGTGCGTATTAATAGAAAAAAGATAAAAACTTTTAGCACATATACTAAATTAACAAAGTATGATACGAATATTCTTTGACATTTGCAGTGCGTTGAGCTAGTGAGAATATTATTTGGGTTTATTTGTTTATAGGTTGTCTTACCATCATCTTCCCTGGAATTATCTTAAGCGTATATGAATTGAATTGTGTTGACGTGTTCAAATCTTGTTTGTGTTTAATCTTTTATTTTTAAAAAGGAAATACGAAAAACCATTTAAATCACAATATATAAGTATAAACGATTACATTAATTGGTTCATGTAATTAGAGTGTCTTGGAAATCTTACTTAAATAATTATTGTGGATTTAAAATAACGTATGAAGTGCTCTAAATGGAAACTGAGAATTTAATACGACCCACAATGAAAAAAAAAATAAAGTTGACCTAATTTTGATTAGAGGCTATAGCTACTTTGCTAAAAAGAAATTATTCTTGATGAAGCAATGGTTGTCTTATGGAATGTCAAAACCTTAATATTAAGAGAGAAAAAAAATGAAATTCGAGGCACGTAATCCGCATAATAACCAGTACGGTTCATTTCCCACTCGCATGCATTTGACATTTCTATTTTAAATATTTTAGTAAAAACATATACTTATTATTAGTGTATACTGAGCAAAAAATTCAACTAATATAAGGTCACATATGTATACTCTCTGGTCTTGCTAGCTAGTGTTAGAGCATTTCCTTTACAATCTGTGTTTTACTCATGGTATATTACTATGTTAGAGAGGTTTAAATATTATTATGATGTTTATAGAAAATGATTAAATTACGTAAGAAATTAAATAGAATACGTCATTTAAAACCGGATTACATAATTATGCGTTTTAAAAGACGTTCTACATACTTCGAAACTGGATTGACTTCCATGCAAACAACCAATTACAAAAAAAAGTGTCTGTAAAGTTAGATTTTTCATTTCTTTGTGAAAAGCATTTCACTTTTTCCCTTTAATTTATCAATTGAATTAGGATTTTAATCGGAAAGTTGTTAACGGTCTCCTATTTATTTTTGCTTAAATATGATTAATAATTCGCTAATGCTGTCTTTTCGAGTCCATTTGTAATATTAACTATATTATTATCATCATTTCAAATATGTGTCTTGCCTTCTTGGTGTATTATTCTAGACTCTTTTCCCAGTCAGAACCCAAATTTAAATTTAAAAAAAAAAAAAAACAGTTTTACGTTTCGCATGCTTTGAACTATGTTGCAACTTGCAACTAAATAAAGCAAGAACAATAAATGAACGTAAAAACAAAAACAATTGTTTTCACCAAACTAGTTTAGTTCAGAAGACAAGCCGCGCCGGCTAGGTTAAAGACCGGGAGAATTAAGTTTGTTTATTAATTACTACAAAAATATTTGGCAAACATTTTAATTAAGTTTTCACTATCGAATAAAACTACAAAAAGGTTATTATTAAAGCCGACCTACAACTTTCATTAGACCGGACATGGATTGGTTTCAGCCTTTTAAAGTAAATGATACTAAAAGAGCACGTGCATGATCAACAACAAGAAGAAGAAGACGACGTTCTTATATGGGCTTTCTGTTTTCTAGAAATAAGTTTGTTTCACTATTTCTACGTCCATGGATCCTTCTATTTTTAGCCCATTTATTATCTTTGGAGCCACAACACACCCCATCGACTGTGTGTGTTTTCTTTCTTTTTTTACTTTTGCGTAACTTGAATTTTTTGTTCTGTCTAACTCTTTTTTGAATTATTTTGGCAAATAGAAAACAAAAAAAAACAAAAATTATAGCACTTCTCGTCAAAATACACCAAACAAAACTGAGTGATATATATATATATATATTTCTTCTAGTTTGATATAAAATGGTAAGAAAATTGCATTAAATGGCAATATAAAAAGATTGGATTAAGAAAAAAGATTATGGGAGTTTTTCTCATAGTATTTTGGATGGTTTTAGCTTATATAATTTAAACATGACTAGTTGTTTTACTTTTCCTGTTACATGGCTGTCTACTTCTATCATATGAGACTTTTATATACAAATTATCCTAAGTTTCTACATTATTATTTAATGTACTAATATCATTTATTTCATAATATGTTTTTTTTGGGGTCAAAATATGTTATTTTCTATATATTGAAATTACATATGGATCTCACTCCCATCATACAAAAATTGTAATATATTATTTTAGATTCGATATTACTATTTAACAGGTTGATGCTAGCTAATACTAAATTAATATACCTTTTAAAAAGTACAGCTAATACAAAACGATAAGTTTATCATAATTTCCATGGAATACATTTTTGTCATTTTTCGATAACAATTTAGTAACTTTTCATTTCTTTGACCAGAATACCGAATACTTCCATTTTACGAAATATTTTCCCTAAAATGGTTTGAAACGCATGTATGGTATATAGCTTTTACAAATATACTTAAGATATTGTAAATCTTGTTTAACCTTTAATTTCAAAACATTATATTATTATGTTAATATTGATAAAAATGTTAGTATTAAACTATATCAATTTGGCTAAGAAGAGATAATTCAACCTAGAACACAAGATCACGTCCACAACTTTATGAGTATTTTAACTTTTGAACACTAAAAACTGAAAACAATAAAAACACTCTAAACCCTTAAAATAGCCAATGGAAATCTCCAAAGTGCATATATAAAAAAATCTTTTATACGATTATATTCGACTCTACTACTCTTCTCATATATATCTCTCCATATGTGCCTCATTCTCCTCTCGAAGACTTCGTGTTGAAAGAGCGACCAGTGCTCTTTCTCTCTCTCCCTCTCAACAAAACACGAACGATTCTTCGTCCTCTCTGTTCTTGTTGCCAAACTCCAGATTCTCACAGTGCCACCACAATCTCCAACATTGCAGAGTTGAGTTGAGACATCTCATAAACTAACTCAGGTTATCAAATCTATCATATCTCCTTTGGTTTCATCTCATGCCGTGTTTGGCAATTCATGTTTACGCGTTTGCTTTCCTCTTTCTGGGTCTTCTTGTGTCGCAACTCGCAACGCTACTGCTTTATGCCTATAAATCGAGACACTTTACAATCCGGAGATGATGAATCCTCCTTTTAACATCAAAGTACCCATCTTTTTGTGTGTGTGTCTGTGTGTGTTTCCATGTTTTTGTCTCTTGCGTAAAGGTTTCGACTTTTGCTGCTTTTTCTTGCATACCATTGTTGATATGTTCGTCTAGTGGGCTAATCCGTAAAGAGATCATTGAGAATTACATGTCTATGCTACAACTTGCTTTGATGTTCGGGATCGATGCTTTATGGGCTTTGCGTTGATCAGGTCTGATTAGCGAGTTTATGAATCTGGGTCAGTGTTTCTACACAATTTGCCTCTGAAAACACTAGATTTTACCTTTTTTCTCGTCTTCGTGCTTTCGTGGGGTTTTGCTTTTAATTCCCGTGGCTGTGTTTGTTTCAGTGATCTAAGACGTGAATTGAATCGAATGTGTTTGGTATCTTTCAATTCCTTTCACGATCTGAAGTTGTTGAATCGTCGGTTTGATACTGTGATCTAAAATACTTGAGCTTTATACTTTACCCCGTCGTGTTGCTGTGGACAATGTATGTATTTGAGCTCCGTTGGTTAATTTCAATGTTCATACTTAGGGTGATGTTGGATCTTTAATCTTTGTCCTTTTGGTGTCCTAGTAATCAGATCTTGTACGTATCTATTTACCATGAAACTATGATTGATTTCTCTTTGCTGTCTGATTTAGATGTTTACAGTTTGTATCTTCTTGATGTTTTTACATTTTTCAACAGTTTGATATTCAATATTGAGAATGCTGCTCTTTTTTGTTCCTTCAGGTTTCACTACGTTGAGCATGGTTCTTCTGATGGATGGGGAGAACAATATTATGGAAGAAACAGCTGTTATGGAAGATTCCTATGATGATGGATTTTCCTGTGGAGATCCACGAGTTGAGCCTCGTGTTGGAGATGAATTTCAGGTTGAGATTCCTCCTATGATGTCGGCATCCAAGCGTGCTGTGTTTCTTTCAACTCCTGTTGCTTTGGATGACTCTTCATACTCCTTTCTCGTCGGACTACCTGTCCAAATAATGTGGATAGACAAACAAAGACGAGGACAAGGAAATGGAGATGATAATGTTGACATGAACCAATCTTTGAAATCTTTAAGAGCCAAAAAAAGCCGTTCCTCTGCGAAGAACAGAGGCAAGAGTGACAAGAATCTAGAATCCAAGAAGCAAAGATTGGATCTGGAGGCTGTTCCCGCGATACCTTCCAGTTCTTGGGAAGAATTTGAGGTAGCTAGCTTTGTTCTTGGTCTGTATACATTTGGGAAGAACTTTACTCAGGTGAAGAATTTCATGGAGAACAAAGGAGTAGGAGAGATAATGTTGTTTTACTATGGCAAGTTCTACAATTCTGCTAAGTACCACAGTTGGTCTGAATCCCGCAAGAAGCGGAACCGGAAATGTGTATATGGAAGAAAGCTCTATTCAGGTTGGAGGCAACAACAGTTGTTAACCCGTTTGATGCCTTCTATCCCTGATGAATCTCAGAAACAGATGCTCGTGAATGTGAGTCTCTTTCACATCTTGATGCGGAATCTTAACTACTATATATTTTTTGTTCACTGATCTTACTATTCACAGGTCTCAAAGGCATTTGCTCAAGGTAATGTCACTATCACTCTGGAGAAATACGTAAACACAGTGAAGACTCTTGTGGGTCTCAGGCTTCTGGTAGACGCCGTGGCAATTGGCAAAGAAAAAGAAGATCTCACGGTTCCTACATCAACACCAATGAAGACCAAACCATGGTTCACGGTTTCTTCGAAACCATCTTCGGTCCAGGGATTAGGGGCTTACAATTCACTCACATCTGCTGGTATAATAAATCAGTTAACTGGCTGTTCACGTATGAGCAAAGCCCGTTGCAATGATATATTCTGGTACGCCATATGGCCGCGTTTGCTAGGCAGAGGATGGCACTCAGAGCAGCCTGAGGACCGAGGCTATTTAAGATCTAAGGATTACATTGTTTTCATGGTCCCTGGCGTGAAAAAGTTTTCAAGACAGGAGCTTATCAAAGGGGATCATTACTATGATTCCATCAGTGATATTCTAACAAAGGTTGTTTCAGAGCCTGAGCTTATTGACCTTGAAACAGGAGGAGAGATCAGAGAAGCGACCGCCGATGAATTTTTTGTTGCAGAGAACTCTTCTGACCAATCAGATGAAGAGTTTTCTCGGTCTGATAGTCAGAGACACCGTTACCTTAGGTCTCCATGTTCTAACCGTGGAACTCTGGGAATGAAATTCACAGTTGTGGACACTAGTTTGGCTGCTGGAGGAGGGAAGTTGTGCGATTTGCGAAATCCTAATGCAGTACTGTCTCTAGTTTCTGAGCCAAAGACTCGACCAGGAGAAAAAGAATCTTCTGCGCCTAAAAATTCCCTGGACAGTCAGAATGTGGAAAAGTCTCAAGTGAGGCCTCGAGATATCAATAATCAAGTGGATGACCAAATGCGATTCACGATTATTGATACGAGTGTAGACTACTGCGAAAAGTTATCTGGGTTTAGGAGATGGAGACCTCTACCAAGTGATGTCACAAAAAGAGGCTATGTAGGGGATGATTCTGCTATAAAGGAAGAGAAGACTTTTGAGAAGATTAAGGATCCATCAAAGAGTTTGACTACACACAGGCGTACCCCTCGAGCAGAAACAAACTATCATTTAGTAAATTCTGCACCAGTTATGAAGCGCAGACGGCTCAGTGCTTGCATTTCAAGAGAAAGTCCAGTGTTCAAACATTTATCAGGTGATAACATAAAAAGGACTGGTTGTCTTGAATCAGACCAGCAAGATATATGTGGAGTCCAACACCAAAATAGCACTTGTGAAGAGATGAACTGGGACAAAGAGGCATATGAAACCGTATTGTCGGTTGAGCATACGAACTTAAAGTCTGATCAACCAATTAAAACTGGAACTGGGCCGTCTTCTTTGCTTGTTGAGATTCAAGAAACTTCAGAGATTGAACCAAGTGGGTTAAATTCTATCTCCAATGCAGACAAGCACTGTTCTCCAGAGAAGATAAGAACATCCCAAAAACTAGTTTTGTCAGAACCAGAACCACTCTGTTCAGTGTCAGAATCAGAAAAAAAAGGTGCTTCTATTGATATGGAACAAAAGCAAGCAGTTGAGCTCCCTTCCATTTCAGGCTCAAATGCTAACAGGTGTTCTTCCAATGATCCGGAAACTACTCAAGAACTGGGTTCATCTGAACAACAACACGACCAACAGAATAATACAGATGGTCCGAGAAGACAGAGCACAAGAAAACGACCATTGACCACTCGGGCACTGGAAGCTCTTGAATCCGGCTTTCTTACAAACAAGAGCATAAAAAGCACGAGTAAACTGGAACCGAGAAAACGCGAAAGTTCAACAAAGAAAAAGCGTTCAGCTAAAGCCTGTAACAGAAATGGGAGTGCAGATTTGGAGCACAAAGGAGACGATAGAAGCATTTTTGTAAAGAAAGCACCAACAAGTAAGCCCTTGGATCAAATAGAGGATTCAAAACCTAGCTATCTTCTCAATGAAGCAAGAGCTGAGGGCAAGGCTGTAGATGGAATACAGGATCCAAGGCCAGTCCAAACCCAATACCCTAAACTTCCACCAATTGTTTTGAAGTTTCCATTCAGGCGTGGCTAAGGAGCTTCAGGAACGTAAGTTTGATAGTTTGAACGTTGGGGTGTGAAAAGGTTGGCCTTGCTGCAGAAAAAATGTGTACAAAAGAGATGTTTTATTCCATACCCTTTGCTATTTTCGTTATTTCAATTATTTAGCCATAAGTAGTGTTTCTATTATTGGTTTGCTTGAGAGCTATTGGAAGAAACTTTTCAGATGGGTCAAATATCCAGAAAAATTAAGTGAACTAGTAATGATAGTTATGAATATTTATGAAGCCTGATATACAGAGTCATAGATACATACAAATCCTGTATAGTAGTAGTCTAAACTAAAGTCACAACAATGATTTTTATACTACTATACAAATCTAGACTGACTTAACTGCAGCTAGTTTGCTACGGCCGCTTGATTGCCTTGTCCAAGTTGTGAGAGACTGTTTTGGTTAAGTTCGGGTCCTCAAAACCAAGCTCCGCTCCAAATCTTTTGCAGCCATAACATAGGAACCAAATTTAAAAAATTGTCAATTCAAATTCACTTCACTCTTTAGATTAGTTTTGGCTTAAATTCTTTTCGACTTACTTTGGATCCAAGACTAGTTTCTGAACTTCTTTGATAGCTGAGCTAGCTGCATATAACGATATCTTTCCAATCTGATATTAAAAACCCAAATCATTTTCCAAGGTTTTTAGAACTGAAGGCACTGACATGGTGAATCACTTAATGGTTTGTTCTACGGGAAGTTGGAATTAAAGTTTTGTTACCTCTAAAATCTGAAGTTTAGCCTCGTGGTCGTTCGGTAAACACCGGATTTCTTCAGCTAGTCTTGCTGACTCTCCAACACTCTCAGGACACAAGAAGTCGAGTGCCACCTGAACATTCGACTGATTGTATGTGTGCGAACAATATTTAGTAAGGGCATTGGACTAGAAACTCAGTGGATTTTATGTCTCATAGAAAATGAAATTTACCTGAAGATTCCTGATTTGAAACGGACTTCCAGCCGGAATGAAGATAGCCTCACCACGATGTTGCTCAAACGTCCATGGCTCAACTCCTGAAACAATAGCAAGAGTCATCCCTCAGGCTTCCATGCAATATGCGTTTAGAAATCGAAAGGGTTCAGTTTTTCTACCAAACTCATCTTTTAGTTGTCTTTTGTGGTGTTCATTTAAGAATAATCCTTCATACAACGGGCGTGACACCTGAAACCAGCGTAAACAGATTAGGAAATCCAATCATTCGACATAAGAAAAAAGATAACTTTCACATTTCATTTAGTTAAGTTAGTAGTCAAGACTCACAAAATCAGTCTGAAAATTATCAGGCTTCTGTAATGTTCTCTTAAAGTACTCGGCCAGCTTGGGGACGTCTTGGCGTCGAAAGATATCCCACTGGGCTCCTCCTGCACATGAAGACGTACGAGAAGAGTCCATGTTGTGATCAAGATCCATTTTTTCCTCTGTATTCACAGGCAAGATCATCTCAGATTCATTCTTCTCTGTATTGACCCCACCAAGTGATAGATCATGTAACTCTCCGTCCCTTAATTTGTCCTCAGGGCTAAGAGGTGACTCATTTTCGTCCATCTTCTGGTCGGATTCTCTTGGATCAGGATTTGTCTCTCTCACCCTTTCGACTGTTGTTCCTTCAGATGTGTGCACCAAGAGGTATACCTGATTAGAAGAATCTTAGTTGACCTAACATAACCAGTTTCCCATATCAACCAAAATAAGACAAATGTGATATATCGTTATCCAAGAGTTGAATCATGTACCATGTCACGCATGCTGTAGTGAATACTACTAGTCAATGAATCACCAGCACCAATTTCTTGGTATGTCCCGCAAGACACATAAATCTTTGGACCTGCATCGTTTTGGAGCGAGTAATGAGGCAACTTGGCTGCCACGTTCAGAAGGCCTAACCGAGGATGTATGTACTCGAGAAATGGAAATCTTCTGATAAACTCTGGTCTTTGGTAGAAAATAAATTCTTCAGAAGCACTTGGGCTCGGCCAGTCCTTTAACTTCCACAATAGGGGAAGACCTGTCTCTTGGTTTTTCCCATCTCTATATGCTTTTGTAAACTCTCCAAGTCTTACATCAACCTGTGAACATGAACACTAATGAATCTCTGACTCAACAATATGAAGATATGAAGAAGAAAGAAATTTACCTCTGACCCCTCCAAGCAATTTATGGCCTTCAAGAATGGATCATGTTCTCTCAATTTCTCCTCAGAATTCTCGTCTATATCCCTCCAAATAGTCTCAGGATCCCACCTAGAGCAAGATGAGTCATCAAGTACCTTTTTTACAGTAACAAGCCGACCCTTTGCCCATTGTTGTTCAAAATTAGCTACTCCATCAGATTTTATCGTTTCAAGCGACGGGCTGTACACGTAATTGTCACCGCTCTCTTCTCTCTCAGCAAATTTGCAGAATCTGGAGTCACACAATTCAGGGTTCCGAAGATCACATACTTTGCAGCCGTTAACAATCTCCTCAGCATTTTTCACAAGCTTTGCAACCCAATTCATCTTAAAAATGCGAGCGAGATTCAAAGAACGGGAACCGCAGCCTCCATACTCCTTAGGGGGGCAGGGGATGCTCCCATCACCGTTGGCTTCCCACTCAGGAAACTTGTATGAAAAGTTTAGTTTTATTTTAGTAACTCCTGTTATTTCTCCTATGATTTTGTTAGTCCCACTAATCTCAACTGAAGACTCTTCCCGTAGATCTTGACAGCATCTCAGGCACAGGTCATATGAGCAGTTCGAACAATGACGGTAGTAGTCAACCACTGGTATCCGACACACGTTGCTACAAGAAACAAAACATCAATAAGAACATGTACGACGATACGAAGTGCCAACAAGAGAGAGTCAAGTAAGAAGAAAGGCATGTAAGACAGATCATAAGTACCAGCACATCTGCTCATCTGCTTTTAATCTTGCCCTGACAAGATCAATCTCAGCTCCTATAGCATAGAAAAAACTAATGTTAACCGAAAAAACGTTAGTAGTATATATAATTCATCAACAGTCACGGTAAATAAAAACTCATCTCACCACGAAGCCTCTTCTCTAGTTCTACTTCTGTACACTGTTCCAGATGGATCTGCTTTATCACTGGAAGAACAGCTGATAATAGACGATATAGATACTGCACCTTGTCCAAAACAGGTATATCCCGGATCTGTACCTGCAATATTTCACAGAGAGCAATGGCATGGTTCTAAATATTAAACCCCAAAATAGGTAGCAGTGTTTTGAATCTATGGATATACAAGATCGCACCTTTATTGTATTATCAGAACGCATGCAAGGTTTGCAATCACACAAACCACGACACACAGGGCAAACTTTCTCAACTTCTTCGAGTGATATCTCCGAGTACCTTAAAATGCATCAGACATCATCAGTACTGTGTACCGTGAACTCTTTCTACCAGAGGTTAACGAATTTCTGATATAAACAGAACTAAAAGAAAAAGAGAGCACACCTTGTCGATATACAAGTGTCACAGAAGGCTCTCTGATTGCATTTGAGGCAAGTAATGATTCTATCACTGTCTTTTCTCTGGCATTGATGGCAGATTTCCCCCAAAGACTCTGCAGACACATCTGTGCTTGCTGCTGAGTATTCCTACAACATGTAAAAACAGTTACTTTAATCTTTGTAAGTCCTCATGTAAACTCATATGTGAGTACAAGTTGTCTGTCAAACCAGTGAGAATCAACAAATTTACCATTGGACTCGTGCTTTGGTGTGATGATCTGTAGCGTGACGGATCCATAACAGCAACAGAAGGTGGTGGTGTCCTATAAGATCTGTAGCACTCTTCATACCTTCCAACATCTCTAGCAAACTCATCGTTCAAATTCACAGCAACACGTGGAGAAAAACTCCTCATCATGGGTGTCTCGGGAGAGTACTGCATCAGGCTTTTATGTCTCTTGAGTATCCTACCATTATCCTTGGAAGCAGAGGCGTGGCCGTTGTTATAGTGCTCAATGCTGGGGATGGGCAACTCGAAATCATCGATCTTTCCTTCCGAATATGTATCTGTTTCGCCTGATCTCCTTTTCGCTTTCTTCTGGTTAGCCCGAAAAGCGGAATTAGCGGCCCGCTTCTTAGCCTGGATGTAGTGCTTCTCACAGACGGTCTTATCAGGCATGGACTTTGCAGTGCATCTCCACTGTTTACCATCGGATCTCTTACACCGTAAATCATCTGGAATCCCAAGAACACCCTCACCATTGCCATTGCCATTGCCATTGACATTGGCGGAGCCGGATCGAATTTGCTCATTAGCACTCATTCTAATCACTGAATCGCAAATTTCATCAAAATTGACCTGCATTGTTAAAACACTAATCAGAAATAGATCACTCACATAAGGGAAAAAAAAAAAAAAAAAAACTAAATTGGTAGCTTTAAAAACTCCTGCTAGAATTGAGTGAGATGATCAACCAAATTGCAACCCTCCCAAAAATCCAAACTTTTAGGAAACTCCGTAATAATCCCCCTCCCATCAATTCAAAGAACACACTCAATCTAACTAAAAAAAAAAACTAAACGAAACAATAAGCTAAGGAGTGTATGGAGAAACAGAAGGAAATAGAGTTGCAGAACGGAACACTAAGAATAATCTAAAAGAAGTCGAAAATAACAGACACATGATCCTTGAACCTAATCAACAGATACATAAGTACATAATAAGAGGACCTACTACAAATTCATAAGAGAGAGAGAGAGAGAGAGAGAAGAAGAAGAGAGCTCCGAAATCGGTAATTGCAAAAATCGAAGGAAGAATTGAAATCTTGTTAAAGAGAAGAGTGTTGGTTTCTAAGATTTGGGAATTCCAGAGGGCTCAACTATGTATAAATATAGGTACATTAAAAAATAAAAATAATTGCTCATACACTTACAGTGAAAGAAGGAAAAGCCCCAAAACTGAAATTAGGGTTTTGGTCGAGAGTAATTGCAGAGGTGATGATGATGATGATAGATGGGAGAGATACCACCAATCATGTTCCGTTCAGGACTCTTTTGTCTCTGATTTCTTTTTTTCTTTTCTCTTTTTTTTTTTTTTTTTTAGGTTCTGCTTTTTATTTGTTTGGGTTCTTCCTTTTCCTCTTAGGTTTTCCTTTTCTCCTCCTCCTCTGTAGATCGTATTCAGACAGAACATGGGTTCACTTGTTTTTCTTTTCTTTTCTTCTTTTTTTTTCAATGTTGGTGTTTATTATTCATAGTGGATCCCATATTTGTACAGTACCCCAAAATATGGATATATGTAAACAACAGCAAAATTAAAGGAAATAAATGGATATTCAAACATATTAAATATTTTCTTATTGTAAGTTTATTTCTCCAATTGATGAAACACATACAGTAAATAGCACTGATAAGGTTGATGATTTTACAGTATTCGAAAACTGAACCACTTGATTTGTATTGCGCTTACCCGGAACCTGGATTGTGGATATATTTTCAATTAGAAAGATTTATTTGGTTATAATTAAGGTAAATTAATACAAGCATGTTCGTTTCCTAGTTGCTTGCTAATGACAAAAAACAATTACTACTACTATTTGTATATCCAGTTATCAATGATTTTGAATTGTGTGCGTGAGAATAACAATGATCGATGATGATTCAGAATAATAAACGCTAAAAATGTTCAGCGGTCACGAATCTTTAGTTGTGTGACTGATGATTGATGAGTGTCTAGACTTTCAAGTAGTATTGAGGTGAGATCATGTACTAGGAGAAATGGAGAATAAATTGATCAGCTAAATTTTTTGTAATTTATCTTTTATATTTATAAAATTTGCTAATTGGGCATCCCAATATATGAACTTATTACGTGTATTTTCTTTTTTTGTTATGGTGACCGCGAGGGAGATAAAGGAGCAACGAATATGGTGGATAGTGCGTCAGGGCCACGCGAGGTGAGGCTATCGTTGAATTTGAAAGATGAGAACCAAACCAATAGCGCCTTTGAGAGTAAGCAAAAAATGGTAAACTTATTATTATGGGGTATTATTCCACGCGTATTGCTACTTGAGTCTTCTTGACTACTGAAAAAGAAGATACCAAGAAAGATGCTTGCTTGAGATTATTCTTCTTTGCAAAAGATTCCTTATTTGTAATTTTCTCATCGTTTTTGAACAAATCTATCGAAGAGATAGATAATCCATGCATGTGTTATACTGCCATGGTCTCTCCGAACGCTTTAGATACTTCTAGGTTTTATTATTTTTTGTTCTTTTCAGTTTTGAGTCAAATAATAATTTATCAAAAACAGCAAGATAATTAAACTTCAGATAAGAAGAAACTAATATTAGGAAAAAGAAAATCTAAATTATAATTAAGAAAAAAAAAAGGAAAGAAACAAAAATACCGCGTCCTTAACAACAAAAAAAAGAAAAAAAAAAAAAAACGGAAATTTTGTGCGTGTCCGTCCCGTGTGTAAACCCTCTTTTATTCTTGAAACCGACTTTGGTATAAATTGCATATATATATATACATCCCCTCTTCCCCTCACTTTTTATTTTCCTCATCATCAACACAATCTAATCTACTATCTCAATCCCAGTTAATTTTTCTTTCGAAAGCCAACAAAAATCTCATCTCGATCCGAGTAAATCATGGAGTGTAGATCGCTGGATCTGACGATTATATCCGCCGAGGATCTCAAAGATATTCAATTGATCGGTAAGCAAGACTTGTACGCTGTCGTTTCGATCAACGGCGACGCAAGGACCAAGCAGAAGACAAATGTTGACAAAGATTGCGGCACCAAACCCAAATGGAAGCATCAGATGAAACTCACCGTCGACGACGCCGCGGCCCGTGACAATCGCCTCACTCTTGTTTTCCAGATCGTGGCGGATCGTCCCATCGCCGGTGATAAACCCGTCGGCGAGGTTAGCGTTCCGGTGAAGGAGCTTTTGGATCAGAACAAGGGCGACGAGGAGAAGACGGTTACCTACGCCGTCAGGTTGCCTAACGGGAAGGCCAAAGGAACTCTCAAGTTCTCCTTCAAATTTGGTGACAAGTACACTTTTGGATCTCCGAGTGCTACTCACGCGCCTGTTCCGTCGGCTCTGGATCATAAGACCACGGATCACCCCGTCACCGCTTACCCGCCCGGGCACGGTGCACCGGCGGCTGCATACCCTCCTCCACCCGCGGGTCCTTCTTCCGGATATCCACCACCGGGACATGATGATAAGCACGGCGGTGCTTACGGATATCCGCAACAGGCTGGATATCCGCCAGCTGGACCCGGTGGTTATCCGCCACCTGGTGCATACCCGCAACAAGGAGGTTACCCGGGTTATCCCCCACCGCAACAAGGTGGATATCCGCCACAAGGTCCATACGGTTACCCGCAACAGCAAGGGTATCCGCCACAGGGTCCATACGGGTACCCGCAACAGCAGGTTCATGGTAAACCGCAGAAACCGAAGAAACATGGCAAGGCTGGAATGGGACTAGGTCTTGGGCTTGGAGCTGGTTTATTGGGTGGTTTGCTGGTGGGTGAAGCTGTGTCTGACATGGCTGATATGGGTGATATGGGTGACATGGGTGGTGATTTCGATTTCTGATTGATTATACTTATGTTATCAACTCTTTTAATTTCTTAGGTTAACTGTTCTTCTATGTTTGTTCGTTTGATGAATCATGTGAAGAACCTGAGAGATCAAGTTTTATCCTGTGTTTATTATGTGTTTGTGTTTCTTCTTTTCTGCTAATGAATGTACTGAAACATTATGCTTTTTTTCCAATCACTAGCTGTTGAATATAATGCAATGAAACAGAGGATAGATAGTGCTCTGTATTTTCTCAATTTACCATCTCATTAGCTCATCCCGTGGGCATGTTCCATATATTCATCTAAGAAAACAATGTTTTTTGAAAAGGACCTCCCCATTGGCAAAAGTAACATTGTTCTTATGAAATTTCTCAAAATCTAGATATTCCACAAACTTTCTCTAATGTCAACAACTTTTTAGTTTTACATATCTAGCGACCCTAAAAAAAAAAGATGAAATAACCAACAATTGCAAATCCAATGGCTCTAAACCGGTCAATAACCGACTCAAACAATCTTCTACCACCTGACTCTATAACTCATCATGATCATCTCCACCGTCGTCTTCACTATCTCCACTGGTTTTCTCGTAAACCGACTTAATAACCGGATTACAGACCGACTCCACCTCCTTCATTTTCTCATCGTAATCTTCCTTCTCTGCATTCACATTCTCCTCTAACCAGTCCAACACCTCTTTCAAAACCTCTTCCATCTTCTCTTTATCTTCGTCACTTATCTTCTCGGCAAGCTTCTCCTTATCCGCCATTGTACTCTTCATGTTGTACACATACGTTTCAAGCTTGTTCCTTGCATCAATCTTCTCCTTCACAATCCTATCTTCCTCTGCAAACTCCTCTGCTTCTCTTATCATCTTCTCAATCTCTTCTTCTGTCAAACGACCTTTATCGTTCGTTATTGTAATCGACTGTGACGTCTTTGCAACCTTGTCTTCGGCCTTCACCTGCAGAATTCCATTTGCGTCCACTACAAAAGTCACCATAATCTGTGGCACTCCCCTGAAAAATATGTGTTCCTTGCGTTTTAAGTAAGATAAGAACCATACTAAAAAAAATCGAAATGGTTTAGTAGCCAATATTGAATCAGAGATTACCTGGGTGCAGGAAGAATGCCGGTGAGATCGAAATTTCCGAGCTCGCGGTTATCTTTAGTCATGCTTCTCTCGCCTTCATAGACTTTGATGGTCACAGTAGTTTGCTGATCTTGGTAAGTAGTGAATACCTGAGACTTCGTCGTTGGGATTGCCGTGTTCCTCGGAATAATATTTGTCATCACGCCTCCGATAGTTTCAATACCGAGGCTCAAAGGCGCAACATCAAGCAGCAGGATATCTGTTTAAAATAAAAGTTAGTTTTTTTGCAAACTCAGCTACAATGATTAATACATGAAAACACTCAAATATGGTCATAAAGAGAGTTAAAAGAGTCACTTACTTTGTGTTTCTTCTCCACCTTCACCACTTAACACTCCACCTTGGACAGCGGCGCCATAGGCCACAGCCTCATCAGGGTTAGTCCCTTTGTTAGGTTCCTTGCCGTCAAAGAAATCTTTTAAAAGCTGCTGGACTTTTGGGATTCGAGTGCTTCCTCCAACAAGAACAATCTCGTCGATATCAGATTTCTTCAACCCCGCGTCTTTAAGAGCCTTCTTCACTGGCTCCAGGGTCTTCTTGAATAAATCCATGTTTAGTTCCTCGAATCTCGCTTTTGTCAGAGGCTCAGAGAAATCGACTCCATCAAAGAGTGACTCAATTTCAACACGGACTTGGTGCTGGTTGCTCAAAGCTCGTTTCGCACGCTCACATTCACGCCTAAGTTTCCCAAGGGCTTTGTGATCTTTGCTTATGTCTTTGTTATACTTCTTCTTGACCAGTTTGATGAAGTAATCCATCACTCTGTGGTCAAAATCTTCTCCACCGAGGTGAGTGTCTCCACTTGTGGATAGGACTTCAAAGACTCCATTGTCTATAGTAAGGATGCTAACATCGAATGTTCCTCCACCAAGATCATATACGAGAATGTTTGACTCCCCACCTTTTTTGTCTAAACCATAAGCTATGGCTGCACCTGTTGGCTCATTGATTATACGAACCACGTTAAGTCCTGCAATTGCTCCAGCATCCTTTGTGGCTTGCCTCTGCGCATCATTAAAATACGCTGCAAAACAAAACAAGAAACACCAAAAGCCATATGATCATCCATACATTCAAGGCACCACACTTCAACACCGCTCTTTTATTTGACTGTTTATATTTCTTTAATAGACTAGTTCAATAACAACTGCATAGTTAAAAAAAAGTGTATGACTCATCATACCTGGAACCGTGATGACAGCATCTTTGATATTCTTTCCCAAGAAAGCTTCAGCTGTCTCCTTCATCTTTGTTAGGATCATAGCACTAATTTCCTCAGGGCTAAACACTTTCACTTCACCTTTAACCTTCACCTGAATGTAAGGCTTTCCATCTTTGTTCACGACCTTGTATGGCAAGAATTTGATATCCCTTTGTACATCAGGATCATCAAATCTGTAACACAAAACCCAAAAACATAAACAAAAGCTCATGAAAGATTATATATGGACTAGACACTAATTAAGAAACTAAACACTTACTTTCTTCCAATCAGACGTTTTGGGTCGAAGATGGTCCGCTCAGGGTTCTTGGCCGCTTGATTCTTAGCAGCTTCTCCAATGAGACGTTCAGTATCAGTGAATGCAACCCAAGATGGTGTAATTCTGTTCCCCTGATCGTTTGCTATGATTTCAACGTGTTTGTTATGATAAACACCAACACATGAATATGTAGTCCCTAGATCGATCCCTATCACCGTCCCGAGCTTCTGATCTTCGCCTTCTATTGCCACACTTGACATCAAAGCTGCTCCAACAGATTCATAAAACAGTTCAAGCACTTGAAGCATATAAAAATAGAAACACAAATTCCAAAAATAATACGTTTTTGTGAGTTTTTTTACCTGTCATAAGAAAAACCAAACAAACGAGAGCTCTGTTCGTCATATTCGTTGTCTTTTCCTTGATAAAAATCATCTTTCGTTGTTGAGAACTCTTCTTCGATCACGTTTCCTAGTTTGTTCTGAAGAATACGCGAAAGCTCGTAGTCTATTTATATGTACTTCACCACGATTCGTATTTAGCTTGGTAGAGTATTATCTCCAATCATTGCTTGACACGTAAGCTTAATTACATAATCTGTGATGGCGCGCTCCTGACTTTTTTCACACGTAACGTACCCAATACCAAGGAGACACGTCACATCAGATCATCATCCGAGAACCTCCCCAAAGTTTTTTCACGACTTCTAGATATATACGGTATTATATAGTAGTTATCCATAAGAGTTTTTAATTTTGTTTATAAAAATTCTGTAAAATATTAAGAATCTTATGTGGGAAAAAACCACAGGAAAAAGTTTGTTAAATTAAGATTTTTTTGCTGTAAAAAAAAAAGAAGAAGATATTTTATTTTGTTATTAATGAATTTTTAGAGTGTGACGCCAAAACGAATGCATATGCGCTGAGGTGTAATTTTTTGGAAGAACATGACTATTGCTTAACCACTCCATTTAATTATTAGGCAGACATGTACATAATTAATCAATATACAGAGATTTATAAGAACACTGCCATTTTCTAACTACTCTTAGTGTTTGGATTTTTATTGGAATCAAAATACAATAAGAAAATGATAACAACAAAACTGCAAACTAACCCTAATGGCGGCCCTAGTTTCTAATTTTCACTTTCAAAACTTTAATAATTGACCATATATTATATTGGATTTTTAAAAGATGTTTTTTTAAATATGAATACTAATACTAGCATGACATTTGACATGGTCCTATTGTTTAAGTTTGCTTTTGATAAATAATATAAAATTTTATTTTATTTTTATGTAAAAAATATGAAATGCTCTTCTATTTCTCATGGTGGTGTAATACAATATAAACATTTTTACTATTATGGATTTTAGTTTCGATAGATGAAATAATGGAGGTCTAATTCGTCTACAAATACTAGATATGGTAAATACCAAGTATTCATATAATTTTCTCTTGGTACAGTATATGTGTAATTGTGTCAAATATATGATTGAGACAGAAAATAAAATAATTGTACATCATACATCTCGAAATGGTCAAAGGTTAATATGGTCATTAAAATCCGTTGGTTGATGACTTAAAATTTGCATTAATATACAAAAGAGCGTGGGATAATGTAAATGTAGCGAAAGCAAGAAGATATATGGAGAAAGAAATGGAGTACTCTTGGTCGGAAGCCACTAGTTCAGGCAATCCTGATGAGGAGTACGTCGAGATCACACTCCAAGTGCGAGACAATAGCATCAGCACAATGAAGTCCAAGGCGACACTTCGGTCGGTTCTTTCCGGGAGGCTAAAAACGATGGTTAAGTCACTATCGTTTGCTTCACCCCGGCTCGACCGTAGTAAGTCGTCCGGTGCTATGTTCGCTCTTCGAGGTTTGAGGTTTATCACCAAAAACGACGCCGTTGGCAGAGGCTGGGATGAGGTTGCTAAGAGATTTGATGAGTTAGCCGTTGAAGGGAAGCTCCCCAAATCCAAATTTGGACACTGCATAGGTAAAAATAAACTCTCTTAATAGTAATCTATATATATAGTAGTACAGTTTTTGTTTCATTTTTGAAGTTAATTATATATTCTCGTTTGGTAATCTCACTGCAGCAATGTTAAGCTCCTTTCACCATACAACATAACATTTTTGTTATTTTTAACGTAATATATAAACTTATAATGTATAAAGTACTTTTTTGAAGAAGAGTCATATCAATATCCAAATAATAAAAGAAATACTTCAATTATAAATAGGAATGGTTGAATCTTGCGAATTTGTGAACGAGCTTTATGAGGCGCTGGTGCGAAGGAGAGGGACTACGTCATCGTCAATAACCAAAACTGAATTATTGGAATTCTGGGAGCAGATCACAGGCAATAGTTTTGACGCTAGGCTGCAAATCTTTTTTGATATGTAAGTTTATTTACAACATGCTTTTATATTTATTTAATGGAACTTAATTTAATATAATACGGCTATTAATAAAATTAGTTATTTCTTTGTGGTTTATGTGAATCAGGGTGGACAAGAATTTGGACGGACGTATTACGGGAGATGAGGTTAAAGAGGTGAAGGATAAATTTAATAGCGATTTTCCTTATTAAGTTGATCCCTATTTCGAGCGTTACGGTCCTAATTAAAAAATGAAATTGAAGTATTGTTTCGGCTTAACTGTAGATAATTGCATTAAGTGCTTCGGCTAACAAACTATCAAAGATTAAGGAAAAAGTAGATGAATATGCTGCCTTGATCATGGAAGAACTGGACCGCGACAACCTCGGATACATTGAGGTTCGGTATCTACTTACACTTGATTAAAAATAATAATAACAGGTTAAATCCTTTAATCAATAAAATTGAGCAATGGTTTATTTGCAGTTACACAACTTGGAAACATTGCTTCTCCAAGTTCCTAGCCAATCAGACAACAGTCCATCGTCCGCGAACAAACGTGCACTCAGCAAGATGTTGAGCCAGAAGCTCATACCAACCAAAGATCGGAACCCGCTGAAAAGATTTGCTAGGAATGTATCTTACTTCTTCATGGAAAATTGGAAAAGGATTTGGGTGTTGACATTGTGGATATCCATTTGCATCGCTCTCTTCACTTGGAAATTTCTCCAGTATAGACGCAGAACAGTGTTCGAGGTGCTGGGCTACTGTGTATCCGTTGCCAAAGGCAGTGCAGAGACCTTGAAATTCAATATGGCTCTCATTTTATTGCCTGTTTGTAGGAACACTATCACTTGGCTAAGGACCAAGTCCAAGCTTATTGGGTCCGTTGTTCCATTTGATGACAATATCAATTTCCACAAGGTAAATTATATTTATTAGTATTATACTATCCAACCAAAAAAATATGAATAAAAATATATACAATTAATCATAAAAATTTGGTTATAGTGCTTATTATTATTATTTTATTCCAAGCAGGTTATTGCGTTTGGGATCGCGGTAGGAATAGGCTTACACGCCATATCTCATTTGGCATGTGATTTCCCACGTTTGTTGCATGCGAGTAATGTAGAGTTTGAGCCGGTGAAAAAGTTTTTCGGAGACGAGAGGCCTGACAATTACGGGTGGTTCATGAAAGGGACAGATGGGTGGACCGGTGTCACTATGGTGGTTCTAATGGTTGTGGCCTACGTCTTGGCGCAGTCGTGGTTCAGACGCAACCGGGCGAACCTACCAAAACCGTTGAAACGATTGACTGGTTTCAATGCGTTTTGGTACTCGCACCATTTGTTTGTCATCGTTTATGTGCTTCTAATCGTGCATGGTTATTTTATTTATCTCTCTAAGGAATGGTACCACAAGACGGTACGTAAATATATTTATGCTTTTTTTTTACTTTTTCGTGCGTCTTACTTGGATATTTTCAGAAATATTGACTAAATTAAAGATCATAATTTTTTTATTTTTTTTTATGAAAGAATCGTTTTTGTTATTAACATTTGAACAGACGTGGATGTATCTGGCTGTTCCCGTGTTATTGTACGCATCAGAACGATTGATTCGTGCATTTAGACCAGGTGCCAAGGCTGTCAAGATTTTGAAGGTACTTATTTCTATATTCGTTCAGAAGAGTGTATTCGACAAGAAAAAAAGCTTTAAATAGGTTATTTCACGTTTTTATTTACATTAATTTAAAACCAATTAATTTTCAGGTTGCAGTATATCCAGGAAATGTACTTTCACTTTACATGTCGAAGCCTAAAGGGTTCAAGTACACAAGTGGACAGTACATATATGTTAACTGTTCTGACATCTCGCCTTTACAATGGTAATCAACAAATACTAAAAAGATCATAAGATTTGTATAGACAATGGTAACCAACAACATCTGTTCATCAATTTCTATATATATACTGTAGGCATCCGTTTTCAATCACTTCGGCTGCCGGGGATGATTACCTCAGCATTCATATCCGCACGCTCGGTGACTGGACATCGCAACTCAAATCCTTATTTTCCAAGGTTAGTTTTCAAGAGTAACATTTATAAATTGATGACATATAACATTCGATTATTAGCATTATACATAGTTTTTTTTTAATTATTAAAATTAAGCAAAACCATAGGTTTGTCAACTTCCCTCAACAAGTCAAAGTGGACTCTTCATAGCTGAGATGGGTCAAGCCAATAATATAACCAGGTATCTGATTATTATTTATTTGCATTTATTATTGATTTGAATAATTATGTTTTAGAGAAAAAAGCAAATAAAAGAAGTACATGTTCACAAAGAAATAAAAAAAAAGAAGTAGTTTAGCTAAATGATCAACAATTTACATGGAAAGGTTTCCGAGGCTGTTGATCGATGGTCCATATGGTGCACCAGCACAAGATTACCGGAACTACGATGTATTGCTTCTGGTAGGTCTAGGGATCGGAGCGACCCCATTAATCAGTATAATCAGGGACGTCCTTAACAACATCAAGAACCAGAAATCCATCGAACAAGCCGCTAACCATAATGTAGTCCCTATAAAAAACTATGTTGCCACAAAAAGAGCTTACTTCTATTGGGTAACAAGAGAGCAGGGATCATTGGAATGGTTCAGTGAGGTCATGAACGAGGTAGCTGAGTATGATAGTGAGGGGATGATTGAACTACATAATTACTGCACGAGCGTGTATGAGGAAGGAGACGCGAGGTCAGCGTTAATCACGATGTTGCAGTCATTGCACCAGGCCAAGAGCGGCATTGACATTGTATCGGGCACTCGGGTCCGAACCCATTTCGCTCGACCCGATTGGCGTAGTGTCTTCAAGCACGTCGCTGTCAACCACGTTAATCAACGAGTTGGTAAGTCACACTATTACAACAATTCCTTATACTATATTATTATAAATTTTTCTAGTAAATTTGATTTTACATTTCTTTTTCGATTGTGTTTGTAGGAGTTTTCTACTGTGGTAATACATGCATCATAGGAGAGTTAAAGAGACTGGCTCAAGATTTCTCTAGGAAAACTACGACCAAGTTTGAGTTCCATAAGGAGAACTTTTAGTTCAATTATATTATTCATCCATCATTAATATTTATAACAACATATTAGTATATTGCACAAAACCAAGCAAGTAGCAACTTATGATTTGAATAAATGTAGCTACTGATAAGCAATTGATTCTTTCACAAAATAATTGAATGCAAGTGCATTATCAAAGCAAATAATAAACTAAGAAATAAGGAAAAAGCAACTTATGTCAAGCTGATATCTATTATAACCACTGTGAAGGGGTTCCAAATTCAAAAGTTGAGACTGCAACTTGAACTTTTCTATGTAAATAGGAGAAAAGAACAGTGCTTCATGAAATTTCATCTCTTTAATTGTTAAATATTTTTCTACGCAATTTCTAACAATAATTCCGATGTCGTCCAGCGGTTAGGATATCTGGCTTTCACCCAGGAGACCCGGGTTCGATTCCCGGCATCGGAGCTTTTTGATTTTTTTTCTCCATGTATTTCCAAAACTCATTCACACGTTATGTCGGACTGTATAGATCTGACTTGATTGCGGGTGTTACTTCACTTAATCATTGTAATCCACCAGAGACCAACTTTTGAGATTCCCTATATACTAGCATCCAACTTGACTGCGGACCACAGTAATAACTAATAACCATATTACATTTCATCGGACGACATGTAATAACCAATTAACTTTATGACTCCCATTGGCTATTGCATGCTAGTATGCTACTCAACCTGGCCAAACTGATCTGTAAATCTTAAAAAGCTGACAAAAATGAAAGTGTATGAAACTGTTAAATATTGAAATCTGAGGGGGGCAAAAAAGAGAGTTGAAGACTGTATTTACTTTGACTAACGAACAAACAGCATTACAATTTCATCATAATATTTCAAGATCCTTTTAGTATGATTCTCCCTAATCGCATGATTCACATTTACCAAGTGATTTGAAACAAGGCAGCCACGGCCATTGTGAAACAAGGCAGCCACGCCTATTTGTTCTTCCCCATTACACCTGCAAATGAGGAGAAGCTAATAAAAATCATAGTGTACAACAATAAGTCTTACCGATAAGATTTTCAAGCGTACATTCAAATGATTTGCAGGCGAGATGCATTTCCATATATAACAATCATTACTGACCACAGAATACTCTCTTGTTCTTAAAAATATTCATGCTTACAGTACTGATGGATAGTTAAGCATGTCACTTACAGTGTTTTGGGGCAAGAGAACTTGAACCTAGACTTGTTCTACACTTCTTATTCCCGCATTCTTGTCAAATTCATCTGAAGAAACCACATCCGCAACAATCTTCTCTTGACCGCGCCAAAGAATCTGGTGAAATTGTTTCAAGGTTTTGTTATATTCCGACAGGGACCAATTTATGAGATCATATTTAATAATAAATTTTTATTAGCAAACAGATTTTTCAGATCAAAACCAAGAGACATCAAACTGGAAACTTGGGAAATTTTAAACCCAGGCAACAATTTTCATATATCTCAGATGAACCTTAAACCCAGAGGATATAGACAAATGCAGATTTCTTCCAAGACTAAGGTCTCAAATTTGAAGGAATACGTGTCAGCAACATAAAATTCCATGAAACATTAGAGATTGTTGCTTTAACTTGGTACAGTTTAAAAACATATTCATCTTAAACCCAGACTAACATCAGAAAAAATGGCAGAGTGGGAACCTTGACAGGGAAAATCAATTTTCTTAATGATTATAAATCACCTCAACCTCTTAGTATGTGCATAAGAAAATCAGCATCGCAAGTTACAGTGCCCGAAATTACCTTGTCAATGACTCCAAATTCTTTAGCTTTTGGGGCATCCATGTAATATGGTCTTCTCATCACGTTAGCTACAGTCTCCACGGACTAAATGACATATAAGAATCTTTTTAATCAACCATAAAATTTCCCCACTCAAAGTAATGAAATGAAAGAATGTTTGCACTCACATTCCCAGTGTGCTTTGATAGTAGTTCTACAAGTATATCCCTGTTTGTTATAACCTGCAATTGCAAATCAGGAATATGAGATAATCAAACTCTGAAGATATAATATAGGGAGGATGAATGTATAACCAAACCTCTTTCGCACGAATCAAGACATCACTGGCAGGCATCAACCCAGAAGAAGGTACACGAGGTTGCTGGATCATTGCTGCAACATATTGAACAATTTTTTTTTGAGGCTCTGGTTATCAAGAGTGAACCACCCCAGTTGACCAAAATGTATACCTTTGGCATGTGGCATCATAAACCGTTTACCCTTTGTCCCGGCTGAAAGTAAAAGACATGCCTGACCTATGGCTGCTCCCACGCAGACTGTATGTACCTGCAGAAGTAAAAACAACTGGCTCAAATGGAGAACACTTGGGAGAAGATAAAGTGCTTGTCTTGATAACTATTCGAGTAGCTTGTCCTTCATTCATAATTTATTACTTACATGATGGCATTTAACAGGCAGATTACTCGAAAAATAAACAATTACCTCATTCTTAAGTTGCATCAAAGAATCATAGATGGCAAAACCTTCTGATTCCATGCCGACCTGTTTAGTTTAACATTGTACACTGGTATTTAGAAAGAATGAAAAAAAGAAGGGTCTAGATGATTAAAAAAGTGTTTCAAAACTCACTGTCTCGCCATCATCACGAGTGGTCCCTGTGGAATTGATGTAAATGTAGATGGGTTCCTTGGGATCAAGCCACTGAAGATACATTAGCTCTGCGACAACCAGCTCTGTCACTGCTGGCACAAGCTGAAAACAAAACCAGTCAAGATAACAACATCAGTCTATGCAGTCCTAAACACCAACTCCATCAGAATCCCGAAACTGAAGAACTCACAGGCATTCCAATGTAAACGATTCTTCCGTCAAGAAGCATAGAGGGTAAGTCTGGTGGAGGAGTTCTCGGTCGGTGCTCGTTGTAAGCCACTGATCTTTCAACCTAATTTTAATAAAATTGACTCCGTCAGCGGATTTGAAGCAGTGAATCAAACGATACGGCAACTGTCAAACTCATCAAATCACAGTATTGCTCTGTCAATTTGGTATATCTCACAGTAAGAACATATACGTAGATATACGCATATACATATCTCTAATTTACAATACTAATCCCATAGATATACGCGTATACATATGTGTGCAGGAACTAGAACATAAAACTACACGGAGCACGCCTAGAATCAATCATGTCGGGATCGTAACTGGAAGGGAATAGTTATTTCACCTGAGCAGGAGAAGACATGAGCTGAGGGGAGTCGAAGATGTCAAGATACGGCGGCACATCAGAGTTTACCGGACGATTGAGAAGCTTTTCTGGAGAATTCGCGGCAACAGAAGCGAGTGTCGAGAGGAAAGGATCCTTGGGATTTATCGGAGGCATAGGGATTCTGGCAGAGGCTTTGGCGCGAAAGGCATAGCGAAAGGTCTTCAAGTTTCTCCTCCCGGATGAATTAAAAGATAAAGGAGGATGAGAAGAAAAAGAAGAAGAGCGTGGAAGCAGAGAATTCATGGATGCTTGCAAGCACGACGCCATATTGGAGACGGAAGCTCGCGAAAATGGACTGGTTGGAGAAAGGAAACCAAAGGATTTGGCGATGCTTTGGGAGAGGGAGACAATAAATATTGGGTCGGGTTTCGGGTTGACCCGAAATCTGATGTTCCTAGTATAGCCTAGGCCCTATGTCGGAAGACCCAGGCCCATTTTCAATATAGAGTTCACAACTATTATTAGTGCTACGAATTATTCTGAGGTGAGAAGTCCAGTGACCCAGGCCCATTTACAATAGACTAGAGTTCACAACTATTATTAATGCTACGAATGATTCTGAGGAGAGAATTCCAGTGATGGACTCGTATACTCATGTTGGTGGGACTCCATCGAACAGATTTGCATCAGTTTAATCTACTATCACCCGAGTTTTATTAGTGGTCTTAACCAAAAAGACAAAAGCAAATTTGAAGGCTACAAAATTAGTTAAAAAGTGTATCATAAAAGACACCACAGTTCCGGTAGTTGTAATGTATACGACTGGAGAAATCTGAAAAAACACACCCAACACAACGTCTGATGAACTTTAATATGCAGCCGAGACAGAGTTTCTGGCTTATAAATGACACAATAACAGACCAATTCCATGTTCACAACTAAAACTAGATAGACATATTGGTCGTCCCATATGAGAAGACCAGTAGAATAAACCAATATCCAAATCAGTTCTATTGGCAGTGGAGCCTGAGAAGCATGAGACTGGTTCGGATGAGCCAATCACCAGTTTCCTTTTTTAATCAGATCTGACCTGTAAACAAAATTGTGTACCGTCGTTAAGTGAAGAAGAAATGATGACACAAAGATCTATTAATGCTAAGACACTCGGAGAGACTGTAATTTTGTGCACACAGAAGGAGTGTGAGATCTAGACCCGCTGAAAACTTCCTCAGAATAAACAATGTGACAAATAATGTTTTTGAGAGCAACTATTTAAACTTCAAAGTATACACCAGGGATTGAGAAGAAGCAGCTTCAGCTTTTAGACTTACAGGTGAAACAGGAGAATCTGATCTTGATCTTGATCTTGATCTTGATCGGGACCTGCACCAAGGCAAAAAATAACCCCATGTAAGTGTCAGGTCAGAAAGCAATTTACTGACCATCTCCAACAGGTCTCCGGACTTAAGTTCTGGCCTAGAAAAGAACACAGCATAGAAACCAGTATTTTCATATCGATTATATATTGGGAATCAGAGGAAACATAGTCCAAAACGCTGCGATCAGATCCTACAGCTGATACGGGCTGAGTACCAGACCAGACCAGACCAGACCAAAACAGAAGTTCAAGTTCATGCTAATCCAGCTTTGTAAATCCAGTCCAACAATCCATCTAGATGACCGGTCAAGTCCCTAAGATCCAATCCCCAGCTCGCAGCAGTGAGCCAGATCTAGAAAACAAACAAGGCAATACAATTGTAATCATTGTAAATGATCAAGGACGGGCCTCAGAAATCCAGATTCAGTATCTTTTCCCTTCCAATAGAAAAGAAATCTTCAAAACGAAAACTCTAGGTAAGTGTTCTTTAAAATCATAAAACAGAAGAAGTCAGATAGTGTAGATAGTAGACTGATCCGTATTAAGTTGAGAGGTAAAGCTTTAGATAAAGAAAACCATCCAGAAGAGAACGACACAAAGAGAACGGACACAAGGGATTATTTAAGAACACGTGACTTGCTGTTGGTTTGATCATTTCAGAACACTGCAACATGTAGTTTGGCTACAAATAACTGAAGCAGCAATCTGTCGAGGACTCGAAAGATAAAAAAAAACAGATTCAAGTTGTAAGGAATGAAAAGGGAGCTCTGGTCCAAACGATGAAGTAACCTCACACATACTGGATTTTTTTGTGACATAAAATACTTCAACATAGGTTAAACACACCATCAAGGAATGAGTATCAAGTATTATAATTCTTAGGAAGATAATCAAGTGGCAACCAACTAGTCCCACTACCATATAGCTAGACAGGTAAAAAAGGTTAAACAAATTTAACTATTTTCGAAAACAAGAAAAGGTCCTACCTTGAGACAGAGCTATGTGGCGAAAGAGAGCGAGTAAGGGACCGTGAACGCGGGGAGACGGATCTAGCAGGTGACACACTGCATAGTTTTAGAAGTCAGTTAATTTTCATAACTAAGTTTGAGATGTAACAGTATAATTATGCGTTAGTTTTATATAAAAAAAAATATTACAGACCTCCTGCTCCTGCTACTATAGCTATAGCTTCGACCACGGCTCCGGCTCCGGCTCCTGCTTCTATAGCTTCTAGAATAACCTGGGCTGCGACTCACACTCCTCGACTCATATTCTCTCACCTGACGAGTAAAGTTTGAGGTAACCACATATTCATCCATTGATATAACAAAGTCAAAGAAAGTAATATAACATACCCGTATGTAAGCTCTAGAAAAAGCATTACGAAACTCAGAGTCATCAAGCTTCCTTAACTGTTAAACAAAGATTAAAGGAAACATCAAAGATCCAATCATCCAACATTGGCCTCTAGAAAGACAAATTCAGCTCGGCAGCTATTAAATGAATAAGGCTGGGAACATTTGCGTTGGAAATATATACAACTTACCGCATACTTCATATCATCATAGTTGCTATAATCAACAACCCCAGACATGCCTACAAAAATAAAATGTTAAACGTGAGTCCCTCCAGCTAGGATGCCTTAAAAACCAACATAAACACCTGAATCATAAATCATGTCTATCCTCTTTTCACAAACACTAAGTTACTAACACATCTATAAGACTCTTATTTATTTAACTATTAGATTGTGGACTCACCTCCACGGTCACGAAAAACTTCAGAAAAACAGACATCTCCAGCTTTGCGCATGTGATCCTAATCGCCCATAAGTAGCAAATAAAGATAAATCCAACATGAAATAGAGAACCAGCATAAAAAAAAGAAGGACTATATAGTATCCTTTACCTTAAGGTCCTGCCACGAAGCAGATGGCGGTAATCCCGTCACAAGAACTGGATGTTTACAACATAAAAAAAGCCAGTAAAGATGAGTAATCTCTATTAAAATTAACACAATGGAGAAGAATGAATACAAACCACGAAAGTCGGAGCGTCTTGAAGGAGCACGGCTGCCACTGTAGCTGCTGCTGTACCTATCAACTGATGAAGAACCTCTACGACCACCATGTGCAATCTCAACCTAAAACACCAAATACACACAAAGATAACATATTTTATAAGAAATTAGAGAAAACAAGTTAGTTAAAACATCAAAGCGCTTCAGTAGCTAACCCTTAGTCGACAGCCATCAAAGTCACATCCATCACGTCCATAGATTGCATCGTCTGCATCACGAGGATCTTCGAACTGCATCGAAAATAACAGACTCTCTTGGTCATTCATTGTAGAAAGTAATAACAAAAAAAAAATCAAGAATCATAAATACCTCGACAAAGGCATAACCAGGAGGTCTAGGTGGAATCTTCAAGTCGATGTCCACAATCGGTCCGTACTGCAACGAAGAAGACATATACATAAGCGCCGATCAAAATTGCAAATCAGAAACAAGAAAAGATGATGAATTTACAAACCTTGCAGAAGAGATCTTCAACCTCACGCATGCGAATATCTCCAGGGAGATTCCCAACGTAGATCGTACGATTCCATCGGCTACTCATCTGAAACCTCAGAGCAGATCAAAAATTGAACAATCGGGAATTAGGAATGTTGAACTGAAGTCAAGGAATTAGATCCGTAAGAACAATATTTGAAAACTCACATTCGTAGGAGAGAGAGGTTCGAGAAAGTGGTAAGAAGATTGTTCTGGAAAGAAGACAACTACCGTTCCTTCTCTTTCTACGGAAACGAGTTTTCCTTTTATAAGTCGATATCTTATCATCTGCCGCCGCGTGTTAAACGATTAACTGCATCACGAAAAGCCCAATTTACTGATATGATCGGCCCACTGGACCCTTTTAATATGGATCGAGTTATTACATCGTTTATTATAAGGGGTGATACATATTTTGTGATATTTCCTAACCAGGTTTCGGTTTGGTCGGATCGGATGTTTTCACTCGTTTCCTAGGTTTTCTGAAACACAGTCGTTTTGATTTATTCGGAAGAAACATCCGTTCCTCTCGGCTCTTCTTCTTCTTCTTCTACTACTACTACTTCCTCTCAAATCTCAATCGCCGATTAGTTACTACTCCTCCGTCCAGCCCATTTATCCTTCAGCCATCTTCTCTGAAATCCTCTCTCTGATTCCGTGAGTTCCTGCTCTCTTCCGTTTTTTGGAATTTCCTATTGAAATTTCCGTTTCTTCTATTGAATTTGTCCAGTTTTGCTGTTAATTTATGTTCCGAAATATCTCTCTGTTATCAATCAACTTCCTCCAATGTTCACTTGCAGGGAAGGAACCATTGTTAGAAACTGGAGATTATCTTCAGTTACATCGACCCTTTCTCCTAAACTTACCTTTACTCGAATATGTTCAAGAAGTAAGAATCTTTGTCTCTCATAAGTTTCTGTACACTTTTTTTGGTATTTTATAATGTGACCATCCACATCTAACTCGGATTGTAGAATCTAAGAATTAGTGTTCTCGGCACTGTTTATACTAGTTTATATAGTATTTGATGGGTCTCTTTAGTGTCCACTTACGTTAATACTTTCGCGAGATTTAGGATTTGTCTGGAATTTCGATTAAGAGAGGACTGGTTTTGATGATCGGATCACATTCAGTCAATCGATCTTTAGGTGAGGACAGTAGCTTGTAATGACCTCTACTGCAGTTTATAGTTAATCCAATTTTGGAGGATGTTGGCTAGTAATTTCTTTTCAACCATATTGTTGGTACGTAGGCTTCTGATTCGATTGTTTAGAATTGTCACCGTCTGGGCAGGCAAGTTGTTATATCTTCTTCAAATTGGTTGTGAGTTTTTAAAAGCAAACATCTTCTAGTTGCTAGTTTTTTGGTTTGGACATTAGATGATTGTTTTGATAGTGTTGCTCTTTTATTTACCTAATCTTTGCATAGAATTGTGGGTCGTAGTGAAAATTTTGGGTCTTGATTGGGACTCTCAACTATCACGGAGTGCTATCAAGTTTAAGTGATCTTCTTTTTAATAAGAAACTTCTACTTGGACTGGCCCTTAGATCTATTGGCTATACCATTATGTCTATGAAGATGTTATTTATGCTCACTATTTTTAACCTAGGTTTTGTTTGGAGGAGATTTCATCACAAAACCAAGTGAAGGCATCTGTTCAACGCAGGATCCGCCAGAGTATTCAAGATGAGGTTTCCTGCTGTTTCATTTTTCTTTTTTCCTTTTCTTAAACTTTATGGTTTCGTGTAGTTTGGTATATATAAGAATGTTTATGTAAATGTTTCAGTACCCAGGACTTGAAACAGTGATGGAGGATCTACTCCCCAAAAAGATTCCTCTTATCGTAGTGAAGTGGTTTGTAAAATAACAACCTCATATATCAGTATTATGTTTTCTGGATTTTCTTTTACCATATTTTATTCTTACACTTACTCTTGACCTCGTGCAGCCCAAACCATCTGACCCTAGTTGTTGTCAACAATGTCCCCCTCTTCTTCTGTATCCGTGATGGGCCATATATGCCAACACTGCGACTTCTTCATCAATGTAATATCACTCTTCCGTCACACCATCCATGCTATATTGTCTTGTTGTCACAGAATAACATGTTTAGGTGTTTATTCCAACACATTAAATTAATTTCCTGTTAGTTTCACTATGGTCTGCATTAGAACTTACCTTGTTCAAAAACTGCATATAGTTGCATAATATCTCCAGCACTTTTGGAATTTCCAGGGTTTTGGTTTTTGTAAGTTATTATTCCTTTGGCTTATCCATGCCACTATACTATATAAAAGGTCCATGGTTGGTTGGTTAGCAATGAACATTAGTTTAGTATATTTCTCTATACCTTTCCCGAGCTAGCAACCATAGTGAGAAAAGTTTTGACTCTGGCTGTTACCAGAAAAGTAATTTCACATACTATAGTGAATCCAATAGGACGAAACTTGGATTTTTATCAGTTAGCCGGTAATGTCAATAAGGCAGTTGAAATATTGGAGTTTTGCAGACCCAAATATAATGAAGAGGTTTCAAGTTGATAGAGGTGCCATAAGGTTTGTTCTCTCTGGTGCAAACATAATGTGTCCTGGTCTTACTTCCCCGGGAGGTGTTCTGGATGAAGAAGTTGACGCTGAAAGGCCAGTGGTATGAACAAAAACACTTTCCTTGGGGTGCGTTTTATGTTTGTTTCTGCTGATCTTAACCATGAATCTGTTTTTGTTTAGGCCATATATGCAGAAGGAAAGCAACATGCGTTGGCAATAGGGTTCACCAAAATGTCAGCCAAGGACATGTAAGTTAGTTGTTTCTTTTGTAGACATAAATTTGACAATACAAACATGAGCCTTTCAAACTTTCATATTCAAGCCAACCGACACTTGTCTACAATTTTATCTCTTAAGTAATCTAATATTTGTCACTCTATCGATGTCACTTCTTTCCTTGGGAACACATATTTGCACCAGGATAAATTTTGGCCGCATATCGTCTGTGTTCTCATAATCTTACTTTCACGTCTCTGAACTTTTCCATCTCAGTGCCATATCACATTCTATATTTTGTCTCTGTGTTAGTTTAATAGTAGTGGATTTAACACACTTTATCCGGTTTTCTTGTGTGCGTTCACAGCAAGAGCATCAACAAAGGAATCGGAGTGGACACCATGCATTACCTCAATGACGGTCTCTGGAAGGTACTAATCCCCTCTTTCTTCTCCATTCTTATTGCTGCCAAGCAGTCTCATTGTCAATTATTTACCCGACATTAGAAGAACACACAAATCAAAAGTTTCTTAAATTGGTATTGCTTATGTTAATTTGAAATGTCTGCAGATGGAGCGGCTAGATTGAGGAACGAGTAAAATGAGTCACTCTCGGAGAGAGATATTATGATCTCCTTTTATGTTATCTAAACTTGTGGAGCTTTTTGTCCGGATCAACCTTAGCTTTGATTTGATTCGTTTTCAAATATTACTAGATGTTTATTTTATGAGGGAACATCATTACATCAACCTTAGCTAAGGTTCTTACAGTTTCTAATCCCGTATAATCAAATGGCTTTTTACGCCTTGAGCAAGTCCTATAAGTATTTCTCTCGGCTCATTTATGTTTTAGTTGCAATATATTAGTGAGTCAAGTTATCCTAACTTAACATTCGAAACAAATTGCTATAAATCAAAAGGACTGATGAGTAATGATCTTATAAGGTGTTAATGATATCATACACGTGCTAGCATGATGATGTGACAACGTTTTTTATAAACCCCAAACATGTATTATAGAGGGCCACATACATCAGATTAGGTGACACCGGAAACTTGATATGTGATAAGAGCATCAGCATTGGTGTATCTACAACAGTCCTACACCCCAAAAAAGAAAAGAGAAAATGAAAAAAAAAAAAAAAATTTGAAGGACGTACGCAATTGTGCGACGGTCCCGTTTGTTGTTGCCTCTTTTTCGCGGGCTCCACTGACACGTGGCGGCCCGCGATTGGGTTTTCAATTTTTTTTTTTTTTTTTTTTAAAAAATCGTAAAAGAAAAAAAAGAAAAAAAAAAAGAAAAAAAAAAAAATTGGGACAAACATTTGTCCCACCAATGTGCATGGTCTAAGAATGTCCTCATCCTCATGTTATGCGAATTGTAGTGACGACATTATGACATGTTTCCTCCTATTTTCCTCATTTCAGTATTTAATTCCCACTTTGGTAAAACATGGATAAACTCCTTTATATTCTTGTAAATGTCATTAAAATAGGGGAGACTTATTCGTATTTGTACAACTTACTGTACGTTGATTCATTAATCATGGGTGCAAATGGTTGCACAATTTAAGAGGTTGAAGAGGTTGAAAAAAATTATTCAACTAGTTTTTACTAGTCCTGGGCAATCGGGTACCCAATCGGGTTTCGGTTCCACCCATTCGGGTTTCGGGTAATTCGGTATAAGACCTATAGATCCCATTCGGTAATTTACAAAAAATTCGGTTCGGTTCGGTTAGTAACTGGCCGGGTTCGGAGCGGTTTTCTACTCCAATGTGAAATCCGAATAAACCCGAAAATTTTCCGGGTTTTTATCGGTTCGGTTTATATGAGTAAAAAGGTACTAAAAGAACCGATTAAAACACAAAATACCCGATTAAAATTACAAATACCAAAGTAAAAAACCAGAAATAACCGAGTAAACCATAAATTTAAACCATAATCATAAGTTTCATCATAACATCAAGTTCAATAACCTCATAAGCAACTTAAAACAAAAGATACAACAAGTTCAAAGAGCCGAATGAAAATTTGGAACAATGAAGAAGCATCTACACTAACAAAAAGGTCACAGCCTGCAGTGTTGCTCCATGTTCCTGTGAAACAAATGAAACTTGAATGATTCAGCAAAGTAACACACAGAAAACAGAGAGTGATAAACTTTTACACCTACAAATATCAAGTTTCAATATACCGTTACTATTGCCGAATCCATGCCTTATAAAAACACCACACAAGAAGACCAATACAAAGATAGTTACCTTCAAAACATCAAAACAGCTAAGCTTTCAAAACATCAAAACAGCTAATACTAACAAATAGAGAAGACTTTAGTTACCTTTTCTTTTATGAGAATAATTAAGATAGAAACATCTAGGATCAACTAAAAGCTATCAAATCCGTATTACATTATCACTTCGTCTCAATGCTATCAACTAATAAGCTACTGAAACAGACATTCCAACTATAAATGCTATCAACCAAGCGATTCATTTAACATTTTCTTCAACATTATGAATACATGTCTAAACATACACATCAATCAACACACGATAAAATAAATTTGGCATCAATAATAATCAAAACTTAACAAATACAGAACTTTAAATATGAATCACAACCAAAACCAAAGGCTAATAGCCACCACAGATCACACCAATTTATTTAACAGAGACTAGAGAGAACCTGTGATTTAATTGCAGAGAGTAGTGAATGAGGAGATGATGGAGGAGATGATTGAGAAGATGAATGGTTGAAACTTATGGTTCTTTCCATGGGGGATTAGGGGTTTATATAACGTTTCTGTTCTCGAAATGGAGGAAAGGTACCAAGAGAATATGAATCGAAAAGTTTACTTGAATGATTGCAGAAAGACAAAGCATGCTTCATCTTGTGTAGAAGACGAAGTGACGAAGTGAAAAGCAAGCTTCGATGAACGGTTCTCTCTTGGGAACTAAAGGGTTAGCCGGTTAGTCGACATAGGTTTGCTTAGTGGGCCTCAAGGCCTTATTATTCAGTTCTCTCTAAACGGGTATTAACGGGTGGCCCAATTAACTTAAGTTATAATCCGAACCCGAACCGAGGTCCATTTTACCAAGGTCTCTGAGCCCATTCGGTATTTTTGCTTCACCCGAACCCGACCCGGAACCGATTTTATCGGTTCGGTACAAGTACGGTTCTTCGGTACCGGATATTATGCCCAAGACTAGTTTTTACCATTTGAGTTGAAGAGGTTGGAAAAATTATTCAACCCGTTCAACTTAACAAATTGAAGAAATGAACTAATTATACAGGAAATTTGTTCAAATCATTCATCTCCTATTTTGCAGATGAATAGGTTGAATGCTATTCAACTTTTTTTATTCAACTTATTATTTTCCAACTCATTCATTTTTGTGCAACCATTTCCACCCCATGTTGTATTATGAATATTTTAGTTTGCCATTGATGGTTCACAAAAAAAAAAAAATAATAACAATAATTGATAGAGATATTTGAACAAGTAGCAAGTAAATGTCAACAAATATAAAGCACAATTCACAATTATCCATACGAACCAAATATTTGACAACTCGAATGACAAGTCTTTGGCCTATATTACAACTATTGTACATGTATAAATAATGTATATATAATAAGTTAACTCAATTAGTTTTGAACTTTTTACCAACCCACCAAAATAGTTTTCTCATTTTACAAATTTGACCCAAACCAAACACATAATCAGGTAAACCCAAAATTTGGCATTCATCTTTCCGTTAGTACAACAGTAGTCCCTCACTTTTAGGGGGTTTAGGCCTAACTTCAATTCCATCAATCGCAATCCCACCTTTCAATTGATAACCTTTAACTTCGGTTAGGCTCATAACAACCTCCATGTCTTCACCACCTTCTCGTCCGGTCTCCATCCACCCATCGTCTCTCACCTCTGGCTCCCTCCGATGGCTCCCGACAACCTTGTCCATCATCGCCCTCCTCTGTTCCCGCTGTCCGTAAAACAGCCGCTCCATTTGTTGTTTCTTGACATCCAAGCAACTTAGATAAGTTGACTTTGTTTTCTTTTCACCGTTCCCCACTTTTATCCAAGTCTCTGCCGGAACTAGGTCTAGTCCATACGCACGTGACGTAACTTTCATAATCAGATAAGCGTCGTAGTTTGTGTTGGGCGATAAAACTCCGGTTTGTATTTTTCCTATGATTTCTAACCAGTCTGTCATTATAAGCTCCACCCCTTCCGAGAATCTATGATTCCAAATATTATAAAAACAAAAAATAACAAATACGTACTTTAATACTTTATTACTAATAATAAAACACCAACGATATACTTGTATATTTATTAATTAATCAAAAACTGACCTTGAATCTGATCGAGGGTTCCAAGACCAGTAATGCTGTTGGTCGCTCCAAGTTATGGAAAGATCTCTTGCCGATAAAATATATGATATTTTCCCGGAGAGCTTCTCGATCTTGAACATCTGATATTCAAACATACCCAGATTAAAATTTTCTTGTTATGTATTTTGGAGAAAATCAAGAAAGCAAGAAGAATAGTAATGATATTACAAACCTTTCTGCCATTATCGATGAGAATTGATTCACAGAGATAACGATAGAGCTCCTTTTTGGAGGAGAAGTTCGGGTGGTGATGATCAGTCGATCTAGAGACAACTTGGCTGTAGTCGGGAGGTAGGAACTTCTCCCAGACGAGATCAGAATCGCCAGCGAACTGGAAGACCGAAGAGACGGCCGACGAAGAGAATATGTCGGCCGGGGTTGTGAAGGAGAGGATATTGGCTACGCATGCTTCTGGTAACATCATCCTTCTTCAAATTTTGAGGATAGAGAGAGAGAGAGAGAAAAGGTTGGCTCTGTTTTGTTATTATTTTGGTTTTGGTTTTGGCTTTGGAGACGGGAAACGTGACCGAAGACTCGCATATTATATAATAAGCGTCCTAGTAGTATCCATATTGGACCGAAAATAATATCATTGCCTTCTTTCTTGGAAGACAAAAGGTTTGATGTTTTTTTGGTTGAGAAAACAACGTTTGTGTGTCTCTTGTCTCAAAAATTAAGAGAGATAAGTTTGTTCTCTGAAAACATAGCATGTGTTCTGCACTTCTGTATTTGAGTTTTTTGGTTTTATATATCTATCATTATGGAATTTAATCTTTTTTGTCTTTTCGAATGACTACTATTGTAGCGCATATTTTTCCTAACATGTTGGTTGGATATGTATCGTCATTGTTTGAGAATTGTTTGCGGTATCAACATCTTTGAAGATGATAAAAAGATGATGACTACTGTAGGTAAAAAAAATAGAAAAAAGATGATGACACAACTTTACTGAGATATATAAACTCGAGTCCGCATGTTGACAAACATTACCGACGTATTATTTTTTAGGGTATACTATTATAATTGAATATATGCAAACAATTAAAAACGTGTGTAATCTACACTAATAAGTAATAAGTCGAATATAATATTAACTTTGTAAACTCATTTCGAACATATTAACAGAGCATTGATGTCTTCGAAACCGGTTTTTCTTTTAACGCCTTTCGCCCACAATGCGACGTTTTCTAGCGGTAGCTGCCAGAAATGTAGGCAATGTATAGAGTGTAACATGTTTTGGCGAATGAGACGGTGCTGTTGAAGCTCTCTGTGGCGGATCGCTGTATAAACCGCTCAACGGTTTCCTCTGTTTTCTCCATTGTCTATGTTTCTCAGTTTTTTTTTTTCCTTCTGATTGAAAACTGTAAAATGTTTCGCTAATTGCTACAACTTCAGTTCTTCAGACTCATATCGAGCGGTGTTCTTGATATGTAGATATAAAACGAAATAAGCCCAAAAAGAAAGTGCAAAACGAAATAAGCCCAAAACAAAGTAACCAGCACTATTCTAACAAGGTAAACCATGCAATTACAAAACCACAAACACAAGGATTTGAGATTCAAGACCGCATCTAAAGCGTTGACCAAACCATAACAATCACAAAACCAAATGTTTTCAGGTTCACATCGCTCATTCGTATCACCCAGAGGAGAAAGATATATACTAAAACACAAACTTCAATAAAAGGGACCAATAGGATTGACAATAATCAAATATAGATTACTTACAACTTAGAAACTCTTGTTAGTTTATCAGCAATTCCCAAGCAAAAACACATCTACTAAGGTAAATGGTCAGCATAAGCCGAGTAGCAAACTAGGGAAATCTCAAACAATAGATAAGAATTGGATCTATTGTCTCTCTCTCTACAAACATTTGCATACACTTCTACTATTACCGCTACTTCTCCAATCAATGCCTGGGAAAAGAACACAAAACCAGGCTACCTCACAGAGCACCCCAGAAGAAGATATATAAGAAAACATACGAATTTCTTACCAGATATCATGATTTTTTCCTAGAGCAAAGTGGCTTTACGTGGTCACTGAACCTTTGCTTGGTCTTTTTCCTTCCATAGCGTCTTTCTTTTTCTTGCATATTGTGCATAGGAAGGGACCTTCCCAACGATTAGACGCTGAGGAGATGATAGATCCCCCGTTGCTTGATAAGCCTTCACCCGGAAATTCATCTGTTTGACATACAGCACATTTTAAAAGCCCAGTCTCCGTATTTGAGAGAAGATCCTTTCCCAATCTGCATTTCAAAACACCAACCAACAAAGACTAATTATCAGTATCTGAAGTTCTCAATTACTTAACACATTACAAGCCCTTAAACACAGATAACAGGATAAGTGCTTGCAATATCAATTTCTTGGCTAGAAGATTACCTATCTGCAAGCACAGCAGAACCTTCTTCAAACAATTCTTCCACAGCTCCTACAGCAGAGAGCTTGTTCCCATTTTTGTTGTTGGCAGCGGTATGGTTTTTCCTAGACAGAAATGAGGTGAATGCGTTTTGCTTCTTTGTGGGTGTTGGAGCCAAGGCCAGATGATCAGATGGAACTATGTCAACAACTACACAAGTAGTATCATCCTTCAACCCTTTTGTTCGCAATGCTTCCTGATAATACATATGACTCGGAGAATAAGAAGAAGTTCGATAAAAGGAAGTACACAATTAAATCAAACGGGGTTGATCACCAACCTTAACAACAAGTTTAGCCGCAAGCTCAGCAGATAAACCCCGACAAGCTTTTGCAGCCATATCAGAAGACAGTATATCCCATATACCATCTGAAGCTATAATGAGTCTCCCTCCAGCATCGGAAAGCTGAATGTACAGATAAAAAATACATGTTTGTTCAATACCTACTATAGGAATTGATGAAAAACGCACCAAGGGGAAGGGATCTCACTTTCACTTGCTTAACATGTGGTATAGGGACAATAAATTCTCCCACGTCCGTATCACCAATGGACCTCGAAAGACACAAACCACCAGGCCAGCATCGAAGTGGGCCGACCTATTGCATCGTCAGAATGAAAGCACATTACAAACCCCACCAGAGCAAAAACACAATGAAAGAGTAACTTAAATTTACTGGACATGGTCATACCTCATTGCCACCAAATACATTGAGCCTTCCGACCTCACCTCCACTGGCAGTTATGCGTTCTCTCTCTTCAACATTCTCTTCTAGCCTGTGATCGACAGTCAGTAGAGAAACCACACCACCTTGGGTATCTAATATGCAGCGAGAGTCACCAACAGAAGCGACAGTGATAGTCCAGCCATCAATTAGAACAAAAGTCACGGTTGTTCCAGAAGTTTCCCCTGTAAGCACAATAGATCTTAACGATTAGAGCATACCCTTAAAACAAAAGAAGTTAAAGCAAAAGGCCTTAAAACAATGAGCATAAGCGAAGACCTTTCTGCTGAAATTCAATGTCAGTTTTCACAAAGCCTGCAACTAAAGCCCTAGGAAGAGCTTGAAGCCACTCGTCCCTGCTAGCGCCTTGAGGTATAGCACTCACCACATTGTCCAGAAGATGTTCCTTAGTATATATGGCAGCTGAATTACCATTGTGTCCATCAAATATCTGAAGAAAAACAAGCAAACAAAAAAGGGATAAAATCAAATGAGAGTTGTAGAACGCTACGAGTCATCAGACAGAAGAATGTCATACCCCAAAAACTGAAAAAGCCGATGAAGGATCACCAGGTACCCTCTGACAATCAGTTTTGATCAGAAAGTAGTCTTCTCCTTTCTTAGCAAGAGCGGCTTGACCATACTTGATAAGAGGTTTCTCTACTTTCTCGCTCCTCAGCTCATTACCAATCAAGGTTGCAAGAGGAACAAGCGGATGTTTCGTCCCCGATGCTTTTGACACACTCATTTTTGTCCAGGCTTCAGCATTGGCTGGAACACAATCTTGTTCATCACAGACAAAATTTATCATTTTAGTTGGATGCATTCCACAAACCCACTTTACTACTGCAAGTTCCGTTTCTCATCCAAAAGTATGAACTGATGTCTACAGACATATAATCTCTCATCTTCGTGAATGCAGAGGAAAACCCTAATCTACAGAATTCTAGGAATCTTTTGAGATGCAGAAAAGAAATGTGATGAAAGTAGAATCGAGCAAAAGCGACAGAAAAAAATCAGTAGAAGAACACTATCGAGGCTTCCTACACTAGTCAGAATCCATGAGACTCACCAAAATGAAATCGCGAGTAGCATACACAACAGATCTAGTGGAATGAATGGCTCGTAGATAATGCTAAGGTCCTCGCGGCTTCTACGAGGAGCGTCGTCGGTAATCGAAGGGAGTAAGAAACCGCGTGAAAAGTTTATAGAAAACAGAAGAGGAAGAAGAAGCAGGAGAAGAAGAGACAGAGAAGAAGTTGCAGAGTGAAGAGTTTTGTGGATTTTCTCAGATTGAGCCAAGAGAAAAAAAAAAAAAAGCGACGCGGGGGGGGGTTAGGGACAGTAACTTTATTAGGAAAATGATGAATTTTGTGAAAAGACGGAATTACCCCTCAAAAGTGCTGCTTTAGGTAAATAAATCATCCACATATTTGTTATATTTTTAGTTAATTATAGAAAGCATATCTTTTTCAAACAATTAATTATAATTCATTTTTTTTTCAATTAATTATAATTTCTATAAAAACGATTATTAGGTAATTTTATGGTTTTTTTTAATTACATATGTCAAATTTTAAAAAAAAAACCTTTTTAATGACAAAAGCGGCTTTATAAACAGTTTCGACTTTTTCCTACCAAAAAAAAAAACAGTTTCGACTTTTTATGTGATTAGGACCAAAACATGTTTGTATTGACACATTTTTCAACATTTGTTTGACTTTTTCTTAAGTTGCAGCAGTTAAACATCACGATCCTTCTAGTCAAACTGCCATCGAAAAATAATTGTAATCGGGTAGATTACAAAACACTAGTATTAATGATTGCTGCGTTTTGTTTACAATTTGTTAAACTTTAGATTATTTTACATACAAAATTGAGACTAAAGAAAAGTACTTAGCAAATTTAGTAGTCTTGTGATGAATGAAAAAAGCTTTCCATTAAGAATTTACAAATACAAAAGAAAGCTTAAAGAACTAAACTGAATATTCAATCATACATCCTGGTAATTGCCACTCAAATCAAACATAACATAATGTATCCAACCTATGGCTCTTCATACGTATTCTACTCTTTGTATACGTATAAATATACGACCACATATGAATGGGTCCGTCAAACAAAAAAAAAATAACAAAAAAAATTGATTGGTTTGTAAAGTAATAATACTCACAAGATATGTATTCATTTATAGTAGTTACTTGGGATTTGGTCTCTTCTTCACAACTAGTGTACTGTTGTTATGCCTTGAGGAAGTTTGTCCTGGAGAGTTTATAGCCCCAAGCGATAATCTCCTCGTAGGCGCCGGAATTAGCGAAGGTATCATACTCCTGATTTTTATCAACACATTCCCATTACCAAAAACATATAATATAAAAAAAAACATATGTTATAAGAAAAAAAAACTCACCTGGTGTCAGCGGCAACTCTACTGATTTTTGATTGAGTCTTCTTTAGCTTAGTAGTAGTAGAAGAGCCCAAAGAACCATTAGAGGCTGATCTTGGCATATTCACTTGAACATTCAACTGCCACATCAAGCTTGTCTCCGAGCAATCACTTGTTGCGGTTTCATCTGACTCGTTTGCTTCTTCTTCCAATGGAAACTTCCTTACCTCAAATCCTTTATCTACATTATTATTGTCTACACCTCGCGTTGGTTCACGTTTCAAGCTAGATGATCGCTTCTCAGGCTGTGTACGTGATCTGTTTTCAGGTTTGCCATTACGTGTGATTTCGTCTTCGTGTTTATCAATCCATTCACTGCCTGATATAAACTCCATCTCCTCCTCTTTCTCATCTCTCGAAGGGCTTTTCCATGACGGTGAACCCACTAGTCCTTGTAAGTCAAGGCTGGATGCAGAGTCACTTTGACCCTGCAAGTTATTTCACTGTACTTTATGAAGTCGCCACTACAAGATGCATCCACGAGTTTAGTTTGTGTGAGTAATTGGTGGATGAACCTTTACCTCAATGCTGTTGACATCATCAATCTGTGACGACTTATGTTTGGTTTGGAACTGTCTTGTGTTTGCTGATTTAGAGAATGAAGACGAAACTCCCAGTGACTTTCTTCTGAGGAGTCTATCAGGCGGCGTAAGGGTACTTGGTAGCTGCGTTTGATCTGCCTCGCTCTCCTTTCTCGCTAACGCAAGCTTCAAACTAGCAATCTAAAAGCCGATAACAAAGGTAAATTGATTTGGAATGAAGAGTAGAATAATCTGAAAAGAGTATTGGAGATTATAATGACCTGTTCTTTGAGTTCTTTAACCTCAGAAGTGTCCTTGTTGACACGAGCAGCACCGAGTTCAACAGTGGCCACTCTCTCTGCAAACTTCAAGGTGCTGAGTGTTTCTCCCAGAGCTTCTAGTTCAGGGCTAATGTGAATAAACATAAGCGTTTTCGCTTGTCCTCCTGCACAAAGACACACATACATTGTTTTAACACAAATACCTTGTAAGAAAAGAAACGAGATGTAGAACCATGTGTTGTAATCTAGCAGTTGAGTACTATTGCTGGTCACCTAAAGCGTCCTGGAGAAGTTGGGTGAGTTTGCTATTTCGATAAGGGATGTGGTTGTTTTTCTGCGAGAGAGATGCAATCACGTCTCCAAGAGCAGAGAGAGATTTGTTGATGTGTTGTGCCTCTTTCAACCTATCACCAGTGACCTCAGACTTGTCAACCCTTTCGCTTCCAGCAAGATCAACCAAATGCATTGAACCCCTTAGAGTTGCACCTGATGTCAGATCTTTTCCTTGGACATGTACTGTCAGACAACTGCATATATAAAGTATAGAACATGTAATAATAATCATCCTGACATGGTAGACAAATTAGCATTAATAATCAGGAAATTAGGAAAAACCTGTGAGAGCGACTACTACGGTCATTCATGGCTGTGGCGCTGACAGCACGATTCTTTTGACCAATATTCATCAAATGAATGACGTCTGAAGTTGTGGAGACAGGAACCAATGTCGCCTCAGGCACGTTGATTCCATCTTGTGAACTATTTCGAATCTCTAATGTGTTCACAAGTCAAGAAAAATAAGCACAATGATCTTAAGCAAACAAGCATATTAGGAGTTACTAAAGAACCAGAACAAGCTTAGAGAACATCTGCACGGTGTGTATATATCACAGAAGTCTATAAAAAAGGATATCTGCTGGTTTGGCCGTTAGTTGCAAGGAGATCTCGGACTTGCTCGTTGTAGATTTCAAGCATTTGAACTGAAATGTTATATGAAAAGGTTTCTTTTCTCACACTTGACAAATGAAAGAGATCACTCAATGCTCTGTAGTTTACTCCTAAGCTTTCCTCCTTCAGTTCATTTGGTCCCATCTGATTACCACAAAAAAAAAAAAAAAAAAAACTTATAAATACGGATAACATTGTTTTCGTATGAAAAGTCACAATGAGTAGAATAAGTTGAATTCTTTAAGAAAAGTACCATGGTGAAAGTTTTTCCGGATCCTGTTTGGCCATATGCAAATATGCATACATTATAACCATCAAGAACAGACCGGATCAGAGGTTCAGTGTCTGCAAACACCTCCTCTACATATTGAAATTTGTAAAAATTTATATGAGAGCCGGTTATTAAAGAATTTTCAAGCTAAAATGATAGACAATTCAGGGAAAAAGTACCTTGAGTTGCTAAAGGGCCAAACACTTTGTTGAAAGTGAATGATTTGCGACCTTCTTTTACATACTTTGAAGGGTTTGCAATTGATATAGTTGACTCCTCTATGCGATCCACAGTAGTTAAGACACTTTTTTGCCCCGGTAAGAATGGTCTCACTCGGCAATAAACCCTTATGCTCCCTGTTAAATATGCATTCGTTAGGCTTGATATATTGCAAATCCTTGTAACTTAATCTACTTATTGAGGACATAAGGTATAGGGTTCCCTAACACAATCCATGTACTGATAACAATATGTATAAATATTTTTCCATAATTACCTTTGAGGTCTTGGACTTGGTTGTAAAGTTTTCGATTCTCTTCCAGAACTCTTTGGTATGATGTAGCTGCATAAGCAAGTCCATGCAAATGCTCGCCTGACCCAAGAAGAATGATCTTACAGTTAGTTTCTTTGATGGTGATTGTGAAAGTGAAATGGACTCTACTAGAAATACAATGAGATAGTAACTAAAATCACAGTTGAATTTGAATTAAAACATATACTATACTAAAATCATCACAGTTGAACTAAAACATATACTATAACCATTGCTGGTCCATTAAATTTAAATGCAGGATAGATTCTCTCACCTAAGCTTGTAAACTCTTGGTGATATTTCATCTGCAAGAGACTAAGACCTGCTTTTACAGCCTTGAGATCATGTTTCAATTCCTGCAAACACATATATACTCTGCCTTAATAATCACCAAATACAAAAGTCTTAAAAAAAACATGATCTAATAACGTTTCAACTGAATTATACCTCAGTATGAGCTTGCTGTCTGTCAATGATCATTTGTTGTTTCTTGGTATTCTCTTTTGAAATTTCATAGAGCTCATAATTTTGGCTTTTTGATTCCTCAACACCACCATCTTGTGGAGCTTCCACGTTGTTTACAATCTTTGTCACATCTTCTCCGTACTGAAGAAAATATATGTAAACTATAAAACAGTTTGGTAATACACGATAGATCAACAGATCCATAAAGAGTAATATGCCTTTATGAATAACAAGATGTCCAATTTCAAGGTTGATGCAATTACCAAAGCATCACTTAGCATCTCATCATTGCCTGAGATAGTTCTCCCAAGATCGCCAGGGTGAAGCTTATCTTTGTTCCCCGCGCTAATCTGGAGCTAAATAGTTTGCATATTCACGATGAAAAGTGAAAAGAAGGTATAAGAGAAAGTACATGCTTGTAATCCAAGAAACATGAGATCACACACACATCATATCTAAAGGCGGATAACTAAAACTGCTTACCAATTCTTTCTGTGTGGCTAATCTACGTTCGTATTCTACCATGACACTTTTCAGCATATCTTCCACAATCTGGAAAAACAAACAAGAGCAGCACAGAGTATCATTCTAAAACCGGCATTTCAAAAGAATACTGACCATTTAGTAAGTAAGTCTCCAATGCTTACACCAGGAATTTCTTCTTGGTTGGTATCAGAAAAAACTGCACGAACAATGGCATCTATTGAATTGGCACTTCCCTCCTGAAACATAACAAAAAAATGTAAGTTGAGATTTTTTAGCTTGAAAAAGTACTATCAGGGATATTTAATAGGAGGCATTGGTGTATATATATAGCTGCACTAACTTCATGTTTGCTGTTAGAATCAGATTGATCAAACAAAGGTTGTTCGTTGGATGGAGTGTTACAAGGGCTAGTGGTGACACCATCCACAAGTGACTCTGAGTCTTTGCGTTTGTATTGTTTTGCGATGCCAAACGTGGTTGGTTTTGAGTTCACAATGTATCTCCATGTACCGCTTCCGCCGCTCTGTTTCCACTCACGGTATGACTTGAGAGCCAAAACACATTCCACAATTCTTGCAGACTTACCTCCCTGGGAACACAGAATGTTTGTCAATGTTAATCAATTCCCACCTTATCAACATGAAGATGTCTAGAAAAAACACTACTCTACTACTTAACCCAACTTATGGAGAGTTTTTAAATTACTATTTTCTTATTGCTAAAGTTGATACATTTCTTTTCCTACAGTGATGGTCACCACGACTGTGCCATCGATGTGTCTGCAATTTATTGTACCAAATGATAAACATAGCATTAAGCCTACTGTTGTGTCTAGTTAGCCCCTCCAGCAAGGTAGGTCAACATGCCTAACCTATGCTAGCATCAACCCTACTAGTTCTGCAATACCACTACTAGGCATCATCTCTCAAATTAGCTACCCTATTTCATATTATTAAGCCTACCTAGGTCCTCAGATATAACTGTATTCTTCATAAACAGTAGATAAGTTTCTTATATATAGACAGTATTGTGATTTGTTCCATTACCTTCTCAAAATCGGAGACTTGAAACATAGGAATACCCATTTCCTCCACAACCACCAGAAAGTTTCGAAGATTCTCAAAATACTGAAACGCAGATAGAGCTGCACCATCTTGACTAACCAGAGGATCATTTAGAGCCTCAACGACCTGAAAGTTTTGCAGTGACAGAATAAAGAGACTGAGATAATCATAGAGTTCATGACAGAGTCCTGATTACAAAAACATTGGGATTAAAATATTAATTCCTGAAACTCTTTAAAAAAAAAAAGATTACAGAAAATGAATGGTACTAATCATGCTTGCACAACTTTAATCCAAGCAGGCCTAGACGTTTCAAAAGTCTTTCTAGTTTAATAAAACCTACCCTATAATATTTAATCCACAACAAATACTCTGTATTAAGAAAAAGTAAATGAAGACATAAGCAACTAAAGAGTGAATTAGGTGTGAGGCATTACTTTTGGTACAGCACCAGGTTTAACTCTGTTGAGTACATTGCAGAGCAAAATCCCACTCCTTAATGCAATTCTGAAATCTTCCTCTGAAGGATCTGCAGGCAAATCTCTTCCTCCAACTACACCAAGTGTGTTTCTTACCCACCTTGCTGCTTCGTACCTTCTTAAATCCAAAGGATCTACTGGCAAATCTCTTCCACCAGCTGCACCAATTGTGGTTTCATTTTCTCATAATCGATCCATGTGTACATATAAAGTGAATATATAATGCAGAAGTTGGAATCTACATATATATTAAAGGGTTTCTGAGAGATTGACTTATGATCAACCCTATTGAATATGAAATCCTTATATGTTTCTTGATTGATCCAGTAAAACAAGAAACGTCAGTATCTAAATTCGGTCAAGTAAAGGATTACAATGGTCATCCCTCTGACTCGATTACCCATTACAAACCCTAACCTAAAAAATCCGCATTGAGAAATTTTAAATTAAAAAAAAATAGAAAGAAGAGAGGAATTGACGAACGTACAAGTTTCATCGGCATTTTTGGGACTCGAATCCACACCAACGCTAACTCGAACGTTTCGTTGTCTAAGAAAATCTTCCAGAATAGATGCCAAACAGAGTCTTGAATCTTCTTGTTGCTCCGTCGCCATTGACAAGAAACGATCCAATGCTTTCTAGCTTGACCAACAAGAAACCTGGAAGGAAAAACAAAAACTGACCCAAAATTCAACTCCCAACAACTCGACTCGACAATCTCACGACACAAAATTTTATACAGAATTGTATTTTTTCCTCAAAATCGAACAAAGAATATCAAGGCTATGTAGGTTACAATGATATATGCACTTAGAACATTCCTCAGATTTATAAGGAAGATAAAGGAATGTGGAAAAAAAATTAAAAAAAATGTTTGACCCTCTCTCTTTTTTTCTTTTTACTCCTTGTATGAAATTAAAAAGACAAAGGAGAAGAAGAAGAGCGAGACATGAATGAACCCGAGTCTCCTGGGGTTCCTATAGATGAACACTTTCAATATTTAAAATCAAACTTTGTTTATTCTTAATTGCGCCATTTTAATTAATGCGTACGAACTTATTTATATAGCTTGTGGTGAACAATATATAATACCACATTGGGAAAAATGTCATAAAAATCCCGAACTTTCAAATTTGGGACGATTTAATCCTGAATTTTAAAAAAGTCATTTTAATCACAAAGTTTTGTTGATTTTTCTGTAAAATATCTAAGTTTTGTTGACTTCACTTATTTAAGCATGACATTTAATTTTTGTTAAAAATTTGAAAATATGGTTAACTATCTATGAGATGCTTCTGTTTAAGCCTAAATGACCATGTTTCTTAGACGACAAAACGACGTTTGAAGTTGTTTTCTTCCTCCATGGGCCCGCGTTATGGCAACAATTCAACAAGAAATAAAGAGAATTTGTGGATTTTTCTAGAGTTAGGGAGTTAGATTTGTGAATTATGAATCGATTTTGGGATTTAGTTTCTTCAGTTTGTTAAACAACGTCGTTTTGTGGTTTGAAACGAAAGCAACTCACAGATAGTTAACCCCGTCTTTGCAATTTTAAGAGAAACTAAACGTCGTGTTTAAATCGGCTAAGTCAACAAAACTTATCTATTTTACGGAAAAGTCAACAAAACTTTGTGATTAAAATGACTTCTTTAAAGTTCGGGATTAAATCGTCCCAAATTTGAAAGTTCAGGATTTTTATGACATTTTTCCCTAATACCATTAGCTACATACTGTAATGTACTCCATAGTTTTCAACCCTCAACTTCTAGGTTTCTATAATGGTACTTAATAAATAAATTAGTATAACGTTTTTAACAAACTTTGTAGTGATTAAAATTCCTTAATTGGTCTAAATGGGATTTTGTATCCGAATGATTTATACTAATTGTATGTATTAGCTAGCTTGACTTATAGCATTACCTATAAAAAACCAACATAATTATAGAAAGTGGAAATTAAATTCTAGGGATCCCTAAATTCTATGTCAGAGATGATTAAAGGCTTATGAATGCAACTCATGGTTGGACAACTACCTTGGTCCCTGCATAACTATTTTTTCTTGCGTACATAGAGGTGTTTTTAAAGCCAATCAACATGATATCATGATTAGATAAAAAGGTTATCATGAAAACATTTATTAAGTTTCTTCAAAGAACTTAGCTCTAATAATAATTAAACAACAAAAAAAAGCTATAATTCGGTCAACAATTAAAGATATTAGATATTATGAAAACTAAAAAGTTTTTTTTGGCTATGATGATTGTACCCACATCTTTTGAAAGTGACCCTTTTAATTATATTATTAATACATTGAAAATTAGTATATATTTCAATTTCTTATAGACTTTGTTTTCTCTAGTAATATTCTATTTTTCTCTTTGTGATAACATTTATTGAACATGATACCAACTCATTCTAAAAAATGAGCTGAATTAATATTTTATTGTTGTGACTTGTGAGTAGTATATATGTAATGTACAAAGCACAAATATATGATATTGAGAAAACATACACGTATAAACCACGAAGTTATATGTTTGTTGATATCGTAGAATTTTCTTAGAAACTTTGTTTTAATTAGTAAAAACCAATACATAATGATAATTTTAGCCACGCCGACGCCACATCCAAGTTTTTTCTTTCCATAAAATATAACCTCGATTAGAGATTACCAAACACTAGTCTTCTTTATACAGTAATAAATTGCGACAGCTGCAAAAGAATAATTGAAATCCCGGTTTATATAGTCACGGCACGAAACAAATATAAGTGTCGTGGTAACGTTAATATTTTATATATCATAAACAATTGAAAGAAATGGTAAACCTTTTCGACAAATTAAAAATAAAATGGTAAAACTTTGAAATACGAAACAAGAATTAAACAGATTTTTAAAAGTCGATTTGGCTACTAGGTGAAACACAATTTAGACGTTGACTTGATGAAATTCGCATCAAATATAAATAGAGATCTATTTATAAGGATATCATATGTATCACAAAATTGCATTTTTTCCCCTTTTCAAGTTTTGAGCGAAAACAGAGTACATATATAATTAGCTTAGTTAGTAATATATATATATGGAGATACAAAAATTCATGAAACAAATGTTTCACGTATTACTATTGGTACTAGCCATTCATGCGCATATCCGAGCCGTTGTTTCAACCCCAGACACTTTTGTTGACTCAGCCGTCCATATGAAACCATATCCCACGATCACAGGAACTAAAACGTCTTGTGAGATAGATTTCCCGGTATGGCGGCGGGAGCTTCGAAGCAGCGGTGGAGGTCGTGGTGGTGGAGGTGGCAGCAGTGGTCGAGGCGGAAACAGCGGTAAAGCCGGCAGCAGAGATCGAGGTGGAGGCGGCGCTGGGAACGGAGGATCCTCTAATAATGGCGGTGGTAGCAGTAGTGGCGGCCATGTTGTTGGAAGCGGCGGTGACTGTTTCAAACACCGTGGTCTCGCCGGTACTCTATTATCTATCGTACTCGTGAGCTTTTCCATTCTTTTACGTTAACACAGTTGTAAAAATGTTTGTTTAATAATTTCTCATAATTGAATGTTTTATACAGTAGACTTTTATTATATATGTAGTTCGATATGTAGACTTTCAATACTAAAGTTTCATTTTGATATGTGTAGTTCGAATGTATTTGTGTGTGTTTAGAATCTCATATTCATAAATACAAAGTGCATTGCAATAAACGAAAGAAAATCATTTTATGCAAATTAACTTAGCTTAAGGGAATAAAATGATTCGTACAATTTTAAATGCGGCGGAGGAAAAAACAGCTTCTTGTCGAACAAAATAAACGCTCTCTCTCTCTCTCCTGTCCATTAACTATTTGCCACGTGTCGTTTGCCTCTCTTCCCGGTCACCTACCCAATAATATAAGGAAAAAACACAATCTCTTATTAACAAAACTAATAACGTATCAAAAAACATCCCAACCGAGAGTTATTCCATCGGACGGTTCATATTGGTTCCGATGACGTCAACGTCTACCAATTACAAGGCTCCATATCAATTCACCAATCACTATCACCCACGTGTCTATCGTAATTTTTTCCTTTTTATTTGTGGTATGTTTTCCTTTTTTTGTATATATATATATATATATGTTACAACATACAAAATCATATATATTTCTCCATCATCAACACACACAAAAAAAACGAAACTTTGATTTTGGTTCTTTAATCTCTAGATTCTCTTCTGAAGAGCTTTCGTATTATATTATTTTTTGGGGGCATGCGTCTGAGCTTCGATCTACGTTAGTTTATAGTACGAAGGTTTTGTAGTGGACTGTCTGTTTCGTATCTTCCCATCAGATCTGAGGAAGGTCATGTTTTTGTTCGATTGGTTCTATGGAATCTTGGCCTCGTTAGGTTTGTGGCAGAAGGAGGCGAAGATCTTGTTTCTAGGCCTTGACAATGCCGGCAAAACTACTTTGCTCCATATGCTCAAAGACGAGGTTATCTAAATTACACTCTCTCTCTCGGAAATTAACTTGGATGGGTACATAAAGAAACATGCTTATTAATCTCGATTTTTGGTGTTGCAGAGATTAGTTCAGCACCAGCCTACACAGCATCCCACCTCTGAGGAACTCAGCATTGGCAAAATTAAGTTCAAGGCCTTTGACTTGGGAGGCCATCAGATTGCTCGGTGGCTTGCTTATGTTTAACCCAAATTTTGATTGATGCAAGATAGATGTCTAATCTGGGAGTGAATCTAATCTGTTTTTGTTTTTGCTGTGTGTGAAGGTTGATGCTGTTGTGTACCTAGTGGATGCTTTTGACAATAATCGATTTGTGGAGTCGAAAAGCGAGCTAGACGCTCTTCTATCTGATGAAGCCTTAGCAACTGTGCCCTTTCTTATTCTTGGGAACAAGATTGATATTCCTTATGCAGCCTCAGAAGACGAACTCAAGTATCACTTGGGTCTCACTAATTTCACTACCGGTAAAGGCAATGTGACTCTTGGAGACTCTGGTATTCGTCCCCTTGAGGTCTTCATGTGCAGCATCGTCCGCAAAATGGGATATGGTGAGGGTTTTAAATGGATATCCCAGTATATCAAGTAAGCATTAAACCAGACAGCATTAGCCACCTTGAGGTATTCGTCCCCTTGAGGTCTTCACGGTTTATGATTCAGACATCTTATCTTTTTCTATTTGAAAAGACGTAAACTCTCTCTATTGTAGTTTTCTCCAAGTTTTAATGTTAAGTCGATGCCTTAAACAGATCCAAACTTCTTGTGCATTGTACTGTTGAGAATACTCACGTTTCTCCCTTTAGTTCTTTAAATCATTTTCGCAATAACCTAAATCCAAACAGAAGCAAGCAAGATTCAAATTTGAAAATCATTGAACACAGAACTTTCCAATTCTGTATGCAACATCTGCGTTGTTGACTATTGTGGCCAGACTATTTGAGGTATAATTTCCTGTCAAAATAATTTCATCATATCAGATGTTACATGCTCATTCACTATCAATTCCAGATGCTTGATCTGCTATATAGCTCACGCTGTTGGCACCTGAATGATTACGGTAAGGAGCCATTCTAACAAGAACCCTGATCATCTGAATAATTTTGGTTAGGAACGACCAAACAACAAGCCAGGCCTCTATAGACAAAACCAGCTACTTCTCAGACTGAAACATTGCATATGGTGCTTTGGCCAGTTGACTTTCTAAGGCGATTCTTTTTCATCAACGTTCGTACCTTCTCCACATCTTGCCATCTTCCTTCCTCTGCATACAAATTAGATAACAACACATAATTCCCTGAATTCCCTGGCTCAATCTTCACTAATTCCATGGCTGCAACCTCTGCTAGCTTTACATCTCCTTGGCTGCGACACGCACTGAGCAGCGACCCCCACATTGCTGCATTAGCGTTTACGGGCAGAGTTTTGAGAAACTCAAACGCCTCTATGACCCTCCCGCTCCTACTCATTAGATCAACCATCACTCCATAATGCTCGGTTCTCGGCTCAAGTTTGAATTTTTCCCGCATCAAACCAAACAATTCTTCCCCTTTCTCCAACCGACCTGTGTATGAGCAACATGCTAAAACCCCCAAAAATGTCGCTTCATTTGGAGCTACTTTCCCTTCCTCGATCATAGCATCGAACAAGTCTATACCGGATTCTCCTTTTCCGTTCATCGCGCATCCCGAAATCAGTGTGTTCCATGAAACAACGTTTATCCGCTGCATTTGTCCAAATATTGTTGTTGCTGTCTCCAAGTCACCGCTTTTACAGTAGAAATCAACCAAAGCGTTTCCCACGGTAATGAAATCTTTAATCAACCCATTGGATTCTACAGTAGAATGAATCCATTTTCCGGTATCCAAAACTCCGAGAGATGCAGAGATTGGCAAGACAGTAACCACAGTCGCCTCATCTGGATCGAAACCTTGAACAATCATTTCACAGAAAAGCTCCAAAGCCTCACGATCTCTGCCACATTTGGACAAGCTCGATATCATCGAATTCCACGACACAATGCTCCTTTCGGTCATCTGTTTGAACAAACTAAGACCTCTTTCAACGTCCCCGGAATCACAGAACCCGCGTACCATTAAGTTCCAGACGACAACGTTTCTGTCGGGAATTTCATCGAACACTTTCTGAGCATCACCCATTCTCCCATCGGAGGCATACAGCTCCACCACCCCAATCCGTATCTTCCCAAGCCGGTGGAAGCCAGTTCTAAGAACCTCACCGTGAACGCATTTCCCAAACCGCGAATCAGAAAGTGAGGAACACGATTTGAGCAAAGGCGCGTAAGTGTACTCGTCGGCCCAAATTCCGCGGCTTTTCATGGAAGAGAAGAAAGAGAGAGACTGTAGAGGCGGACCGACTAGTGAGTAGCATTTGATAATGGCGTTGAAGACGAGCACGTTAGGATTCTGGATATGAGAGAAGACGCGGGATGCATAATCAGAGTAGCTAAGGGATCCGCAGATAGAGATAAAGTGGGCGAGAAGGAGATTGGAACCATGAAGGTAGTGGCGGAGGAGATGAGCGTGGATTTCGGGTAAACGGGTTCGAGTACTGTGGCCGTGGAGAAGACGAAGCAGCTTACGCTCGATTTCCATTAAAACCTCCTCTGCTCAACTCCGCTCGATTGTAGTTGCTTTGCGCCAATTTCAAACGCTATTTTACCGGTTTAATACTGGTTCACTACCAAGACCAACAGTGTTGGTTCAAGTCTGTAGTTGTTTTGTATCAAAAGGATTCAAGAGCAGATAAATACGTCTCCTACTTCTCCATTTTGCATTTGATATTTGCGTTTACAATCTTGTAACAAAATAAGACTTCTAACACACTTCAGTGTAATCAACCGTTAAGTCGTTTACTTCAGTTCTCCAGCAAACAGTAATCAACAAGTATATAGGGAAGAGATAGAGAGAGTGTGTGTGTAAAACTATAATACAATAGAAAACAAGTTCAAGATCGTTACATACATCATTCGGGAAATGCCCAGAGAACCACAGTCGCATTGTTGGAAAGAATGAAACGAACAGAAAATTTAGTAATTTACGAAGTCTAAGACAGTCACAATGCAGTCTCTTTGTGTTCTTCCGGATATTCATTATTTCTCAGCTATAAGAAAGAGACAATTATAGTTTCACCATCAATTTCGAGTTTAACACTGCAACATAACTGACGTTTTCAACTTCAGGATTCAGACAACGGTAAACTCCAGCAAAATCCAAGAACTCAATGAATCAAATGACGTAGAGATTTAGTTCAAGTGTAACAGAGGAAAAGATTATGATGGTTAATTATTATATAACATCTTTAATGCAGAGAAAGTGCTCGTACCTGTGAGAGCTTCAGTTTAATAATGACTTGTAGGCTTAGCAACCCGTCTGATTGGATTTCAGGAAGGAAAAACAACCACCATTTCTTTTTTGTATAGCTGCTCAATTCAAGGCAAAATACTACCAGAAAGTTACATATGGAGACTTTGGCTACAGTAACTATTGAGGCTTTGTTTTGTCTTTGTTACTCTTTCTAATCAATCATAGATATTTGCTGATAGCTGAGAGTTCATTGCAAGTAATTCAACATCTGATCATCATAGTGGAATTGATCGAAATTGTTAGGTAATAGAAGTTTACCCTTTTAAAATGCTCAACTTCTTTCTCCAGTTGTGATGCATCAGAGTTTTTCTTTACTTGATCTTGACAACTAACTTGTATGTGTCCCTGGTGTTGTTCTTTCAGTACCTGCAAGCAAACAAACAAAAATCATAGCAAAGTGAAGAGGTAAACATTTAAGACAATGATGTTGAGCTGATTGGTTAAAATGGAAACATTCATTCTAGCCCCAGCAAGGAGATTAACTAACAAGTTCGAGATTTCCACAAGATCGAATAAATTGACCAAGATGTGATCAACGTACAGAGCTACGACAGGTTGACTGTCGAGTTTGAAATGGTATTCTATGGGGTTGCTCAGTGTTGGAATAGAATGATAAATAAAGAAAGATTTGCTTACGAGTTTGAAGCTCTCGGACGATTCAAGAAATTCAACTTCTTTGAGATCCATATTCTCACTTCTTTGAAGTATAACAGATAATCGTGTAATCAAACACAAAATTATGAATTTTTTCTTTACCTGCAACAGCAAAGTATAAAGATCACAACAGCCACACCAAGAGACTGAGCCTGGTTTGCTAAGCTGATATATGAGAGACAATACCTCCTCAGGGAAGTTCTTAAGAGGTGCACGGTCAAGCTTGGGAAACTTTTTTCTTTGGTATCTCATAAGCATTGCTATAAGCTGAAAATCAAATGACAGTCATCAGAGAAACAGTAAATTCAAGACAAGTTCTTCTTTCTACAGGATTAAGTACCCTACCTCAACTTCCTCAGCAGCGTAGCTACGGAGATGATCCCCATTCTATAAAAGAAGAAACTATTAATAATAATGACAATAAAACAGACACTAAAACCCACAAAAGATTTTATAATACATACATAGCGTACTCTTGGTAATAGGCTTTATAGCTATGCTTATTCCATTGTATGTTTGACAGCGTTAGATGAACTAACCTTGATGATATGATAAGACTGCTTATGATATCCCTTTTTCCCTGTGATGATTCCGATATTGTGCAAGAAACAAGCAGCTTCAAGATACTCAAGATCCTTATCGTCTAAGATAAAGTCAAAATCATTGCATTTCCTCAAACCTACAAAAATCGCCTGGAAAATCACTGTACAATCAAACGTACTGTTTCAAACAAATTGACCATATCCAGTTATGCAGAGATGGAAATGAAATTTGGAACCATTAGGCACTAGCAACACACATACACATCCAAAAATAGATAAATATCACCTGAGGAATACATATACAAAAAGCTGTTATCTTTATTAATATCTGCCAATCAATTTCACAATTAAGTTGCTAGTGAAAAGGAATGTACCTTGGCGATGCTGGCACAGTGTATTGCATGATTCATTCGCTTTTTAGCATTGAATCGAGTGGCAAGCCTCATGACTGATCGCCACCTTGCATTAGCATTCAAATCATATAATCCATCAAAAGCTTTGGCCAACGAATCAGCAATCACACCTTCTGCCAATGCATACTCTGAGACCTCCATTTCCTCGATACCAAGAGCCTTGAATATTTCCTCCAACAATACCGCTCCAGCAACAATGAACTCTGATCTTCTCTTGAAAAAACCATCTCTCCGGATCTGCTCTTCATCTCCTTCCCTGCATAGCTTTGTTACAACGCTGCTCAGCTCTCCTCTACCAAATCTCCAATCCCTCTTGTACCCCTCCAGATTGAATTCACACATATCAGCTCCATAGCTACTAAAAACTGCATTCTCAATAGCTCGAATAGTTCCTGAAGAACCCACAACCACCTCAAAACCATCAGAATCTTTCAATTTATCTGCTAAACCAGACTCATCAATCGCATGACGTATATAGTCACGCATTTTCTCCAATCCAACACCATTTTTCAAAAACATCTGCGTCAAATTCACATGACCTAGCTTCAACGAAACAGCAAGCTTCACATCACCACACTTACCCACAACAAATTCAGTAGACCCACCTCCAATATCGATACACAAGACTGATTTCTCAAACACAGGTAGAAACTGAAGCACGCCTAAGTAAACTAACCTCGCTTCCTCTTCCCCAGAAAGCACATCCACCTTTAACCCAACATCCTCGAACACCGCCTCCACGAACTGTTTCTGATTCTCTGCTCGCCGCAAAGCTTCCGTTGCGACGCATCGGATCCGGTCACAGGAGACATTATGCGAGAGGATCAAACTTTTGAATTTCCGTAGAGATTGAAGCGCCCGATCCTGAGACTGAGACGAAATCGAAGTCGGAGATTCACGAGACAAAACCACCGGCTCTTTGAGTCTCTCGATTGGAACAAAAGATCTCCCAGAAGGATCGGCGCGGACTATAAGAAGCTTAAAAGAGTTTGTACCCATATCAATTGAGGTGAAGAGCTGCGATGATACAGGACTCGATTGCAAATTTGAGCTCATCTTCGATCAAATCTCTCCAGTAGTAATTATATTGTTAGATGTTAAAGCTGATTTATACTATAGTTGTTCTGGGTGGTTCAATTGTAATTTTGGTTTATCTGGAAAACAAGTGATTTGTATTAACCAATTTATAATCGAATTAAGGTAGTTTGATTGGAATTAATATTGAAAACACTTGGATTAAACGTGAAATTTTACATTCATGACTCGATCGATCTAAAGAAGAAACACAAAAGGCACACCAGAATAGTAATACTCGAGAGATCTAAGCACGTTCGCCTCTGATTCTTCTGGCGAGCTGGATGTCCTTGGGCATGATGGTGACTCTCTTGGCGTGGATAGCGCAGAGATTGGTGTCTTCGAAGAGTCCAACAAGGTAAGCCTCAGCAGCTTCCTGGAGAGCGGCGACGGCACTGCTCTGGAAACGGAGATCGGTCTTGAAATCCTGAGCGATCTCTCTCACAAGCCTCTGGAAAGGGAGCTTACGGATGAGAAGCTCAGTGCTCTTCTGGTACTTCCTGATCTCCCTCAACGCGACGGTTCCAGGTCTGAATCTGTGTGGCTTCTTCACTCCTCCGGTGGCTGGGGCTGATTTCCTCGCCGCTTTGGTCGCCAGCTGCTTCCTTGGAGCTTTGCCTCCGGTTGATTTCCTAGCTGTCTGCTTGGTACGAGCCATTTCGAAAGTTTGGGGTGATGAACTGTTTTTGGTTTTTCTAAGAGATAGTTGAGTTCTTTGGATTTGAGATATTGTTAAAAACTGAGGAAAGGGTGGATATTTATCGTCTGGGATTTACAAGAAGCGGGAGAAATATTGAGCTTTTCTTCTTTTAGCGGGACTAAATCTGAATCGTTCGTTTTGCTTTTAATCGACGGATATAAGAGGTTTATTTCACGATCCGCGTGAAATCATAACAGCCGTCGATAAGTATGAACCTACGGATCGATTTCATTCCTTCTATAATCGATCCGTGTGAAGGTGTATTGACTAGTAGAAATAAAGAATAGCACTAAAGACAATTTATCTTTTACCATAATAAGCACACAGTATTAGGCCCATTATCTAGTTGGGCTTGCAATCTGTACCAAGGTTTCAATCATCATGTAAATGTTTTTTTCACTTTTTCTTTTCTTTTTCAACCAGCTATAATTTTCTTAATCCTTAAATATATGGTAACTACAAAAAAAATATTGGCTGACCCGCACCATCATCATTATTAAATTGCATAATGATGGTTCGTTGTACTTGTAATGCTTTTCAATCCACATATACTAACATCACAAGGAAGTCAATCCACTAGATCAATTAAGTTAATGGCATTCAACATTTCGAAGTATCAATCAACCGGGAGATTCTGGACATTTGGACATGATAGTCTGTATTGAATGATAACGAAATTCTCAAAGGGTAGAGGACCAGTGAAATAGAACACCACGCCAGGATCCAATTTTGGAGAACTTTGACTATCAACGAAACAAGAGTAGAAAAGAGATCCAACTACAAAACTTCTCCATGCTTTTTTGTTTTAAAGTCTAAAATGAGCATCTGACACACATTGCATCACCCTTTTCGTTGCTAAAAACTTGTTTCTATCTCCGACAAACTAGATGCTAAAGAACTTCGAATGAAAAGGATGAAACAATAAAGAGACTAAAAACTTTGGTCTTTAGATCTTCAACCTCCTTCAACTACAGCTCATCCTGCAAACCCAAATCATACAATATTAACAACTCAACTAAACCAAAAAATGTTAAGAGTGAGTGAAAAATTTAACGTGACATAGTGGTCAAACTTACATGAGCGCTAGCCTCTTTCTCAGCGGTTTCCTCGCTAACTTCTGATTTGCTGTCCTCTGTCTTGGAATCAGAGTCGGATTCATCTCCTTCATCATCCTCTGGTTCTTCCTCAGCCTGGCAAATAAATCACTTATAGTATTAGCTTCTTTACAGAAGCAAAGAAGACTCTGTATATCTTAATCAATCACAAGTGCTTACATCAGATTCCGCAGGTGCGTCCTTGGATTCCTGTATCATTCAGCACAGAACAAAACAAAAACAAAAAATTTGTCTCAGATTCAACAAGGCTTTCACTTCTTGTTCTGGAGAATATTTATGAATTGTGATAACTAATTAGGCCTACTAATATTTGGTTGAGAAAGTGTTACCTCTTCTTCTTTCTTCTTCTCAGCCTCATCAAAAGCTGCTTTCTCCGCCTGCAATGTAATATTAGATTTGATGTTCTGATCATTAACCACAATCAAAGAGTTGGATTAACGGAGATGTGAATTCTGAACACTTACATCCTTGAGCTTCCCCCATGTTTCATCTGCCAACTTCTTGGCATAGTCTGGGTCATCGCAGATCAGGACATTGTCGAACAGTGATCCTGATTTCACCTGAAAGAGTGATAGATATTTAAATGCAGGTCATGGGACCAGAGCAATTCAAGTAAAAAGATTTATTTTACCTGGCACCAATATATTTCAAAGTGACAAGATTTATATTACCTGCCACAATTCGAGTCCAACATACTTCAGCTTGGGGAAGACATAGAGCTCTGGGTCATCCTTGAAGTCTGTGTGAAAAATCAGTTTAAATTAGGCACAGTATTCGTTGGATATTATTTATGTCCCACAATTTCATGCAAATTTATGCAAGCAAAGAGAACCAGTATGTGGAGTACTACAAAAACATGATATAAGAGTGTAAATTTAGAGAAGACAAAAAAAAAATTGGTGTGGCCTTGGGTTTAATTATAGAGAAGACAAAAAAAAAAAACCAAAATTACAAACATGTATCTATAGAATAGGTTAGACCACTCGGTTCTAAACCATTTGGAAACAAGAAACAGCACCAAAAGTCTAAATTGTAGGAGATTTCTAGACATACTTGAAACCCTCAAACACTAACGAATAGAAGTTGAACAACAAATAACACGTATATTATGCAACATGAAAAATAAGGACAAAAGAACATAAAAAGCCACAGAGGGTAGTAACTTACCAGGGTTGTCAATCATTGGAGCCTTCCACTTACCCTTGTAGTTGGGGTTCTTGATTTGCTACAGAAATATATGATAGTCGTGAGATTAAGAAAAACGTTGATCAGAATTTAGATATTTCTCGAGAGCAAGATTGACAAACCTTAGGCTTCCATTCTCCCATGTAATCCGGGTTGGGGATGGTAGGGGCAGTCCACTCACCATCTTCTTCCTCATCCCAGTCCTCAGGCTAAGAGAAAAAAGAAATAAAGAAAAATCAGCGAATGCGGAACACAGAAAGAGGTTTTAGATTTTGCACCCATATAGAAAAGGTACCTGCTTCGCATCAGTGTCTGGGATCTCCTTGGGGATATCATCATATCCATCAGGTTTCTTGTCTTCAGGGTCGGAAATGTATTCTTGTTCATCCCAGTCCTCAGGCTGTAAAAAAGAAAAAAAATAATAATTTGTAAAATAAATGGCATAACAGGTATTTGATCAGACACTCAAATTGCATGAGCTTCGATGTGGATGGTTCTAGTTTGCTACATAATTATCGATAAGTGCTTGGTTCTCAGTTTAGTCTGGTTGCTCATAAGTTACTGAATACCTTCTTGGCGCTGGGGTCCTTGATCTTCTTGGGTGGGAGAAGATCCCAGTCAGAGTACAAGCTTCCGGTTTGCTTCTCAACATTGTCGATGAGAATGCTGTAAGTAGCATCTGGACGGAGGATGAATGTGTACACATGGGTGAGCTGGTCAGTTTCACATGGAACATCCTTCTTGATCAGATGGTTGGCTTCATTGTAGGTGAGGATGGCATGAACTTTTTTGGTGCTGTAGCCACAGATATCCGGACCAAACATGATACTGCAGGTAAAAGCAGGTAGGTGTTATTTTGATAAATTGATATCAGTAGAAAAGGTTGAGATGATTAGAGTGAGAAAAGACAGGATATATACCTGTATGGGGTGTCTCCACCAAATTTCTTCTGGTCAACATCACCACTGAGCAGCTTCATGTAGCCACCACCACAGTCAAGCTTTTGCTCGTGCTTGACTGAGAATTGGAAGACTAAGGTTTTGTCCTTGTTACTGAATTCAGGGAACTCAGCTGAAATGGCGTAGAATCTGTAGTCCTCACTGGTCTGGATACCTGCATGGCAATGGTAATTACAAACAAAGCATTAACAAAACTGGGAATATGTCAGGAAACAATTTTCCATGAGTCTCTGACTAGCTCTGAAGGATGAATCATACCTTTATCGTTACTGTCACCAGACCAGTTTCCTGCAGTGTGTTTCCACTCCCCAGCAGTGTTATCATCCTTCTTCCACTCAGATTTGACCCATCTGCTCTCCCATCCATCTTCAGAAATGGAAAGAACAAAGGTAACAAAGTAAGACAGGCATCAGAATAGAAGAATGACAAGATTATAATACGAACAACAAGACATTTCCAACACAAGATACACGAACTGTTCAACCCAGATATTGGTTAGAAAATTGGACCAAACTTCAAATAAGAAAAAGTGTACTAAACAAGCTCATGAGCATGCCTCGTTAAACAAATCTCCCATTTAAGACTGCAAATGATACTAGCATTTCCCTGATGATAAAATACTGTTAAGTCTAAGCAGAAAACTAGCAATGATTGTACCGATGACTTAGATTGAAACTAGCATCCTAGTGTCGAACTATCATCTCAGAGCTTATCATGATCTCCGAAACATCTCGACGAAAAGTATAAATCAACAATAGTTAGCGGCCATTTCCTAGATCTCCAATTAGATTTCCGAATTCACAAACCCCAGACAAACCAAAATCAACAAATCCATAGATCCATAAGAATCATGATCCAACATTTGAAAAGTGATCTACTTATAGAGAGAGTGATGTAGAAAGTAGATACCATCAAAGCGTTCCTCGAAGATAACTGTTGCGGAGGCGATCGCGATGAGACCGAGAAGAATCAAAGAGACGAGGCTAGGGATTAATTTCGCCATTGCTAAAAACTCAGATCGGAGATTCCCCGAGATCAGATGATGATGTACAAGAAGATCCGGAGTTTTATATATACCGCGAGGAGCTCGTCAGTGAACTCAGCTCTCATGGATATTTAGCCTTTTGCTACGTCGTTTTAATCTGCAGCCACATATACCAATCAGTGACATGCACGTCATTTACATTTGTCATTAGGAATGACATGGCACTGCGATATTGGATGAAACGGGAGAAAGTTTAACACGTGTTAAATCTATTATTTAAGTGTGCTTCAAGTGGATAAATAGAATGAATGATTAACAAAGTTTATGTCATCTTTGCATGTAGTTTGCCCAAAAAAAAAGAATGCTGCATGTTCTTGCTATTCGTTAATCCATTTAGGGATTCTTGTTCTCTAAGTATATGATTTAAGCTCTCCATTGAATGAATACACATTTTTGTCATTGTCATGTCGATGAACGAGTCAGCTAAAATGAAAAAGAAATTAGCACTCAGATGAAAGGTCAATGAAGATTGAGGTCCTGATTACGACGTTACTTATGTTAATTGAGAATCTCAGCGATTATATGAACTTAGTTGACTGTATTGCTTGATCGACAATGGAGATGCAATGGAATTTTAAAAGGGTCGAGCAGTTCAAGTTCACCACAATCTGATTTTTTAGCGGATTTTGGCTTAACAGAGAAACAAGAGTGGAGAGATGCAACAGCAAAACTTCTTCATGGGTTTTTTTCAGTCTAAAAGGAGCATCTGACAGTCATTGTATTCTGCTTT